ACTTGCAATGTTTCAGAATAACCCTTAAAAAGGTAACCATAACAATTCTAAAGTTTATTGAACCATATTCAGAGTCACTGTGGGGACTGGTGTCATATTCTAGGTTGTAGGTACCTGATGCAGTGAAAATGTCATCATATATGTTTGGGTTAATCCACTTATTCCCGTCCACACTCACTTTCCTTTGAGCCGCATGAACATGCAGCAAAACATTTTGTTAGTACCTCAGTGTAAATACTCGCATCTGATTGGTCAATTAGCGGTCAACATTTTTGCCTGTACCCCACCTGTGCATCATGGGATATCATATTATTGACCGCGTATGTTACTGTACTACACTTGTGAATTATGGGATATATGATGTCATAATATTTACAGAAAAAAACATGGGAGACGGACATTTTGTAAACGTTGATGAAAGTGATATTTTGACTTTGCTAGACGACAAGTATAGCAAAAATACAAATAGAAACGTAAAATTAACATTAATTTACTAGTGAGTACGCAGTGATGTGCCGAAAACAGAGAGTTTAGCTACCACTGTCTTCAGATTTTCTTACAAAATTATTGCTGGCGTGGTTCGGAGAAAAGATTGTGAAATGAAGCCATGATTGATGACTGTCGTCTATATGTGTATTATTAGTTTCTTCTGACTAACAAAACAATTGTAGACCTCTCCATTCGGTCAACGGTCAAAATCATATACCTCGACTGTAAACCTTGAAACTACTGTTGACCTCGACCTTCGGTCTCTGTCAACAGTAGGTTTCTCGGTTTACAGTCTCGGTATACAATTTTGCCGGTTGACCTCTGGAGAGGTCAACAATTGTATACTGTACCTGCAGTGGCACATGAGCAAGTGGTTTAACATATTGCTTTGTCCTTGTATGGTTTGCATGTGCAAAATGACTTTGGGATTTTTGTTATATCAAGTTTCGTTTTTTTGGTCATTTTAATGGTCTCAAGAGTAATATGAACCACTTGACATCCAAATCCATTCCCTGGCTCTGGAATCTCAAAAAGTCGTTTGTCAGCATTCATTGAAATGTATAATTGTTATTAACCAAAAATGCATCCATAGTTAGTGGTAATGCTCTAATATCATTTTGGATGCTGCAAACAAGTGTAATACATCCAATGATAGTTTGTTTTTATATTGAAATATAAACAAAAATAACGCAACTCCCCTAGACCAGAGATCGTGCCCATGTGGACAGTCAATGGAGACAGAAACTCACTTTAAAGTAGAATGTCATATGTTTGAAAATGAACGATTAAGTCTGTTTGCCTAAATTACTGATATCCATAGTGACTTTTACATGTATACAAGTCTAGGAAAATATTGTATAATAATGAATGAAAAAAACCGTTCAAAGGACACTTGGAAAATGTATGATGAATATGTTACTCAAAAGGCGTGAAATAGTTACATGCGATGGTCTCTAATAGGTCGGCATCAACCAGGAATTGTTTTAATTCATGTATGTATCTTAATGTAACATCTTTAGTGTGTTAGACTTTAATTAATAAATTTACTACTACTACTAGTATAATATTGTTTCCATGTAATATTTGTTTCATTCTTGATGTGATTTCTCAATATTCTGGCGAAGAAATACATGTATAAGCTCTTTCTTATACGATTTCAAAGTTATGAATCAAAGTTTATTATTTTCTTTTAACTTCCCCCAACCCTAAAATATTAGGGTAGGGTGTGAGATTTTTTCACACTCATTATATACAATACCCTTTTTATATTGTGCATACCCGTAGTAAATGTATTTCTAGGAATTATTTCACAAGTTATAACTTCATAGAAGTCAATTAAAGTAAATTTCGTATTTCATCACTTTGTCATTTAACGTTTTTTATGACTGTATAAGGGTTAAATTATGCAAATTAGCTTATTTCAAAGACATTTCTTCCGAATTACTGACATTATAACATAAACTTTGGTGAAAGAATTAAGTTTGTACCTCATATACTTCCAAAGTTATGAATTAAAGTCCATTTCCATTTGACCCCCCTCAAATATCTGGGTAGGGGGACAATTTTTTTTCAGCGTCGTTATGTAAGATACACTTTTAATATTTTGCACATCTGATATACATATATAGATGCATTTTTAGGCATTACTTTATTTGTTAAAACTTCATGAGAGGTCAATTAGAGTAAATGTCGTATTTTATCGCATCGTCATTTAACAGTTGTTATGACTGTATAAGGGTTAAATTATGCAAATTAGCTTATTTGCGTATAAAAAATATTTTTTCTGAATTACTGATGTTATTACATAAACTTTGGTGAAAAAATTAAGTTTGTACCTCATATACTTTTAAAATTATGAATTAAAGTCCATTTTATTTGACCCCCTCCCCTCAAAAATCTGGATGGGGGAGAATTTTTTTCACAGTCTTTATGTAAGATACACTTCTAATATTTTGCACATTTATTATACATATATAGATGCATTTTTAGGAATTATTTCATAAGTTATAACTTCATATGAAGGCAATAACAGTAAATGTGATATAACATCATTTCGTCATTTACTAGTTTTTATGGCAGTTTAAGGGTTAAATTATGCAAATTAGCTTTTTTCATTCAAAATATTTTATTCTGCATTACTGATGTTATTTCATAAATTTTGGTGAAAAAATTAAGTTTGTATCTCATATACTTCCAAAGTTATGAATTAAAGTCTATTTTCTTCTGACCCCCCTAAAATTATAGGGCGGGGGGTATAAAGATGAAGATATCTTATTTTCGCAAGTCTCAAACTCTAGATATCACCCCACATCATAAAAGTAACTTATTTTCCAACAAGAACTGAAAAAATCTCGCGTAATACTTTCCAATATCCATTTTCACTTTCTAGCTGTTTCTCAAAACTTGGGTCCCTGAGTAAACTGTGTTTCCCAAGAGGTAGTAGTGAAACTCCTTTGACCAGTACACAATGAACCAACTGATAATGTTGATGTTTAATCAGTATTTGTGTAGGGTTTACCAGAATCACCAAGCTTGGTATTTTATATCATTTACACGTGACATTTTGAAATAAGTATTTATTTTTACCATGTATTTTTGTAAATCCTTTCATATATCAAGACTTCGAATAAATAGCAATTAAGGTATGGGATCTCAATCTATTTAACAAACAAGGCACTATATGGAAAAGCCGGGTCTGAATAATGATGTTGTATCTTAATTATGTTCAAGATAATTGCATGGCGAAGATCGATCTGTGCTTTGTCCTTGACCGAAGCAATAGTATCAAAGTGAGTGACATTATACTGGCGAAAGAATTTCTGAAAGAGCTTTCTGATTCATTCTTGGTGAATTATGATGAGAACGCTGTGGATGAGCCTAAGTGGGAGCACGCCATGATTGGTGTAAGCACTTACAATAGCCGTGTTTATCAGCATTCATTGGGAAAAGACTGCAAAGACAATGCATGCGTCCATCAAAAAATTGAATCCATCCCGAACACACACAAGAAATACACTGAAACAGATGATGCTCTGCGTAATGTAAGAGAACTCTGTCTTGGTCCGCATGTAACTCGAGGTCGCAATATTCCAAAAGTGTCACTCCTGGCGACGGATGGAAATACTTGGGAAAGGTATACAACTTTTATCAATTCTCAAAAAACTATCGATGTGGCTAAAGATCTTCGTGCTGCCAACATTTCAGTTGATATCATTGGATTGCCAAATTATAAAGAGCATGTAGGGATCGAGGAATGGATGGGTGTGGCCAGTAGCTTTATAATTGATCTTCGACGAAATCCCGATGATCCTTGGCTTCCTGACTTTAAAGATTTGGAGCCGATTGTTGGAACGGTGGCGAGATTAATATGTGAGAAATACGGCGTCTCGGAATGATTCTGAAGAATAAATCATAATATATAGTTCAGATAAAATTACCATATATTTTTATTATATCTTTTATTGACTCTTTAGATGTCATATCATGACATATTAGTCACTAAGGTAGAGCAGTTCTTCCCATTGTCGAGTTGAAGAACTGGTATCTTTATCCTGGCTAGAACCATAGACAATTCTAGCCATATACAATTGTTTTGGGTTATGGTTTGCATTAACGGATAGGTCGGGTATTTAATAGAGTCAATATGGCTTTTAAGGTTGCATATAAAATCGAAATGAAAACGGATACGTATCAGTAGCGTTATCACTTATAACTATTCAGCTGAACAGTGTATCATGCTGAGACTAAAACATGTACACTCTACTATACCCTGTACCTAACCCCTAGAAATGCATAAAATACTCTGTTTGTCTAATTGCATTGTTTAGTATATTTTTGAAAGTACCTAATTAACCTTATCTAACTTTCAACCGATAAACCATTAATAAGGAACAGACAAATAAAATCAAATAACATAATCATACTGATAAGCCAAATGGGTTGCTATGAACACTAAATGCAAGGTATAGTAGTGATGTAATATGCTGTTCATACATGCAGTTCATGTAGCTTGTTTTCTGATACAAGCTACAGGTACATGAACTACATGTATGAACAGCATAGTATTCCATAGACATGAGTATAATGATTCCAGTTGATATTCACGTCAAATTTCCTGAATCTCTGGAGCTGAATTAACCGAACTAACCTGATTGTATATTGCTAGTCTTCATGCCAAAATACAGTATTTATACTTCCTCAATGCCGTCAGTGTAGTATACAGAGGATTTTTTCATCAGGATGTATTTTCAACGGAACAAATTCAGTTAGACGTCTGCATTGAAAATCACTTCAAATTCATAGCTAAACAATTAATAATGGAGGCCTAATATCATAATTTCATGACTTTTGAATATCAAGTAACAAAGACCTTATTTACTGGTCAGGATGAATATGGATTTTATTCCCATAAATCTCTTATTGAATTTTTGGGAATTAAGCTTTACATTTATTGGATGTTTTACAATGCCCAATAACATTAGTTAAATATATATTAAACCAATCACCGAGTACTGCAGTATTTGATATACATGGAAAAAATGTAGCACTTCCCCCACTGATAATGTCTTACCACGTAGCCAGCTTTTGCCAGGGGGGTCAGTTTTTTAAAAAAAATCCAAGAGGGATTTACATTTTACAATTTTGGTACAATTTCACTCGAAAATAACTCAAAAATGGTGAAAAATGAATGATTTTGAAAGAATTTTTGACTGGGGTGGTGGTTGCTCAAACCCCCTGAACACCCCCACTGGCTACGGATTCGATTTCACATCATCTTCTGTTGCTTTCCATCATATATGACTTTTGTCACCTTGGCAATAGTTTATTGATAAAGTCTGTTATGGTTTCCATGGAAACTTTGTTGGGATTGGTTGTTGACTGTTGCCCTGGATGGACCTTCACCCCTTCTCCCCATGGCCAGAACAGCAGTTTATTTTGGCAGTCACTAGATGTAAACAAACACAAAATAAAATTAATCAACAACCATAGTTTGGAGGTATTCCACTTATACAAGATGAGATTGACATTAATTGGGACATTGGTATGTCTTTCGAGGTGTTCCACTTAACAGAAGTTAGCGGTATTACCCTAGAACTTTTTGCTGTATAAGTCACTTTTTAAATAGATCAAAATATTTTACAAAAGCTATACATTTATTCTTTACTTTAGAAAATAAGATAAAAATAGATAAATACTGAATCCTTTGTGTTTACCTGTATGAGGCTATACCATCTTGGGGGGTTTCAAATACAGATTCTCTGGTTGTGCTATTGTAGAAGTATTTCTTATTAGAACTACGGCTGTAAGCCATCATCCAAGGTTCTATAAGAAAGCACAAAGGGCACAATCTAATAGAATAACACAAACCCATAAAAATCTTAGTATACAAAGAAGAAATTTCAACTATTTTCTCAAATGAGGCTGATACGAATGCTACATCTAGAACTCCAATAAAGTGTTTAAATCATGAAGTTGAAAATAGTTTTATTATCATGAAGTTAAAAATAGTGTATTGGATAACTCATAAAATAGTATAAATTAAGGAAAACAATAATATGTGTTAATGAAAAAGCAGATCTGCAGCAAATTTGTATAATATGGTAAAATCTTTAAAGTAGAAACACCTTTGTTTCTTCAAAATGTTCCACTTGGGAGGTGTTCTACTTACAGTGGTTTTATTACTTATGGAGATAGATGTTCCTCTTACAGGTGTTCATTTTACATTAGATAACAAATAAGAGGACTTGGAAATATGTTCATTTATAGATGTGTTCCATTTGACAGGTTTTACTGTACTGATAGAGAGCCTACTGACCTTTAACTGTCTTAAAGAAGTATATCCCAGTGGGTAGGAAACATCGGTCAGCCTCTCCACTGATGTAACACAGTTTCGGGGTCACCCCTCCACCTTTACACACTTTCATCTCAAGTCTGAAATAGGTGGATGTACAGTGTAGTTTTATTACATTAACCTAGAATTCCAATTCACTGAGACTCAGAAATTTAACTGGTTTACCCATTGACTAAGTTTATTCTTAAACTTCGAGTTTTTTTTCTAGATTTTTAGTGATCTGGTAATTTCTTAAAAATAGTTCTGAGTTAACTTTTACTCTTACAATTATTCTTTAAAACAACAGTGTTTTCTCTTAAAAATAAATTTTATAATTATTCAGGCTCTTAGCCAGGGGAGGTGATATGGGGGTGATAGGTTCCAGTGAAGCATCCCCCTGGCAAAAAAATTCTTTCAAAATCATGCATTTTTCAGCATTCTAAATTGTCAAAAGTGAACTCCTTCCTCCTGGAATTTTTGCAAACAGTTGAAGAATGAAAACAAGAGGCAATTTTGGTTCATCCTCTACTGTTACCCCCTCCCCCATTGTGTTTAGCTCTTTTGTCTTTATAGACTTCTTACTTGTCAAAGACTTTGGTGATCTGTTCACAGCGGAATATATCTTTCACCCTCAGAGGGGCCAGGTCTGATCTAGTGGGTTTAGTGATGGATTTCACAAATTTGCCAATTCTCTGCTGCCTGAAGAAACAAACCAGTCGCATTTTAATGATCACTTTCACGGTGGATAATCAAATCAAAGACACAGTCAAGCAGGACTGTACGTGACTTGCATTATTTAAAACAAGTCTACAATGCAATATAATAATTGCTTAAAATGGCATTAAGTCCAAACTTAATAGGGCAAGTATGTTAAGATTTGGGATAAATCTTTGCTTTAGAGAGCAGGTTTGACCAATATTCCACCTGCAATAACATTGATTCATCAAGTATTGCCCTCTAATCTATAACAATTTCTTAAAAAGTATTTGAATGGCTTAATAGATGCTAGATTTATAAACAATTGTTACTGACCTCTCTGTAAAGTGCATATTCCTAATATCTGTTCCATACAGGCATATTGCATCTAGAATGTGAACTGCTATCTGTCTTCGCTGGCCTTTTCCCTACAAGACAAGGTAGACACATTGAATAGTTTTATGAACATTGTACAACTGTGACACACATATATTTAGTTAAACTACAACTTTTTTAAAGAACTTGTACATGGAAAAGTATGGAATTATGGTCCTTGAGGGATTACTTCTCTGCTTTGTAGTTTAATTGCTTTAATTAGTTTATTCCAATTGTAGCCCAATTGGGAACAACGTTTGAGGTATGGAAATAGTTGTCCCTAGAAAACAAAATGAGAGGGGCTGAAACTTTGTGGTCATTATGTTAGATGCTCTTGTACAAGTTCTCTTTAAAACATGTAGGTTGAACTCCCTATGGTTAATGACTTGTAATGACTTCCATGGTATGGAGTGTTAGACCAAGGGACAAGGTTATTTATATTTGGGAAAAGAGGGTAAACAGAAAAGCATTAACATGAAAAATTTCACCACCATTTGTTAGACACCAACCACCGACAACCGATCCGATCGCCGTCAATATGACACAACATTTTGGTGGTTACATAAAAATGGTGGCTTAATGATATGTAATAACTTATTGGTGGTTGAAGTACAGAAAAATTAACAGTCAGGCCGAATATCTCAAAAAATCAATCCAACTACACAATGATTAAATACCTCTCCTCGTAGTTCCTGTACAATCTCTACATCTAGGAGTGTATCTTTTGGCAGTTCAAGTTTTACATCATCAAGTCTTCGCCATTTCATACCAGATAAACCATCCCATTTAAATATATGAGACCTCTGAAATGAGAAAAAATAATTCATCTTTGTATTTAAACGAGCTGACATATGTAAACACTGATAAAGCAAGTATTAAGCTGTTTTATCTGAACATCCAAAAGTGTTCACATTTGGTAATGTAAATATGCAATTCAATGGGAGATAAGAAAGTGTTCACATTAGAGAAGTGTTCAGATATACATGTTCAATTACATATTCATGCAGATATTTCCCAATGTTCAAATATACTGCCAAGGTCAATTGGCAGACATTGTACCTCATGATTTTAATTTTCTTTTGCCAAGCCCATATATGACAACCCACTTACCCCTAATCCTAGTAAAAACAGTCGCTGGCCCCCAGCTACCATACAGCGATAGTCAAAGACACTTTTAATACATTCTCCCAAGTTGCTTGGATTAAGGCAGGTGAAGTTAGCATTAAAGCAGCCAGTGCTGCCATCTTTCATCAACTCCTGGTACTTCTTATCAGGCTCTGGTTTAGTCTTGCTGGTCCTAGCCTCATCTGGGATCTGATATGAGAGATATACTGTATAAGTGGTATTGATCCGAGTGGTTAATTTGCCGAATGGTCAAATTTGATCATTTTCCTAATTTTAATTTTCCTAATAACAAGAAACTTCCCATTGGATAACATTACTAGTATGAAGAGAATATTTCTGACATTTAATATTCGGAACCTGGCAAAAATTAGGCAATTATAGGCAAATTAAATGATTAGGCATTATCACATATACAGTATTGAATGAGTTTTTTTTTAATATTCCAAAATCAAGTATGCAGAAATTTTTCTAGTTTAAGATTAGCACACTTTCCAATTTCATTCAGATAGTGCTAGGCCAGATAATATAAATCGTAACTTCTAATTTAAAGTGCAGATGTAGCCTTTGTTTTGAGATACAAAACTTTAACATCCTCTGAACGCAGGGTTCGAGAAGTCATCCACTAAATTACTTTCTTCTTCCAGTTCCTTTCTTGTAAGAAGGAGGCACGAGTTCTGGAGGCCTGTGTTCGGAGGATGAACTTAAAGAGCATTTACCTTCCACAATTTGAGCGTTTCTTCCCTTATTTCAGCCTGCCTCTCTTCATAGAGATCACTGTAACAATGCAAATATAATTTAAACACAATATTTGATCCTCTGTCTCCTTCTCATGGAGATCATGACAACAAAGCCATTATTAACATGTAATTGTATAGATCACTGTAACAATGCAAATATAATTTAAACACAATATTTGATCCTCTGTCTCCTTCTCATGGAGATCATGACAACAAAGCCATTATTAACATGGAATTGTATAGATCACTGTAACAATGCAAATATAATTTAAACACAATATTTCATCCTCCTGACTCCTTCTCATGGAGATCATGACAACAAAGCCATTATTAACATGTAATTGTATAGATCACTGTAACAATGCAAATATAATTTAAACACAATATTTCATCCTCCTGACTCCTTCTCATGGAGATCATGACAACAAAGCCATTATTAACATGTAATTGTATAGATCACTGTAACAATGCAAATATAATTTAAACACAATATTTGATCCTCTGTCTCCTTCTCATGGAGATCATGACAACAAAGCCATTATTAACATGTAATTGTATAGATCACTGTAACAATGCAAATATAATTTAAACACAATATTTGATCCTCTGTCTCCTTCTCATGGAGATCATGACAACAAAGCCATTATTAACATGGAATTGTATAGATCACTGTAACAATGCAAATATAATTTAAACACAATATTTCATCCTCCTGACTCCTTCTCATGGAGATCATGACAACAAAGCCATTATTAACATGTAATTGTATAGATCACTGTAACAATGCAAATATTATTTAAACACAATATTTCATCCTCCTGACTCCTTCTCATGGAGATCATGACAACAAAGCCATTATTAACATGTAATTGTATAGATCACTGTAACAATGCAAATATAATTTAAACACAATATTTCATCCTCCTGACTCCTTCTCATGGAGATCATGACAACAAAGCCATTATTAACATGGAATTGTATAGATCACTGTAACAATGCAAATATAATTTAAACACAATATTTCATCCTCCTGACTCCTTCTCATGGAGATCATGACAACAAAGCCATTATTAACATGGAATTGTATTGTATTGTATTTTGTTTTCCACCAATGAAGGTGAGCAATACCTCTTGGGTATATCCCGTATATATACGGTCATAATTAACGTATATCATCATTGAAGACAGATCCAGGAACCCCTCCTTGATGGAGCACTGTGTTCTTGAATGTGAACTTATACATAGACATACATGTACACACCAAAGCCTTTTGTACGAGTTGTGGACCACTTAGTCAAACACCCTGAAGTACTTTACGCAAACAAGCAAATTAAGTCTTGCCTGAACTGTGGATCGAATCCGGGACCTATTGCGTAAGTGGTACATGCGATACCACTGAGCTATTCAGGTGGACTAATGGTTTTATTTTGTCAAAACTCAAAAGGATATCATCAGAAGTGTCTTGATAAATCATGAGACAATATATGAGACATGAGAAGAATAATTTGGTTTCTGACTGAGTCCTTGTTTTTAAATTATTACTAAACAATGTATGTGCATGACAAATAAAATTTTATTTGAAATAAATTCATTATATTTCAAACAAAAACTTCCTCAAATAACTTTTGAAATTAAATTGAAAAGTTCCACATACCATATTTTGATACCATTGAATAAAACTATTTCAAGACAGGCCTCTACGCAGAAATAAAACCATTATATTTCAGTGATAACTTACTTATTTTGAGCAAAAGCTTGGATTTTTCCTAATGCAATGCTTTGTTTTTTACCTAGACTGAAAAACAATTAAAATATTGGTTAGATATATCAAAAGCCTTTATTACATTCATTTTAAATATATTTCTGTTATCAGTAACACTTTACACACAACAAGACTAAATTGAAATATTTGTTTTAGATAATTGCTTCCTTAAACCATAACTCTCATCAATTATGAAGAGTACATAGGCAAAACTGTTGAACTTTTTAGAATTAATTAATATGAGCCAGTGGCCATAGGAAAACCAGTCCTATCACAAAAATTTTAATTGTGCTACTGTGAGAGCCAAAAATGTGCCCAAGATAGAGAGGAAAATATACTAAATTCAAATCCGAAAAATTGTTAAGACACAAGCCATGGCTCATTCGACAGGTCTCTTTGTGCTTTTTAAGATAAACAAAAGATCAGATTATTGAAAAAATCTGTGAAAAGACCCCTTTTCCTGTGGCCTGGCTCATAATGATATATTATATGAATACGGTATAATGAATGAAAAATTTGTGTGAATTTGCTCTAGAACACTTCTAAATCACCCCCCCCCCTCATATCCCCCCCCATATTACAGTCTATTGTTTATCCACAAGTACTTACGATTCATTGGAAGTGACAATATAGTCGTAAAATTCTGTGTCCTCTCTTATTACGTCTAAAGGCACAATTTCTTGCACATCTTTGGTTTGAGTGGCAGATTTCAAATTATTTATTTGGCAGTTAACTTTATATAGGTAATCATAAATATCCTTGTGGTCCTCCCTGAGCCCCTTGCATATTATGTACCTATGGATAACACAACAATCAAGAGATAAGAAACTGATTGCAATCCATTTATACAATGGTACCTTAATATATTTTCCCAAAAATTAACATATTATTAAACTGCCACGATGTTCTGAAAATGGTGATGTATTTTTTTGTCTTCATCCCTACCGAAACTGGAACAACTTATGATCATTTTTGACACAGTTTATAAAAAAATAGTGATTTTGCGTCCTTATCAATTTATCAATCCCTTCCATACAATTGTTTGAGGATATACTCAAAAATGTTGTAAAATAACACATGTTCATTTAAAATACAGTTGACAAATTGAGCGAGTTTTTAGAAGCTCCTTGACTGAAGAACTGAAGGTACCACAGTATAGGTCATTGGCAAAAGAAAATATAAATATTTTTACCTTTCTGAGTTAGCTGGCCTACTGGTTACAGGTTTAAATATACTGACGTGATCGTAGGCCCGATACATTAGGTAGATCAGACCAACACTGAACAAGGTGAACACATCGAACAGCTTGCACACAAAGTGGCCACCTGGATTGAAAAGCAATTTGAACAGTACATTATTAGAGGGTGTGATAGTGAATTTGTTTAAAGGTGCACTTGAAATACAACAAAAAGAAATTCATTCAATGTGAGCAGGCATTTTCAACGGGGAATTAGTCCGTCTAGCATATATGACCATAAATGAGCCAACAAGTGTGTAGAATACATATGAGGTATATATTTAATAACATAAAAAAATGTCACCACATCCAAAATGTTTCAGAAGCCGAACGCTGACTGTCAACTGCTGTCAAAAAAAGTTGGAGGCTTTTGGTGATGACATAAAAAAATACTACACAGTTACATAAGTACAGTAAATCTGTCTAGTTTGCCACTGGAACCAGCCTAAAAGATGTTTGGAATAGCAGGTGTTCGCATTTTAAGATTTCATTAACAAGGAAGTCAATGGGAGATTACAAAATTGAGACAGAGAGAAAATGTTCGTATTGAGATATGTTTGGATAACAAAGGTGTTCAGATATATACATGTTTTACTGCAAGTCAATCTACATAAGTACTCCTAGATATAGTTCAATTAGAGTTACATAATCATTACCTGTTCTTAGTATAGACATTGCACACAAACACTGGCAGAGATAGAGTTGCTTGGATAAAATTTCTTGAATATTTTCCTGGCCTTCAACTGAAAATCCCTGGAACAATATACACACACATGTTGGCATATACAGACATATGCATGTACTGACATATCTATGATCAGAACCTAAACAATATATCTAATTTCCCACTTAGCCATTTACTTATGGCTTCCGTATTCTCTCAGTTCAAATTGAGCGCGTTTGTGACTTTTATGATGAATATAGTCTCAAACAAAACATGAAGTTTAATGCATAAGTTTCTTATTTTTTATGTGCGCTTATTTGACTAAATATTTTACCCTTTTAAGGATGCAGTACCGGGTCGGTTTTCACGTCTGTTTGCGCAGGTTTGACTTCCGGTTTGAGAAAGCTAGCTCCCAAGAACGTCATTTTCGCATTTAGTCTTATTCAAAAATTATAGTTTATTTCGATAATGGTGTTTCCAGAAAAGAATTAAATTGCAAACATTTTATTAAGCATATTTTATCCCTTTCACTTTTATTGGAAAACTTGTTCTTGAGTCGCAATTAGTGGATACGAAAACCAGGGTTCGAAAGGTGCCAGCTCTATTGAAAACTCAAAAAAGTAAAAAGATTCATTTTGGGTGGGTAAAATAATTTTTTTATTTTGTAATTACCAGACGGTCAATCCTCTTCATATTGCACTTGGATGATGATAACATCATAGTGATACATTGTAAAAAATATGAGCAAAATCTAATGTCTGGAACTTTTTCTACGCTGACCTGGTACTGCATCCTTAAATCTAAATGTGCACTTTGCCACATGAGAGAGAATTCGGTAAACACTCTTGATAGTTTGTACTGTAAAACCTGTCTAATCTGAATGCAGACTGGAACCAGCTATTGTGTTTGGATAATGGGTGTTAATGTCACAATGTTTCAAGGTTTCTCAATATGTTACATTCTTAGTCATTTGGAGATAACAAAATTGGGACAGAGAAAGTGTTCACATTTGGAGGTGTTCAGATTAGAAAGGTATTCGGATAAACAGGTTTTACTTTAGATGTTATTTAAACAAAAAACTTAGCTTGAGATATTAAACTGAAACTATTTCGCAGGTACCTACCCCATCTGCCATTACAAAATGGACTCCTTTCCCATCTGTACTCTCTCTGACAAACTTTTTGAAAGCCTGTTGGTTGTCCTCTCTGAAAACATCTCCATCTCCCTCAAGGCCTCCAGCACCTGGTCAAAATAAGGAGAAAAATAATTAAAATGTGAAAATGTGTTGAAATCAAACATCAATTACATCAAGTGACTTTATAGATCAGTAGAAATACATGTTGAGTAAAACCTGTCTAAGCTGAAGGCCACTGGGATTTGCCAAAAGTGTTTGAATTGGCAACTGTTCATATTTCAAGGTTTTCTTAACATGCGAGTCTATGGGAGACTAGAAAAACAGCAACTCCACGGAGTAGCAAATCCCACTGAACAAAACATATTACGCTTATTATAGCTAGTGTAAATGTTGAAATGTTTGTGCACTTTGTGATAAAAGCATGAAATTTGGCACAAAGTTAGTTTATACCATTGTGAACTAGGCATCATCATATAAAATTTGAACCAAATCCGTTCACTGGTATATGTGTTATCAAAGATTACGTTTCTTACGAAAATTGGCCGCCATCTTGAAATTCAGCCGCCATCTTGAAAATTATTTCTTGAACAGAGCTACTGTGTCCCTTGGCATAATCATATAAAATTTCAACCGAATCTGTTTACTGGTATTTGAGTTATCAAAGATTACGTTTTTTACGAAAAATTGCCGTCATTTTGAAATTAAGCGGCCATCTTGAAAATTTTTTGTCAAACATAGCTACTGTGTTCCTAAGCATCATCATATAAAATTTGAACCAAATCCGTTCACTGGTATTTGAGCTATCAAAGATTACATATTTTTAGGAAAAATGGCTGCCATTTTGAAATTAAGCGGCCATCTTGAAAATCTCTTTTGGTGCGAAACTCCTTTGTCCCTAGGCATCAGCATATAAAATTTGGACCAAATCCGTCAACTTGTATTTGAGTTATCAATGATTACATTTTTTACGAAAAATGGCGGCGATTTTGAATTGAGCAGCCATATTGAAAATTCCTCCTCGGGCAGAGGTCCTACACTCATAAGGCATAAGCCTATAAAATTTGAACCAAATCCGTCAACCCGAATTGGAGTTATCGCCCGGATGGGAGGACGGACAGACGGACGGACGGCTTCTCTATATCCCCCTGGAACTTCGTTCGGTGGGATAATAACAAAATTTGGACTGAGAAAAAGTGTTTGAATTGGCAGGTGTTCACATTTCGAGGTTTTTAAGAATGCTAATGAAAATCTATGGCAGATTAAAGATGGGACCAAAAAGTGTTCACTTTGAGGGAGAGGTGTTCAGATAAGAGAGGCAATCAGACATTAAAATAGGGGATGTATTTGTATAAGAGAGGTGATCAGATATACATGTTTTACTGTGTTTTATATACCAGAATTACGCCTTATTGAAATAAGACTGGTTCATAAACATAACTGATCAATCAATAAATTGATCAATCAATAAACTGACCATAATGGGCCTCGAACATTTCAGGAGATGCAGCGAAGAATTCCTCCAGCTTGAAATCACATGGACCTTTCAAGGTCATCCCAAATCCTTTTGCATCTCCATGTTTTCTCCATAAGACATATTCGCTGAATCCTCCTGGACCCGCACAAATATCAGCGAAATACAGCAGTTCATGGGGAGGGATGATGCATTTCTGGAAAGAAGAGATCCATATAATGTAGTTAAACTTGTATTTTTTTACGTAACTGTACTGGAAAATAGAAGTAAATAGTAGAGAACAAATTCACAGATATCAGCAAAGAACAGCAGTTCAGGTGAAGGGATGAGGCTTTTCTGGAAAGAAGAGATCCATATTTGCAGTTATACTGTTTTTGTTAAGGTAACTGTACTGGAAGTAATAGAAGTAATAGAAGTAACTACGAAGGACAAATTCACAAATATCAAGGAATGTCAAGATGGAAAAATTTTATAGAATTATACAAATCATATGAATATCTTGAAAATAACATGAGACCTTAATTCTGATATTAATCTATAAATAACCAGTAGTATCAAAACTTTCTCCTTATATTGGTACCTTGGTCAATATAGCAAAGATAGGAATTACATTTCCAGGAAGCACAAAATGAGAAAAAGACAAAATAAGGATGACCCCCATAATAAATGCTACATGTACCTATCACATACACCATACTGAATGCATATTTATATGATAGTAGAAATTTAAAGGACACTTACTCCTTGACTATCTTTGGGATTAGTGAACATAAAGTCAAGCACAGCATCAATGTTGGCCATCTTCATGGCAGCCCTGAAAAGAATAATTCATTCATAATAAATTAGAAACCGTCCAAATGCCACCGGGACAAGTACGCATTGGCAAGTGTTCACTATTGAAGGTTTTTAAACATGGTAATCTATAGCAGATCAAAAAATGGGACAGAAAAAAGTGTTCGCATTTAGAGGTGTTTAGATTAGAAAGGTGTTTGCATATAGGTTCTACCTTTATGCAAGAGTGAGTCTTAATTTTTCTTTAGTTATTTTGGGACCAGGTCAAACATAAATGTGTAATTTTTAGGAAATTAATAAAGTTTTCAAAAACATTTTTCCTTAAAGGAGAACATTTCCAATTGTTTGGATAATAATGTAAATTCAATGTATGGTTTTACAAACAGATGAGTGGGTGTTAAAAATAGTGAAAAAACACTCCTGAAGAGAGTTTATTTAAATTTAAGATAAACACTGCTTTAAAATTGTTTGTTAGATATATTAATTTTGCAGCATACTAAGTTTCAAAAGCATTAGCATGTTAGGCACTGTTACAGCAGTGAAATGGATCTTTTTCATTTTTCTCCAATGTAAATACCTAATTTCCCAATATTTAAAGTTGTGTGAAAGTGTTACTATAGTACCTATTTTGAAAAAAGACACCTCTTATAGTCTCATAAGGATTGGATCTGGTTCTTGCCCTTCTCATTTCCGCACTCTCAAGCTCATCAAACAAACTCTAAAAATATATCTACAGTATTCAGAATTAAGGTGAAACATCATTTCATGCTGCATAACATCAGAAAGATGGTACATTGATTGCTTTGAATAAAGCACAGATAGCTTCCTCTGTAGTCACATTATGAATTTAGAGTATATTCAACTGTATATTTCAACATATAAAGTTTAACATATTACGGTTAAAAAATAAGATTAGATTATATAATTATGTCACTTTTATCATAAAGATTAAGTCTTCGTACCTTGCAATGAAGAACATCTTGCAGAACTTGGTGATTGCAGAATTCTGTTTCATCATTGATGGTTAGCTTGACCTAAAAGTGAGAGAAATAAGATTATTATATACAGGGTGACACAAAAGTGTATATGTATACACAGAAAAATGACAAAGATTACATCATATTTAAAAAAAGTTATTCCAAAATTAGAGCTTACATTTTTTGACGAATGGCTTCCTAACAAGTTTTTACATAAAATATTTCCATTTTACATTGTTAACATTGTTGACATGACTATTCCAATTTCAAGGTTATAACATTTTAAGCATTTTCTACCAAATTTTGGATATGACAACAAGGAAATATGATTGTCAATGTTGTCATGATTATAGCAAGCAAAATATTGAAATATTCTCCACTTACTGGCGCTATCTTCATCCAAGAATTGAGAGTGTTAGTTGAGGGAGGGGGTCCTCTGTACTGTGGTAGCCATTCAACCACTTCCTCTGTAGTCACCTTAACATGCATGCATTAACATTACAAAGAACAACCCCAGAGGCATTGCCAAAAAAAATTCGATTTTCAGTCAGGGATGTGCCATTATGACATCAACAAGCCAAAAAAATTAGATTTATCTTGAATTTTACAAAAATTGATGCAACATCCTTCAAAATTGAGCTAGAATTGCTTCATATAAAAAGGAATATTTGTTAGGGGGAGTTGCAAACCCACTATCGCACCCCCCCTGGCAACGCGTATAAACCCTTATACCAAACATGGGAAACATGACTGCAACAACACCCCTCCCCTAAGATGTTTATTGGATGGGCTACATAGAAGTATCATCGTGTAGATATTTTATCCTGATGACATTTAATAAATAAATAGTTCAACACCAATTTCAAACGGCATCACAGTTTATATACATTTATGTTTATCAAAAATGTTCCCCAGATCTAACATCGATACTCAAATTGTCTGGGGTTATTTTATGAGAATATGTGAATATGGTATGTGAATAGAAAATGTGAAACAAACCTCTTCTTTTTCGAAGTTCCACTGTAAATCTGAGCGAGCTTCAAAGTTCTGTATTTTGTGTCCCAAACCTCTCTTGCCTCGTTGATTGGAAGCTTCTACAATATCAACACGACCATCTTGCCTTTTACCAAGACCTTTGCCCTTTTCGTGACCCATCTTGGACTGAAATAATAGTGTATGGTTTATATACGATTCAAAGGTTTTTGCTATTCACATATTGATCTTTAATGTAAGTCATTTGTGTATGAAATTTGTTCAGCATAAGCTATTTGAACTATGAAATAACTTTAATATTCATATACATGTATATTACTTTTCATGTATACTATTTTTCATTATTTTTTCATAAAGCCAAGTTAAATTGGTACCATTAAGAATTCAAAATCTTCACATAAAATAAGTTCTAACCATCATCTTTGTGGCAAAGTCACTGTATTTGGCTTCTTTCTTCTGTGTGTTTACAAAGCCTTGAGCCATAGCAGGATATTTAACATCATTTGATTGCATGCCTCCAAATCCAACATGCCCACGATCATCCTCATCAGAATCTACTGTGTCTTTGCCATCTACTGCATCATCTGATTCTTCATTATCATCACTCGAGGAATCTTAAATTTAGAAAAAGAATGAGTCTTTCATTTGGGGAACTCAGCTGGTATTGGTAATCGAACACCAGCCACCAAACACCATCCACAAAAGGTTGGAGAGTATAACAAGTCACCTCATCTGGTGGTGACATAAAAATTGGGAGAAGATGAAAAAACCATAATACTTTATAAAACAGTATATTAAATATTTATATTAGTATCTTGATTTAACTACAATGACATATTTTAAACATCATTCAAACGCAATTATACACTAATTCATGTAATTACCTGATAAATGACCAGAAGATTGAAAATTTCCAAATCCAGGGTGTTCAATCTTTGGCACTTTTGGAGCTGGTGCATAGTCATCCTGTTGCCCAGCACTATGAGGATCAATCCCTTCACTGGCATAGTAGCGTTTAAGTAAAGCTTTTTTGTCCATCCTAATCAGTTCTTTGGAGTTAACAAATTTACTCTGAAATAGAGAGTACTAATTTCACATCAGGACAAAGAAGAATAAATAACAAGTCAGGGGTTTCATAAGCAGCAGGCAACAGGCAATTTTCACCAGTTGTTTTCACAAAATCACCTGTTGTTTTAGGGACTTTTCATCATTTCCATGTTAAATTTATGATTTCCATTAGTTTCGCCTGTTTTTTTTTATTCATTTAGCCTGTTGTGAGAAATTCTAGCGAAACCCCTGCAAGTAAATAAACTTGTTTGCATGTGAGATGCACAGGAAAAAGCATGGGCTTTGGGTGATAGGAGAATGTTTAAAAAAAAGGAGAATATGCCGAGAATATGACATGAACTGGTAATTTCTAGAAATGGTTGTCATTTAAACCAGTAACAATTTGATTGGCTTGTGAAGTGAGAGCCCTTGATATCTGATTAGAAACATGCAGTTGAGATGACAACAAAAGAATAAGATGAGAACAATCAAAACTGAAGTGATGGGTTATGGGTACCACTTCCAGATATGAGCATGAGAGCCCTCAAAACAAGATGACGTGCATTGAAGAATGAGATGACACTACCTACAATAGAGTGAAAAGTATCAGAGACTTTGTTGATTGCCTTTACTTTATATATATACTGTATGAAAGGTAACATACATGCACATTGTAATAGGCAGTTGCATACACACAAAGCTACATTATTCTGTAACCCATTCTGTGAATACCTCCCGCTACATATAGATCTTCCATAAAATGGGTATGGAAATAGCTTAGATCAGGGAGGGGGCTAAAATTTCGAAAGATCCTATTGTGGTGTGGAGACGACAATCCTTTGAATCTCTGATCATAGTAATAATTGAAAATAAAATGAAAATGGATGGATAATCTGAGTCTGATGTCCATGAAATAAGGACTTTATTAAGATCAAGAGTTGTTGTTGTTAATCTGAAAACATAGGATCAAATCCTATGCTAAGGGCTGATGTGAAAAAGACACTCCACCCTGGTGGGAATCGAACCCACAACCTCCCGATTACATGTCAGGTGCTCTACCACTTGAGTTACGGAGCCGACTGACTCATCATTAAGAGTTTACCTGTCTTTCCAGGTTGTTAATCACACTATTCATGATGTCACAGGGTCTTTCCCATGTGCCATCCCCCGAAGGAGAAACAATTAGTTAATCTGAAAACATAGGATCAAATCCTATGCTAAGGGCTGATGTAGGCTACACTGTCAATCAAATTGATGCAAATCGAAAGAAGAAATCATGAATAAAAAGCTATAGTTGGTTCGCTCGTAGAATATGTTCATACCAGAAGCTCAGTTGGATAGTTTTGTAACATAAATACCTTCTCACATCTTTATTTCGCCACAAATACAGTTCATGAGAGTTTTATCAACCCTTTTTACTTAGTTCTTTGGAATTTTTCTAAAAGTGTGAAAACACCGGTGCTGCCATTTTATTATTTACACATTCCGATTATTATACTGATATAATTTGACTTCAGTTTGATTATTCTGGTTTTCAATTGAACAAATACAAATACCAAGCAAAATAATGTATTCGTACATGTATTTGATTTGTCAGAATAGATCTGTAGTTAAACATACATGTTTACTAAATATATGGAATGTGTCTGGGTCAAGGTCATTCGATTCTTGATAAAAAACCACAAGCAGAAATGGCACAAGTTCTAAGTGGAAAAGAAGTGTCAGGGTAGGTTCTACTGTGATGACATTGTACATATGATTTACTTCGGTCCAAAGCCTTCTCTATATTCCGGCTTTGAGGAGGAAGATTGAGCTGCCTTAGTATTATAAATATTGTAAATCATTGTGTCACACGCACAGTAAATATGGCATAATAATATGAAATATACCTTTATGTATAGATTTGAAGAACATCAGCTCACATCCCCGTCTGAATCTATTGTTATATTTGATTTCTTTAAGCGAGAATAATTTCAAATGTTATTCACGTCCAGAACCGGAAGCCATTTTTAGCTACAGCGAGAAAATTTCACCATGTGTCAAAACTCCGAAATGAAATTTTGAAATATCTAAATCCAGACAAGCAACGCTTCATCCTAAATATGATTAATATTCTTAAAAATATTTATAAAATTTATTAAAAATGAGTTCTAGATGCGTGTAGTTGCGTGTAGCACAGTACATACGAAATCAATGAAGTTTCGTCTAGCTGTAAGCTAGAGACTCGAGTAACATATGATGACGATATACCGTTGATGTATCGTTGTTTCTTGTTTTCATAAAAAGATTGTACTAAAACTTGGCGAAATTCAAAATAATTGTTACAATTTTTTTAATCCACACATGTCGAGTGAAGGAAGTTCGGAACGGGGAGGCGTCGTTGGGGGGGGGGGGGGTGAGGTTATTGCATTGAAAATCCACAAATCAATGGAATATATTTCCATTAAACAGCTAATCTTGCCGTCAAGATATGTTGGCATCACATGCTTGTCACCCATAGCCATCACATATATGTACGCAGGGCTTACCTTCTTCTAAGGCCACTGTATCATGGCCTTCGAAGATAAAATCCTGCATTTATAATGCATGTATAACGGGTCATGTCATAATCTTAAAATTTGAAATCAAATGTCCGCCATTTTTCCACATCACAATTCTTTTTTTTATTCATAGAATTTATTTTACAAATACATATTTATACATAAACATTATACACTTGTAGTGGCTTTGCTGAAGGCATTATCAGCCACTTGATTAATAATTGCAGAGTGAAGAAAAAAGAAAAATTTAAATATGGACTCACATCACAATTTGAATTGCACATGAACACACATGAAGTGATCAATGTATTAGTTCACATCTTCTTGATCGCTAACTTAGAATTTACAGCCAGTTACTAATGTCAGACATTAATGACATTTCGTCCAGTTTTAGAATATCACCATTTTTCTTGGAGCCATTTTGTTCTAGTTTTAGACGAAATCCTGATGAAATCATGCAATATCTCATCAAGGGGCTGAGCCGGTCCCATTTTAATTAATGATTTATTTATCTGGCGATTTTTAGAATATTCAACAATAAATTTTAATATGACATGCCGGCCAGTTTTTTTCAAATGGAGTTCACAGTATTCCAGATGGAATTACCTCTAGCCAAAAAATTGGCTAGAGACTCGAGTAACGCAGGGCCAGAATATATGTACAGTGTAGAGTGCTGATACAAAATAATAAAGGGTGAGTTTTCTAACTAAACAGTGCTCAGAGGTGGCGTTAACGCAATTTTTTACGTTTTTTACTCACATTTTTGCAACTCTGACGCAAATATTCATTGTCTACCGAGTCTTTCTGACGCACGTTTGTTTCACATGCAAAATCCCCGCTTGTTACTTGGTTAAATTGATCCCTATACGTGAAAATACGTGATTGATCAAAGGACGATTCTCGGTTTGGAGAACAGTCTCCTGGGCTAATAATTTTTTCATGAAAAATATAGAAATATTACCCAAATTAAACTATGAATATTCAAAAGAGGACATTTAAATCCACAAGATGTAAAAATAACAAATTGATCTGAAGCAGGGATAACGCTCAATTAGACCGATTCAATAAAATACAAGTCTCGATTTGGGGAAAGAAGTTCATCAGTGTACTGCGCTAATATTTTTTTGCGAAAAATCTGGAAATATTACCCAAATTAAATTATGACTATTCAAAAGATGACATTCAAATCTACATTATGTGAAAAGATCAAATTTGTCCGAAGCAGGGATAATGCTCATTTAGATTGATGAACTTCGTTCTCCAAACCGAGAATCATCCTTTATAATTTTGCTAATTCCGGAAATCTAACATTTTGTTCAGCGCAATCGAGCCTCCTTCCTACCGATCATTTTCTCATTTCGGTATTTCATATAATTTTTAAAGCCCCGTGATTCAGATTCAATGATAAACTTGAAAACATTGATCGATCCCTCGATTTGTTTATCTCGTGAAGCACGTTGCTAGGGGGCGTATCAAAAATGCAATAAAACGAACATAACATTGAACAATAATTTATTAATTTCATACTCCCTTCTAAGGACTTTAGTGATCGTATATTTATCTAAATTACCGCATAAAATCTTCCCTTGAATGTTCACACGCTAGATTTACGAATCTTTAGTTTCCTTCGCAAGTTCGCAAAATTCCTTCGCTAAGTTAGCAAGTTTCCTTGAGCCGTCCCCTTCATCAGCATGCGCAGATGTAATGCGCAGTAGGTTTATCAATGGTGCTCACAGTGACCGATCTATCGTAAGTTTTCACCAAGTATTTTCAATTAACTCCCTCAAGTTAAGATCTTCGATTCACTAGATCTGAAGCTGATCCTATGAAGATAGATAATGGGCACATGAAAATCCAGTCGATCGCACATTAAGGGGGGTAATGATGATAAATTAGGTATGAAAACAAATCTACTTTCGGTTTCATTTGATCAGCTATAATTACAAGATTCTACCGTATTCAATTTAAATGATGCCCAGTATTGTGGTCGGACTTATATTGCCGTTTTAGACTTTGGAATGATTGCAAAAATGTTGAATTTCAACATGAAACGCTTTGACCCCAATTTGTGTAACTCCACACAGGGAGAAACTCCTCTCCCACTCCATTCACACCCATGACTCGCTGGACCAGATAATCAGATGATTAATAGTGACATTTTTCTTGCAATTGCCTAATTAATTAATTGTTAGTTGTTAATGTGCTATAAGAGTACAATAAAAGGTATGCACAAAATCAAAAAATAGATTTTGTATGTGGTTTCTACATTTTGTATGCATTTTTACTCAAGAAAAACACTTTTATAGCTTTGACTCAACTTTTTTTCTTGTGACTCACTTTTTTGAAACTACCTGAGTCATGATGACTCACAAAAATATATGCCTACCGCCACCGCTGAGTGCTCCTACCAAAATGGATTTGCCGACTTACACTGTACCCCTGACACTCTTATCTGATAGATAGAATGCACAAATAAAACAAAAGTTTTGCTATTATACTGTAGGTAAAAAGTTCTCTCAAATTTCGAAGTGATTTTACCTGTTTTACCTGTCATTGGTCCGCCAATTTTGCAGAAGTTATACTGAAACACAAACTCCATGAAACAAAAAGAAATCACTAGAAAAAAACATGGCACACATCGTGCGCATGTGCACTAAAGTTTTAACCAATCAGATTATTTGATTATTTTGCGCACATAAATTATTTGCTTCTGAGCACTTACCTTTAAAAGCTTACCACTACATGTATAAACAAACCTGGCGGAGATTACCCTTACTTCATTTTAGCGAAATTTCAGGTCAAACTTGTGACAAATTCATTATGCCTACGCTGGTATGCAGTCTTAGAGACACTCATTTTGGTAAATATGATTTACGGTTTATACTTTTCTGCAGTTTGAAGGAGTTTTGGACATTAAATGTTTAAATTCAAGAAAATATGCCAAAAATATGACTTATCAATTAATTTGTATCAGCACTGTAGTTATAGTGTAACGACTCTTGGTACGCTCATCCGGGGAGCTGTAGTGTAACATGCCAGATACAGATCTGGCTGAATTCAATGCCACATACAGGAATCAAACCCAGAACCTTCCGCTGATGCTCTACGACTTGAACAACACAGCTGCCCAGGGTCATTACACCATTCCCGCAATCCTTAACTGCATCAGATTCGCTTTCAATATGGAAACAAATATGTAGAGGTGTCACGGATACCTGATTTTGTTCCGATCCGCGGAATTATGCCCTCGGAACAGAACACGGAACAAAAATTAAGAATTTCGGTTCAGTTCCGGAACAAGAACATTTTACCCTTTCACAACTTCTGGCCTTTGAATCTCCACAAAACAGCATTTTTCTTTCAATATTTTGTACCAAAAGATGTTCATTCTTTTTACTCCTTCTCTTTGGAGAGTTTTGAAGAACTTTTTGCTACCAAATAGACCTACATGTAGATGATCAAATTATTTTAATCTAATACACGCAGTCACTCTGTTCCGAACCGTTCCGAAATTGTTCCATTCCGAACCGAACTGTTTCGATTTTTTTCAAAAAACGGCAGAATCCTATATTGTTTTGACTCTAGGGGGTGACATTGGTTGTGCTGACGGTAAAGTCGTTAACATTTGTCAGCTGATTCTATAGAGGTTGAATTTGGTTGGTTGTGCCATTGACCTCTATCCTGGTTTTGGTGAATATGCAGAGGTTGCCCTTTCAAGCTGATTTTACAGAGGTTGACATTAGTTGTGCTAAGAATACTCGTGACATTGGCCATTATGTGGATATGAATGTACATACTGTACCATAGTAAAGTCCTTGGACTTGGAAGTTTTTTTAATTTATACATGTATATGTATTTACAGAGAACTTCGAAATGCGATCAAGGAAGAAATTGCTGCCATAAGGCAGACCAGCCCTGACTTTAACCCTGGGTTAGCCATTGTTCAGGTGAGTAGTGTACATGTATGAAGTAATATACATGCAAACATGTCACTGACGTATCCAGAAGCTAACAAGGGGGGTGGGGCCCAAATTTCAAATTTTTAAAAAAATTTTCGGCACCTGAAATCAAAAATTTAGCTCAAATTTTAAAAAGGATCTTTTAAGGCCAAATACATGTATTTGATAATTTGGCCAAAAAGGCCCATTTTTGAGGCCCTAGAATATTTTTCTGGGTCCACAAAAGGTGGAAGGCACGGGCCCCCTGGCTCGGCCATTGTGATACTTGTACATGTATATACATGCATTCTATGTGTACATGTACTGTAAACTTCAATTTAAAACTGTAATATTCCTTGTATTTAATATTTTTGTGAATGATTCATTTTTTGTACAATCATACAATCATTTGTTGGAAATCTTTAAATCTTCTTAATCATTCTTCGTACTGTATATAATTAATATTAGAAAAAATGAATTATTCACAAAAATATCAATGAAACAGTTACATACATGTAGATCAACATAATTTGCAGGTAAGATTTTTTAAGATAAATTACCAAATAGAAAATGAGCTCATTTGTGCTTTCTGATAATTTATTCTATTTTGTGTTAGGTTGGAGGGCGTGAGGACTCGAATGTTTACATCAGGATGAAGTGTAAAGCTGCAGAAGAAGTTGGCATGACAGCCACACATGTCAAGCTCCCACAGACTACAACAGAACAGGAACTTCTGCAAGTGGTTCAAAAGCTCAACTCTGATGTGAAGACCCATGGGATTATTGTACAGGTAATTTAATGTCTGCATCCTTTGTACCTTACCCCATTGCCTGAGATTGTCTGAGACCGTAGTTTGAATATTTTTGCCTCAATCCCCCAATATCAGTTTTTGCAGAAAGACTCCATCCCCAATATCTGTTTTTTTTAGACACACTATCCTGAATATCGGATTTCCCAGAAAAACTCCACCTCGAATATCTGCTTTCCCAGACAGACTCAATCCCCAAATATCTGTTTTCCAAGACACTCCATCCCCAAATATATATTTTCCCACACAGACTCCATCCCCAAATATATGTTTTCTCAGACAGACTCCATCCCCCAAAATCAGTTTTTCCAGACAGACTCCTTCCCGAATATCTGATTTCTTAGACAGTATCTTTGAATATGTGCTTTCCCAAAAAAACTCCATCCTCAAATATCTTCTTTCGCATCCCCCAATATATGTTTTCCCAGGCAGACTCCATCCCCAAATACCTATTTTCCCATTATAATGATATTTATTCTAACCTGTGTGCAAAATAAATGGACTTGAGTCTATCACTATCACAAGCTATTGGACTTTGCTAACATTGATAGATATATTAACTAGTTATACTTTTATCAAGAATACCCCCTTTGAAGTTTATAAATACTACTGACATACTTTTAAATGCCTTTGTACAGTTGTGCAATTTCTATTGAATCCTTATTGTACACTGAGCTATGTTTTTTAAAGGCAGCGTAATAAGTTTGACATTTTTCCATACGTGTACATGAAAATAATTCAAATTATCCAGAGACACAACAAAGAAAATACATATCGGTCAGTAAAAGTCAAGAGTTAAACACTAGATTCTTCAAATTCATTGGCTATTGTGTTTTGGTTAAGGATGAATTTGGTCTAGTAAATAAAAATATGTGATCTTTCCAGATTTTCCCAACAGGGTGCTTATAATCCTAATTTTACCTAGCGCTCAAAACCTCCCAATATTTTATCATTTTGACAGGATGCAGACATATTTTCAACAGGTCGGCATGTAATTTTGAAGCAATCAGTCGCTTCTATGCTGAGGAGAAATCACTGTTACATATTCAAGTACACTTGTTTTGATAATGCGATATCTGATAGTAATTATATCATCCAGGCATCCTCATATAGAACATGAACATTGACCTACATTTATGCCATTGAGATTCAAAGGAACTCAATGATAAACTGTCATGTACTTTACATACAGATGTATGTGTATTACTATCTAGGAATAGACTCTAAAAGGCCACTCTCTTAAATGTCTAAATATTGACATATGTCTATATGTCTATTGACCCCCCCCCCCCCCCGACTACAGGCCTGGGTCATATTTATTTTATTTTGTGGATCAGTAGAAAAAGACGACTGACAGTTGACAACAAGTAAGACCTGCCATCTATTCAAGTACATATCTTAAAGTCCAGTATTAAAGGCCCACTATACTTAATCTAGAAGAAAAAAGAAAAAAATTATCATTGAAACATATAATATTACTCACACACTCGCTCAAATATGACACAAAATTTGATTAGCTTTCATATTGAATCAAGAAAAAATATTTCACATAGAAAAAAACATTTGAAGTTCAGAGATCATTAGACATGCATGCACATGCTAAACAAAGTGCATGTTTTTAATTACTTTTGATTTAAAAGATGGCGACACTTCTATAAAATTGAATGTATCATGTAATACAAACAACTTCTCCATCTTTCAATGACATTGATAAAAACTTGAAATACAAAGCTTGACAGATCGAAAATATTTTTTGATTGATTATTGTAAGCTTTGATGTGGTCCGTTTGAGAAGTTGTTGGTGCCAAATGAAAGATAGGGTTCTTATCAATACATTGGACATTCTATTAGAATTAAAATAAAAGTTCTTAATTTGCCCAAAAACATTGAAAATACGCAAAGTGGGCCTTTAATTTTATATGCATGTAAACGGAATTATGCAACTCTGACCTAAATGAGTGTACAATGTACAGGGTGTCAAAAAACAATGGCACCCCCCTCTACAGCAAAAAGTACTTAATATTACATGGTGTGTCATATGTCATTTTAAAGACAATTTAATTCTGGAGTTACCTGAGAAATATCAGCTTTATATCATGTAATTTTACAGATTTACAGCTGAATCTTAGTATATGGTATGACCGCCAGTTGCTGCTCAAACAGCAGCTTATCTGGACGGATATGATTTCAATGAAAATTCAGATAAAGGTGTAGCATTGCATAATCCGCTAAGCACTTTCCTCAAATTCTTCAGAAATACATCCTCACTGTATCTTTTTCCAAGAGGCTCTTCGTCCATCAGTTCCTATACCCTGTTTTTCAGAACTGAACCCATATGTTCAGTGCAGTTGAAATCTGAGCTAATTGTTCATATTCCACTTTCTGAAGCAGAGGTGGCGTTAACGCAATTTTTTACGTTTTTTACTCACATTTTTGCAACTCTGACGCAAATATTCATTGTCTACCGAGTCTTTCCGACGCACGTTTGTTTCACATGCAAAATCCCCGTTTGGTACTTGGTTAAATTGATCCCTATACGTGAAAATACGTGATTGATCAAATTTATAATTTTGCTAATTCCGGAAATCTAACATTTCGTTCAGCGCAATCGAGCCTCCTTCCTACCGATCATTTTCTCATTTCGGTATTTCATATAATTTTTAAAGCCCTGTGATTCAGTTTCAATGATAAACTTGAAAATATTGATCGATCCCTCGATTTGTTTATCTCGTGAAGCACGTTGCTAGGGGGCGTATCAAAAATGCAATAAAACGAACATAACATTGAACAATAATTTATTAATTTCATACTCCCTTCTAAGGATTTTAGTGATCGTATATTTATCTAAATTACCGCATAAAATCTTCCCTTGAATGTTCACACGCTAGATTTACGAACCTTTAGTTTCCTTCGCAAGTTCGCAAAATTCCTTCGCTAAGTTAGCAAGTTTCCTTGAGCCGTCCCCTTCATCAGCATGCGCAGATGTAATGCGCAGTAGGTTTATCAATGGTGCTCACAGTGACCGATCTATCGGAAGTTTTCACCAAGTATTTTCAATTAACTCCCTCAAGTTAAGATCTTCGAATCACTAGATCTGAAGCTGATCCTATGAAGATAGATAATGGGCACATGAAAATCCAGTCGATCGCACATTAAGGGGGGTAATGATGATAAATTAGGTATGAAAACAAATCTACTTTCGGTTTCATTTGATCAGCTATAGCCTAATTACAAGATTCTACCGTATTCAATTTAAATGATGCCCAGTATTGTGGTCGGACTTATATTGCCGTTTTAGACTTTGGAATGATTGCAAAAATGTTGAATTTCAACATGAAACGCTTTGACCCCAATTTGTGTAACTCCACACAGGGAGAAACTCCTCTCCCTCTCCATTCACACCCATGACTCGCTGGACCAGATAATCAGATGATTAATAGTGACATTTTTCTTGCAATTTCCTAATTAATTAATTGTTAGTTGTTAATGTGCTATAACAGTACAATAAAAGGTATGCACAAAATCAAAAAATAGATTTTGTATGTGGTTTCTACATTTTGTATGCATTTTTACTCAAGAAAAACACTTTTATAGCTTTGACTCAACTTTTTTTCTTGTGACTCACTTTTTTGAAACTACCTGAGTCATGATGACTCACAAAAATATATGCCTACCGCCACCGCTGTGAAGATTTGACCTTTAACCAGTAACAGAGCAGCAAATAAAGTACCAAAGTAGCAAACTTAAAAACAATGTAGCTTTTTTAATATAAAGTTTTTATAAATGAAATTTGAGGAGTAACTCCAGAATTAAATTATCTTTCAAATGATGTATGACACAATATGGAACATTCAGGACTTTTTGCTGGAGAGGGGGGTGCCGTTGTTTTTTGACACCCTGTACTATATAGTTATACTGGTAATCCATCCATTATCTTGTTGTGTTTTCTGTTGCAGCTCCCTCTTGACTCTAGCAATGAGATCAACACAGACCTCATCATAAACTCCATAGCTCCACAGAAAGATGTAGATGGGTAACTAACCTTTATACTTTCTAGTCAGACAAACCAGTGATCTCCCAGCATTAAAGCAAGTGACTAGAGGCCTTGTGACTAGAGGCCTTGTGTTAAATAATATTCTGATCTAGTTTCTTTACTCTTGCTGATTATCACTGTTAACTTTTTCATGTTTTATTTTGATCAGGTAAATTGGCCTTGTATATGTGTTTTTACAGACCTAATGTATCCAATTTTTATTTTTTAAAAAACCGTTGCAATAAGCAGCGAAATCGTCTATCGCATTTGATGAGTACGATACACACTAAACCAGAATTAGCCTGGTTTTTTATTATTTTTCTAGTTTTAAGTACTTTTCTGTTAAAATTGCCAATCTGTCTCCCAAATGATGCAAATGTCTGTCTTTCAGTACTTTTTTCAGATCTTAACGCGTTGTATTCTAATGTTTATGCCACCGCTGCGACAGGTATCGGTTAAAGGGCATTGATGTAGCAACCTATCGTATGAGGGTGGGGCTATTTAATAATTTTCGGCTTCCTAAGAACAAGAACCGTGTAGTGAGAAATCGGTCACCATGTTACTTTACAGCTCACATTTACTTCGTTTTTCTAATTGTTATTGCTGTTTTTGCTGCTACGTTTTATAAGGGGTTTACGAGTATTATAATTTTACTTCTTGCGGTTGTTATATTCAATTTCTCGATGATCGTCTTGCCACTCTTATGTTTCACAAGGTTCCTGTTGAAACATATCAAACATTTTAACCCGCGTTTTTGTATCACATTTCCATGGGCCTTATTATGCTTCATATTTTTCACACTAGCTTGCCCTGGTTTTGGGATGTGGATATATGTACCAAATTTGAAATATCTCATGTTAATGCACGGAGATATCCAACCGAACCCAGGTCCGGTTGGACACGAAAATATCACATTTCTACTGTCAAACATAAATAGTATTTCGGCAGACGAATCAACAAGATTCGAATGTTTAATAGATGAGATGCGCTTAAACGAAGTCCATGTAGCTGGTATATGTGAGGTTGGACAAATTGCAAATGAAACTATCAAAAAGGATTACGATATTTTTGACTATCACCCGCCAATATACATAAGTGAGGGGAGGGGATTGATGGTCTACATAAAAAACAATATTTTCTTTAAAAAATGCCCGGATCTTGGCACTAAAAAACACAACTGTGCAACGATATGGTTTGAACTATGTGTGAATCATCAAACTATTTTCTACGCGCTGACATATAAATCGCCTAACAAATGAAAACAATTCCAAAATCTTTAAGGCAGTTTTGAACTTCATTAAATAATCGATAACAGCAATTCAAATTCAGGGCACCAACGGGGGTACAGACAGGTAGAAAAACAGATAGTATCTAAATTATATATTTTTCTTACTCTAATACTGACTTTGACTAAATATATTATATTTAAAATTCACTTAAAGCGGCAGTAGAAATGCCCTTTCAGGGCGATTACGCCGTGAATAACAATGAAAATGTATCTATGATTTTAAGAAATAAAGAGTATTTATTATAAAAAAAAAAAAAAAAATTAAAGCAAGTGGGCGCAGCACCCACCTGAGATTTTAAAAACAGACTTGCACCCACCTGAGAATTCATTTGAACCCACTTGAAAATGAGAAAAATCATGAAAAATGGGCATATTTTGACAAATTTTGGTCTGAATTGTGAAAATCAGAATTTTGCACCCACTTGCGAAAAAATCCTGTCGAGAACACTGCAAACTATTAAAGGCTCTATGGAAACCACTTTAAACCAATTTGCTTGTGTTGTAATCTTGCATGTCTTATCATAATCAAACAAACAGGCTTGGGTACCTAAGTTCTAACATTTTGTGCAGCATATACAAGAAAAAAGCATTAAGATCTTTGCATAAGTTGTGAACAAACCAACCTTAGCACCCTTATTTTTGAAGAAATATGTCTCCAAACATCTTCAGGCAGACCAAGAAATAACCCAAATAAATGTGTGCTCTTTTTGTGCACCAAAACATTTGTGTGCAGTAAAACCTGTTATGAACAGTGAACACCTTCTAATCTGAACACCTCTTAATGTAAACACTTTTTTCGTTCTCATAGACTTTTTCTGCAAAAAGTGCCTTCCATGTTTGAACAACTTACAAATGGGAATACCTGTCAGTGTGAACACCTTTGCTGATCCCAGTTGTGTTTGGATTAGACAGGTTTTACTGTACATGTATACATAAAAGATACAATCCCACTAAAACAAGAAAATATCAGTGTGAAAATCTCAAGTATGTTTATCGTGCTGATTAATAAGTGAAAATTGTATTGTATTGTAGGTTAAATGGGGAAAATGCTGCCATGTTATCCAGGGGTGACATGTCTAATTGTATACTCCCATGTACACCTAGAGGATGTCTTGAACTTATCAGGAAAACAGGTACCAATGCACACCCACTCCCATTTATTTGAAATCTATATCTTAAAGACACAAAATCTGGATTCTAAGATTGTCACACTGTTATGTGTGTACTTCCATTCTTGCTGAGGTTCTACATTTGGCTAGTTGTATCAGCTTCTAAAACTTTATAATACTGTGCCTGTCATTAATTTCTTTTAAAAGTGCACAGACAATGCATGTATAAGAATAGAATATTCTGAGCAACCCAGAATGTGAGTCAAGATTTTAAAGGCAGAATCAGATCTATAGGGATGAAAAAATTACAAGCAACATGAACTATTGACCTACCAATCTATTCCTTACAAGCTCAAGTACAATATCCCCTAAAAGATTCACGATATGTTATAAATTGGTGAAGTTATAGTGGATTCAAAGTGCAAAAATGGGTGAAAAATGTTTAAATTCTCCCAAATAATAAGACTCAACCATTCTTATAGAAAAATAATACATTATTGTAAAAATCTTTAGTTTTCCTGAAATAAAGTGTGCACTTTGGGGATTTTTAGAAAATAGACATGGCAAGGAATGACAATGCGCAGAAATATTCTAAAATTGAAACAATTTTTTGTTGGCCTGCTCGCTAGATCTGATTCTCTCTTTAATGTAGAATAATTCAATATTCCTTAATCTCTACTCTTCAAGGGAGATTGACTGATATTTTTACCTCATAGGTACTGAGATCAAGGGAAAGCGGGCTGTTGTGCTAGGGCGTAGTAAGATTGTAGGTTCACCAATGGCTAATCTGCTGACCTGGAACCATGCTACAGTAACGATATGTCATTCAAGGACCATTGACCTTCCATCTGTCGTAAGTGCAGATACAACTCTCATTTCACAAGTTTATGGTTCAGATATTTTAGATTAAAAGGTTCAACAAAAAATCCAGCAAAGAGACCTTGCCAATGAAACCTGTCCCCTGTTGTCATATCAAAAAAAAAATATATTGGCTAAATTCATAATATCATAGGTTCCAGATAGCAAAGCTTTCAATCAAGAAGAAAAACTTTAATTGATTTTTTTATTTGGCATATTTTAATTAATTTTTTTAGAAAAACTTAATTCTCAAAAAAGAATCAAATCATCCTAAATATAAATAAAATGTTATATTCTGCTTTTAGTGTAAAGAGGCTGACATTTTGGTAGCAGCAGTCGGCAGGCCTGAAATGGTGAAAGCTGATTGGATAAAACCAGGTGCTGTCGTCATAGATTGCGGTATCAATTCCATTCCAGGTATGTTTTCACAACACATTTTGTTGTATTCATTACTTTGGCAACTTAAGGCATAATGAAAACATAATTGAGGACATCAATGAAAAATATAAAGTATTCTATTACATATACTGTTTTGTAATCAGACATCAGAATTCTTATAATTTCAATTTCAACACAATGTCATATGCAATTGAAAAATCTGTAAATTATTGGTACAGATGTACATACAATACATGTATATGTACACATGTAAAATACATGTATAGTTATTATACTGTACTTAAAAAATGACAAAAGAATCAGAAGAATTGATGAGATCAATTTATAACTGTTCTTGCTCGAGGTTAAAGGACTGTATCAAATTTTCAGATGCCACTAAGAAGAGTGGCCAGAGACTGGTTGGTGATGTAGCATACAGTGAATGCAAGGAGGTAGCGTCATGGATCACTCCTGTACCTGGTGGTGTAGGGCATATGATAATACTATAGTTTTACTTGTAGATGCCACTAAGAAGAGTGGTCAAAGACTCGTTGGAGATGTAGCATACAGTGAATGCAAGGAGGTAGCGTCATGGATTACTCCTGTACCTGGTGGTGTAGGGCATATGATAATACTATAGTTTTACTTGTAGATGCCAGTAAGAAGAGTGGTCAGAGACTGGTTGGTGATGTAGCATACAGTGAATGCAAGGAGGTAGCGTCATGGATCACTCCTGTACCTGGTGGTGTAGGGCATATGATAATACTATAGTTTTACTTGTAGATGCCAGTAAGAAGAGTGGTCAGAGACTGGTTGGTGATGTAGCATACAGTGAATGCAAGGAGGTGGCATCATGGATTACTCCTGTACCTGGTGGTGTAGGGCCTATGATAATACTATAGTTTTACTTGTAGATGCCAGTAAGAAGAGTGGTCAAAGACTGGTTGGTGATGTAGCATACAGTGAATGCAAGGAGGTAGCGTCATGGATTACTCCTGTACCTGGTGGTGTAGGGCCTATGATAATACTATAGTTTTACTTGTAGATGCCAGTAAGAAGAGTGGTCAAAGACTGGTTGGTGATGTAGCATACAGTGAATGCAAGGAGGTAGCGTCATGGATTACTCCTGTACCTGGTGGTGTAGGGCCTATGATAATACTATAGTTTTACTTGTAGATGCCAGTAAGAAGAGTGGTCAAAGACTCGTTGGAGATGTAGCATACAGTGAATGCAAGGAGGTGGCATCATGGATCACTCCTGTACCATTTGGTGTAGGGCATATAATAATACTATAGTTTTACTTTTAGATGCCACTAAGAAGAGTGGTCAAAGACTGGTTGGAGATGTAGCATACAGTGAATGCAATGAGGTAGCATCATGGATCACTCCTGTACCTGGTGGTGTAGGGCATATGATAATACTATAGTTTTACTTGTAGATGCCACAAAGAAGAGTGGTCAAAGACTCGTTGGAGATGTAGCATACATTGAATGCAAGGAGGTAGCGTCATGGATCACTCCTGTACCTGGTGGTGTAGGGCATATGATAATACTATAGTTTTACTTGTAGATGCCAGTAAGAAGAGTGGTCAGAGACTGGTTGGTGATGTAGCATACAGTGAATGCAAGGAGGTAGCGTCATGGATTACTCCTGTACCTGGTGGTGTAGGGCATATGATAATACTATAGTTTTACTTGTAGATGCCACAAAGAAGAGTGGTCAAAGACTCGTTGGAGATGTAGCATACAGTGAATGCAAGGAGGTAGCGTCATGGATCACTCCTGTACCTGGTGGTGTAGGGCCTATGATAATACTATAGTTTTACTTTTAGATGCCAGTAAGAAGAGTGGTCAGAGACTGGTTGGTGATGTAGCATACAGTGAATGCAAGGAGGTAGCATCATGGATTACTCCTGTACCTGGTGGTGTAGGGCATATGATAATACTATGGTTTTACTTTTAGATGCCACTAAGAAGAGTGGTCAGAGACTCGTTGGAGATGTAGCATACAGTGAATGCAAGGAGGTAGCGTCATGGATTACTCCTATACCTGGTGGTGTAGGGCATATGATAATACTATGGTTTTACTTGTAGATGCCAGTAAGAAGAGTGGTCAGAGACTGGTTGGTGATGTAGCATACAGTGAATGCAAGGAGGTAGCGTCATGGATCACTCCTGTACCTGGTGGTGTAGGGCATATGATAATACTATGGTTTTACTTTTAGATGCCACTAAGAAGAGTGGTCAGAGACTCGTTGGAGATGTAGCATACAGTGAATGCAAGGAGGTAGCGTCATGGATTACTCCTATACCTGGTGGTGTAGGGCATATGATAATACTATAGTTTTACTTTTAGATGCCACTAAGAAGAGTGGTCAGAGACTCGTTGGAGATGTAGCATACATTGAATGCAAGGAGGTAGCGTCATGGATTACTCCTGTACCTGGTGGTGTAGGGCATATGATAATACTATAGTTTTACTTGTAGATGCCACAAAGAAGAGTGGTCAAAGACTCGTTGGAGATGTAGCATACATTGAATGCAAGGAGGTAGCGTCATGGATCACTCCTGTACCTGGTGGTGTAGGGCATATGATAATACTATGGTTTTACTTTTAGATGCCACTAAGAAGAGTGGTCAGAGACTCGTTGGAGATGTAGCATACAGTGAATGCAAGGAGGTAGCGTCATGGATTACTCCTGTACCTGGTGGTGTAGGGCATATGATAATACTATGGTTTTTATTATGTCACCACCAAAAAGTGGTGACATATTGTTATGGTCTCCGTTTTTTTGCGACGGCGGTTGGTGGTTGGCGTCCGGCGTCTGGCGTCCGGCGTCTGTAACAATTTCTTACAACTTCCTATAACTTAACAAATACTGTTTAGACTGACTTCAATTTTTTTCTAAATCATCTACATCTTCTCAGAAGTTCAAATCTGACTTTAGATTTGACATTTGACCTTCAATGACCTTCTCAAGGTCAAAAAGGTCTTTTTTCAAATTGCTTCACATTGACTAAAATTTTTTTCAAAATCATCTACATGTTCTCACAAATTCAAATCTGACTTTAGATTTGACATTTGACCTTCAAATCTGACTTTAGATTTGACATTTGACCTTCAATGACCTTCTCAAGGTCAAAAATGTCTTTTTTCAACTTGCTTCACATTGACTAAATTTTTTTTCAAAATCATCTACATGTTCTCAGAAATTCAAATCTGACTTTAGATTTGACATTTGACCTTCAAATCTGACTTTAGATTTGACATTTGACCTTCAATGACCTTCTCAAGGTCAAAAAAGGTCAAAAAGGTCTTTTTTCAACTTGCTTCACATTGACTAAATTTTTTTTCAAAATCATCTACATGTTCTCAGAAATTCAAATCTGACTTTAGATTTGACATTTGACCTTCAAATCTGACTTTAGATTTGACATTTGACCTTCAATGACCTTCTCAAGGTCAAAAAAGGTCAAAAAGGTCTGTTTTCAACTTGCTTCAAATTGACTAAATTTTTTTTTCAAAATCATCTACGTGTTCTCAGAAATTCAAATCTGACTTAAGATTTGACATTTGACCTTCAAATCTGACCTTCTCAAGGTCAAAAAAGGTCAAAAAGGTCTGTTTTCAACTTGCTTCAAATTGACTAAAAAATATTTCAAAATCATCTACATGTTCTCAGAAATTCAAATCTGACTTTAGATTTAACATTTGACCTTCAATGACCTTCTCAATGTCAAAAAAGGTCAAAAAGGTATTTTTTCATCTTGCTTCAAATTGACTAATTTTTTTTTCAAAATCATCTACGTGTTCTCAGAAATTCAAATCTGACTTTAGATTTGACTTAAGATTTGACATTTGACCTTCAATGACCTTCTCAAAGTCAAAAAAGGTCAAAAAGGTCTTTTTTCAACTTGCTTCAAATTGACTAAATTTTTTTTTCAAAATCATCTACATGTTCTCAGAAATTCAAATCTGACTTAAGATTTGACATTTGACCTTCAATGACCTTCTCAAGGTCAAAAAAGGTCAAAAAGGTCTTTTTTCAACTTGCTTCACATTGACTAAATTTTTTTTCAAAATCATCTACATGTTCTCAGAAATTCAAATCTGACTTTAGATTTGACATTTGACCTTCAAATCTGACTTGAGATTTGACATTTGACCTTCAATGACCTTCTCAAGGTCAAAAAAGGTCAAAAAGGTCTGTTTTCAACTTGCTTCAAATTGACTAATTTTTTTTTTCAAAATCATCTACGTGTTCTCAGAAATTCAAATCTGACTTAAGATTTGACATTTGACCTTCAAATCTGACCTTCTCAAGGTCAAAAAAGGTCAAAAAGGTCTGTTTTCAACTTGCTTCAAATTGAATAAAAAATATTTCAAAATCATCTACGTGTTCTCAGAAATTCAAATCTGACTTTAGATTTGACTTAAGATTTGACATTTGACCTTCAATGACCTTCTCAAAGTCAAAAAAGGTCAAAAAGGTCTTTTTTCAAATTGCTTCAAATTGACTAAATTTTTTTTTCAAATCATCTACATGTTCTTAGAAATTCAAATCTGACTTTAGATTTAACATTTGACCTTCAATGACCTTCTCAATGTCAAAAAAGGTCAAAAAGGTATTTTTTCATCTTGCTTCAAATTGACTAATTTTTTTTCAAAATCAGCTACGTGTTCTCAGAAATTCAAATCTGACTTTAGTTTGACTTAAGATTTGACATTTGACCTTCAATGACCTTCTCAAAGTCAAAAAAGGTCAAAAAGGTCTTTTTTCAACTTGCTTCAAATTGACTAAATCTTTTTTTTCAAAATCATCTACATGTTCTCAGAAATTCAAATCTGACTTTAGATTTGACATTTGACCTTCAATGACCTTCTCAATGTCAAAAAAGGTCAAAAAGGTATTTTTTTCATCTTGCTTCAAATTGACTAAAAATTTTTTCAAAATCATCTACATGTTCTCAGAAATTTAAATATGACTTTAGATTTGACTTAAGATTTGACATTTGACCTTCAATGACCTTCTCAAGGTCAAAAAGGTCTTTTTTCAACTTGCTTCACATTGACTAAATTTTTTTTCAAAATCATCTACATGTTCTCAGAAATTCAAACCTGACTTTAGATTTGACATTTGACCTTTAATGACCTTCTCAAGGTCAAAAAAGGTCAAAAAGGTCTGTTTTCAACTTGCTTCAAATTGACCAAATTTTTTTTTCAAAATCATCTACATCTTTTCAGAAGTTCAAATTTGACTTTACAAGTTCTCAGAAGTTCAAAACTTTAGATTTGACCTTTGACCTTCAATGACCTTCTCAAGGTCAAAAAGGTCTTTTTTCAACTTGCTTCAAATTGACTAATTTTTTTTTCAAAATCATCTACATGTTCTCAGAAGTTCTTCTTAAGGTCAAAAGGTATTTTCCAACTTGCTTTAAATTGACCAAATTGTTTTAGGTGGTGACATTTTGTCATGTTAATGCCTTGTACTTTTAGATGCCACTAAGAAGAGTGGTCAGAGACCCGTTGGAGATGTAGCATACAGTGAATGCAAGGAGGTAGCGTCATGGATCACTCCTGTACCTGGTGGTGTAGGGCATATGATAATACTATGGTTTTACTTTTAGATGCCACTAAGAAGAGTGGTCAGAGACTGGTTGGTGATGTAGCATACATTGAATGCAAGGAGGTAGCGTCATGGATCACTCCTGTACCTGGTGGTGTAGGGCCTATGATAATACTATAGTTTTACTTGTAGATGCCACAAAGAAGAGTGGTCAAAGTCTCGTTGGAGATGTAGCATACATTGAATGCAAGGAGGTAGCGTCATGGATTACTCCTGTACCTGGTGGTGTAGGGCCTATGATAATACTATAGTTTTACTTTTAGATGCCAGTAAGAAGAGTGGTCAGAGACTCGTTGGAGATGTAGCATACAGTGAATGCAAGGAGGTAGCGTCATGGATTACTCCTGTACCTGGTGGTGTAGGGCCTATGACTGTAGCTATGTTAATAAGAAATACAGTAGATGGTGCTAAACGTGAACTTGAGGCAGCTAAGGTAATTCCTGATGTATTATTGGTAAATACTGAAAACTGTTTTATATTAATTCATAGAACAAACGTAATGTTTCTGCTGAGAATATTTAACAGTGAACATTAGAGTATGTAATAAAACAACGTGAACCTTTTTTAAATCATATGAATGAAATGGAATCAGTATGACACTTATTCAGTAATTGTAATGTATATGTGTGACATAAACACTATATTTCAAATAGAATATAACATTTACAATTTAGTGACATGCATTGGTTTTTCAGGTAAAAACTTGGAATCTCAGCACTCTACCACTTCATCTTAAAACACCTGTTCCCAGGTATTGTCATTTTTTACAATTTCAACTTGAATAATTATATACATGTACTTTATTTAACTCTTGTGGTAACATATAGTTACATGTATAGTCTCAATTTTTGTGTATGAAGTTCAGCAGTTGGCATTCAGCGGTAATGCTTTGTCTATTGTAAATCTTAAATGTGTTTGACAATCCCGGATCAGAGCGATCTAATGGTTTGAATTGACTTATGAGCCAAAGGATTGTTATATGCCATATTAAATCGTAACTCAACTATTTTACATTCATTGAATTAATACCTACATATTTTTTTGTTGCAGTGACATTGAAATTGCTCTGTCTCAGACTCCTAAAGATATTGCTGTCCTTGCTAAAGAGATTCACCTGCAACCTCAAGAGGTATGTCCATGTTAATAGATCATTCATTGACTGTAACTTCTGTAAATGGAACACCTTCCGATCTGAGTGAAACGCTTTTTAGAGCGTCCATGTTAATAGATCATTCATTGACTACAACCTCTGTAAGTGGAACACCTTCCGATCTGAGTGAAACGCTTTTTAGAGCGTCCATGTTAATAGATCATTCATTGACTACAACCTCTGTAAGTGGAACACCTTCCGATCTGAGTGAAATGCTTTTTAGAGCGTCCATGTTAATAGATCATTCATTGACTACAACCTCTGTAAGTGGAACACCTTCCGATCTGAGTGAAACGCTTTTTAGAGCGTCCATGTTAATAGATCATTCATTGACTACAACCTCTGTAAGTGGAACACCTTCCGATCTGAGTGAAACGCTTTTTAGAGCGTCCATGTTAATAGATCATTCATTGACTACAACCTCTGTAAGTGGAACACCTTCCGATCTGAGTGAAATGCTTTTTAGAGCGTCCATGTTAATAGATCATTCATTGACTACAACCTCTGTAAGTGGAACACCTTCCTATCTGAGTGAAACGCTTTTTAGAGCGTCCATGTTAATAGATCATTCATTGACTACAACCTCTGTAAGTGGAACACCTTCCGATCTGAGTGAAACGCTTTTTAAAGCGTCAATGTTAATAGATCATTCATTGACTACAACCTCTGTAAGTGGAACACCTTCCGATCTGAGTGAAACGCTTTTTAGAGGTTCTACTGTGCATTTGTTAGTGTGATAGTTGACTATTGTAGTAATGTATGTATTCAATGTGAATATTGACAGTTGATGTACATCCATTCTGTGTAAATACTGCCAATTGTACATGCATTTTTATACATACAATTTACATATACAATTTTGATACATGAGTTGCAGCTTAAATGTACATGTACATGAAGTTCTTTTGTTTCTGACTTTTACTTACAAAAAAATAATGTACATTGAACTTTAACTTTATATTTCAATCTTCATTGTGATTGAATTCCTGAACTTTTGCATGGTTCAAATAAATTATGATTTTGATCAATGTTGATATTTTGGCAATTAATATTTGCAGGTTGATTTATATGGGTCAAAGAAAGCTAAAGTGTCTCTTAGTGTCTTAGAGAGGCTGCAGACACAACCTGATGGCAAATATGTAGTTGTTACTGGGTAAGTGAATCATGATCACAATCACATTGAATCATATGGGTCAAAGAAAGCTAAAGTGTCTCTCAGTGTCTTAGAGAGGCTGCAGACGCAACCTGATGGCAAATATGTAGTTGTTACTGGGTGAGTGAATCGTTATCATCATCACAAGTCATTGTGATATGTTTTTCCTTCAATATTCTGAAAAAGTAAATGGTTGGCCTGTCACATGTAGCTGCTTGTTGCACTTTATGTTGTTGTAAATCTTCTTATGATATCCAATAACTGTGTCTAGACGTGTTGCTGCAAAATAACTTTCTGTCGTGCAGATGTACTAATCCTACTGTTTTTTTCTAGTGAACCAGAGTTGTATGAAGATTGGTATGTGTATGTCATTTAAGAGAATTATGCTTTTGTTTTTGTGTTGGAAATTATGCAGTATTTCTGTTTTGTTTTATGTTTTAGTTTCAAAAGTGGTTGCTTATATTGACAATTGTTTCATTATTTATTCAAGACAAAATTAATCCAACTTCTGAAGAAGTGGAACATAAACAGCATCAGTCAAAGTTCCATTAAAATTAGATGGTGAATTATGTGTAGGTCTAATATAGCTCCACAAAAGAATTGTAGGTAGTACTTACCAACATGGACAATAATGCTGTGCAGTTTCACCAAAAATATTCAATATAATATTCAAAACATTCTCTCAGTCCCAATTTTGTATTCTCCCTTCGACATACTTGTTGAAGAAACATAGAAATGTGAACACCTGCTTATTTCCAAAAAACTTTTAGCTGGTTCCAGTAGCATTTGAATTAGACAGGGTTTTCTTGGCTTTTGTAATGGGGATGGAAAGCCAACCTAAATAGAATGTAACTTACATGGGTGACATAAGTTTTGATGTTTGTAAGGTTTTGTGATTTCCTCCCCAAATTCTTTAAAGTATCACCACCACTAGTAATATATTCTTGTATTTGTAGCATCACCCCCACTCCTCTTGGTGAAGGCAAGAGCACCACAACAATAGGTCTAGCCCAAGCCCTTGGGGCCAAGTTAAGACAGAATGTCATTGCCTGTGTACGACAGCCATCTCAGGGACCTACATTTGGAATTAAAGGTAGACTTAATTTTTAATGCTAAGTAATAGGGAGAAAATATAAAATTTGCAAGAATAAATTAATTGCTGAATCAGCTACTTTGTCATATCTATGGTGGCTGACATTTTCAAATGTGAAATAGAATTGTATTTCTTGATAATTTAAAAGTGAAAAAAGCTGTTACTTCAGATTAAGCATGATTATTAGTCAACAAACAGTGATGTCACTAATGTGTGTGTTATTTACCAGGGGGTGCTGCAGGAGGGGGGTACTCTCAGGTTATACCTATGGAGGAGTTCAACCTTCACCTCACCGGAGATATACACGCCATAACTGCTGCAAACAATCTATTGGCTGCTGCCATTGATGCCAGAATGTTCCATGAGTCAACTCAGACTGATAAAGCCTTATATGGTCGTCTTGTTCCTAGTAAGAAAGGAAAGAGAGAATTCAGCCCGATACAGATTACACGATTAGAGGTACAGAATTTTCTTTGTTTATAAAAATTGCATATTAGTTCATCTTAAACATACCTGTAAGAACAAAACCTATCTTAAGGGCTGATGTGAAAAAGTCACTCCACCATTCAAATGGCATATTTATGAAAAGGGCGTAAGGTAGAAATGTACATGTAATTTAATAAATCCTGTTTTTCTGAACACCTCTCTAATCTGAACATTTCTCTCTTATCACTCCCATTTTTAAGTCATCACCACAAGTGGTGACATATTGTTATGGTCTCTGACTTTTTTGTGAATGGTGTTTGGCATCCAGCGTTGGTGTTCAGAGTTTGGTGTCTGTAACAAATGGCAGGTAGTGGCATTTTGTATCTTGTTTAATGTGCCATTTAAGTTGCAAATGTATTTAATATTTAATTAAAAGCATAATGAAAGTGAACATATCTAATGCTTTTACTTGTTTTTTTTATTCTATCTTTTTTACTGTTTTAAAGTACGAAAGCAACCATTTTATTTCAGAAACTTGGTATTACAAAACGTAACCCTGATGAGTTGACGGAAGAAGAATTTGGGAGATTTTCCAGGTTGGATGTTGACCCCAGCACTATAACATGGCAGAGAGGTAATGAGGATTTTGTTGTGCAATAATATTTCGACAATGTAAACTTAAAATATGTTCATATACTGTACATTTAATCTTCCATTTTTTATTTGATTAAACATTACATTGTTAAATTAAAGCTTTGCTTGATAAATTTATTTATTGATGCCATTTACAATTTGCTTTTTACTGATGCTCTTTTCAAAATGTGTGATTTCTTTTTTCCTAAAAACTCTGTAAAATAATTGCCATTTTCCCTGTGATATATTTTATCGTATTCATTTTTAAACCTAAAGACTTCATTTCCTTCAATTGGAATGTTACTCTCCTGATTTGTTTGCTGACATGCACCAATGATTTATAAATCATCAAAATTTGAATACTTCTGGGCAGTTTAATGTGTATTTGTTCCGACGTAATATAATCTATCATGTGCTGCCATCTTTCTAACAGTAAAAAATATACAGTATATACAAAATAATGGATACCTTCCTAATCAAAGAAATTGGATTGTCTCCCATCATTCTTTCCCAATAGCAATCATAACTAAAATGTCCTTCTGCAGACCAAGCATTTAACTGAGAGAAGAATATTATGGTAATATTCAAACCAAATTGGTTCATGCCGGTCAAAAGAAAATCCCCAGGGAATGCTTGGAGCCTTCCTTGAGGTGAGCAAAAGTGTTCTTACTAATTGAAATAACTAATGAATTGACTTGTTTGTTGTGTTATAGTATTAGACACAAATGACAGGTACCTGAGGAAGATTACAATAGGACAGTCACCAACTGAGAAGGGTCTTACTCGAGAGGTATAGTATATGTACAGTGTATCACAGGCCAGGGGGGTTGGGGGGTGAACCCAAAAATTCTTTCAAAATCATGCAGTTTTTCACCAATATGAGACCATTTTTGGGCCAAAGTTGTCAAAAGCGACCCTCCCTAGAATTTTTTAAAAAGTGAACCCCCTACTTTGATACTTTACAGTCATGAAGCACACAGTATATGTTCTTCCTATTTAATACATTCTCAAAACAAATCTAATTTTGCTACATGTCCTCTTTATCTTAGACGCAGTTTGACATCACCGTTGCCAGTGAGATTATGGCCGTGTTGGCGTTGACAAAAGACCTTGCAGACATGAGGACAAGACTTGGAAACATGGTGTTTGCCAGCAATAAGAAGGGAGAGCCTCTCACAGCCAATGATTTGGTAAGGAACAGTACCTCTTCATATACTAAATCTGAATTCATATTATTAAGGAAATGATTTTTAAAGGAATTATAATGCCTGTACATGTGCTGAATACATACACAGTAAAACCTGTATATCCGAATACCTTACTTGTCTTAAAACCTCTCAATGCGAACACTTTTCACAGAATTTGTCATCTCCTATTGATCTATATTACAAAGCATTGAAATGTAAATACCTGCTAATCTGAACACTTTTGGCTCGTACCAATGGCCTTCAGATAAGACAGGCTTTTTACCATTAAGAGTGAAGTGAAAGAAATGAGGAAACCTCGACTAAACAAAACTGGTTATGTGTAAAATATTTTGCTGATAGTGTACATGTATGAGTGAACACCCTGTCATGTGATGTGATCTGTGAGACCATCTCACTTGTTGATGTGTGATAAATGGATGTACAAACCGTTTGTTACATGTATTTATTCTATCCCAAGGGAATCACTGGAGCTCTGGCTGTCCTGATGAAAGACGCAATTCGCCCCAACTTAATGCAAACACTAGAGGGCACTCCAGTATTTGTACATGCGGGTCCATTTGCTAACATTGCCCACGGGAACTCATCAATCCTCGCTGACAGGATTGCTTTGAAGTTGGTTGGAGAGGATGGTATTGTAGGTGAGAATTATTGTATGGATATTACAATTAATCCAATGTAGCATGCAATTAACTTGAAGTTTCACTATCAAGATGTTACAGCCATCATTTTTTGTGATTGAAAAATTGTTACATTTTTCCAAGTTATGATATTTTGTCATTTCTTCACGTTCTACACTTTTTGATAGACATTCCCAATTTTTCAAGATCTTAAAATACTTAATATTTATCATATTCACACAATCCAAACTGTTTCTTTCATGAAAAAAAGTTATAAGCAAATCTATAAAGTTCCCTTCAAAATTATACGATCACTATTTTAAAACTAGAGAAAACATACATCAACGTATAACTCGATTTAGTCACAATTTAGATATTCCTAAACATAGAACCAGAATTGGTGAAAATTCTATTATGGTCCATGGTTCATATATATGGAATTCCCTCAATGAAGATATTAGAAATAAACCATTAAATTCACTCATATCTCGTTTGAAAATTGACCTCCTGAGTACAGATTAACCAAAACATTTATTTTATTTCTTTATTGTCTCACATTATTGTATTTGTATATTGTATTCATATTATATTATTGTATTGACCTATGTACCACTTTAAATGTTCACAGTTTATCATGTTTATTGTAAATTTAATTATGGGCAGTTATACACCCCTTGGGGTGTCATAGCCCGTATAATGTTGTAAATTTTGTAATGAAAACTGAAATAAATTATTTTGAAATTGAATTGAATTGAAATTGAAAGTACAGAAATGTAAAAGTTCTCTGGAAACTTTAGATGGTGTAACAGTGGAAATTGATTGATTGATTTCAGCATTGCAATGTTTCAACACCAAAGTAATGTTAATAGGGTAATTGATTAGCCATAATACCATTGCTCATCAGTTTAAAGATCTGACCCATGATCTTCCCAGGATCAAGTTGCTTACATGCATATAAAGTATTCCATCAACCTTCTCGTGAATCTTTTATTTTCAATACAGTGACAGAGGCAGGGTTTGGAGCCGACATAGGAATGGAGAAGTTCTTTGATATAAAGTGTCGCTATTCAGGCCTTATTCCCAATGCGGTGACACTGGTTGCCACGGTGAGGGCACTGAAGATGCATGGGGGAGGACCCAAGGTCATCGCTGGGGTTCCACTGCCCACTGCATACATTGAAGAGGTAAGTGCAATGGAAAAGGGAAAATAAGGAAAAGGGCAATTAGAGTCAAGGGGACTTCTTTTGCAGCAGGCAATCAGGGCTGGAGCTAAGCTGTGGTCCTACTGTCATGATCCGCAGATTCATATAATGTCCTGGCTGATTTTAGAAACTGCTTGTTTTTGGGGAATTGTGTAATTGCAGTCATAAAACAAAATAGATATGTCTTCATTTTCCATCATTTGCTTTTATTACATATTCACAAGAATTTAATTGTTTTACTAGTAAATTTCGAAAGGATTTCAGATCCCTGTTTTCCTGGGTGCAATGGACATTCTCATTCAACTGTACTCCAATTTAAACTGAAAACACATAAAGTTTTTTTTTAACACACATATGTTGAAATAGAATAATGTGACCCAAATATATTTGAAGAGTGAGTTTCATTCCAGCCCTAAGTGCAGCCTTAAATTCACTGTTCATAATGAGAAAAATAAAAAATAATTGATTGACTTATCAATTTAAATATTTTTGACTGATGAGGCACTTACCTTTCTTACCATTTTCGTCTTCTTGGTTGGGTTTTCTTACCACGTTTTCCAATTTTAGCGATTTTGTTTCTTAGGGGTTTCCTGTTGGTAAGCCTTTTTGGTGGCCCAAATGACAGGTCTTGTGTTAGGAACCTGAACCTGGCTGGGATTGGGTTCACTCTTGGAACTTTTGGTTTTTCAATGTAGTTAGTGACAGGTGGTCCATCATCTGGATCAACACCTCTGTCATCAGGATCAACACCTCTATCATCAGGGTTGACACCTTTATCATCAGGGTCAACACTTTTATCATCAGGGTCAACCACTATTTCATCAGCCTCAATTTTTGGATTTTCAATTTCAACATTAGGGGGAGATGGTCTTCCAAAATTAGATGGAAGTCTCAAATTAGGGTTACCATTGCTAGATGGCTTTCCAAATTTAAAAAGCTTCATGTCACTAATGGTTCTCTCATCAGGGACAACACCTTTGTCAATGGGGTCAACAGCTATTTCATCAGGGACAACACGCCTATCATCAACTTTTGGTTTTTCAATTTCAACATCAGGGCCAAAATTAATTGGAAGTCTCAAATTAGGGTTACCATTGCTTAATGGGTTTCCAAATTTAAAAAGTCTCATATCACCAATCGTCCTCTCATCAGGAACAACAGCATTTTCTGGAATATCCTTTTCTACACTCCCTGCAAGTTGATCACCAATTGTGTTCTCTTGCACAGCGTCCTCTAGTAGAGTGTTACCTGTTGCGGCATTATCTTCACATTTGTTTGGCTCAACAACATGCCCCATGAACAGTATAGCACCAGTTATGTCTTCTCGTATGACAAACAGGAAGGGGTGGTCTGCCCTGAATATCTTGGGTTGTTTAAGTTTAATGGATGTTGTTCTGAAGATGGTCCCTGTAGCTGCAGCAGCCTCTGTACCTACAGTTAAACAAATGTCATTCCATTTATAATAACATTGTTATAGTTTTGTGGGTGGTGTTCGGCAATAAGTGGTTTGTTTTAGCTGTCAGTGTCTGTAACAAATGGCAGGTGGTAACAATTTGCATGTTTATGCCTTGTCTGTGTCTACTAAGGGCAGTAAAATGTATATCCGAACACCCCTTTAATTCTTACACCTCCCAATGTGAACATTTTGTCTCAGTCCCAATTTTTCTTTCCCATTGATTACTCTAGAATTGGAACATCTGCTATTTTGCAATGTGTATTGATTTTAAATACCACTATGACCATTCACATTATCTCAAGGATTATGCCTCAGGCACATTTCCTCTACAACTAGGGCTCAGTTTCCAATAGTTCCTTGAAATTGAGAAATACCTACTGTAGACATTTTGATCAAGAAATGGAAATTAATGAAACAAAAATGCTTACCTTCTTCATTGACTTCTACGAAAGCTTTATGGATGACCTCACTGACTACTAGTTTAGGGTCATTAGACATGCCAGTCAGGCCACCTTCTTGGAATATAGACTTGATACCTAGCTGGCCAAGGATTGAGTTGACACTGAAGTCAGATGTAAATGTGAATTTTGGTAACCAGACCTTTACTTCATGATTACTTGAACCTCTGCTTGAAGCAGAAGACAGGAGGCTCTCCAAGTTATTAGGGTCTGTTTCTATCTCATCTTCCAAGCCTTTCAGACCATCTACCTTATTTGGGAGAATTACGTACATGCTCAGCTTGCGGTCTGCATCCTGGCAAGCATAAGGAAGTCTAAGAACCTTACTATCGAATAGTTCATCAGAATAACCGAATGCTGTTGATGTTGTATGCATCATTCGAGCGCATTTAGAGGTATCGCTTGTTGAGTAGAATCTCATATCTGATGTCTTCTCAGATTGAAATGGTGTCATCCAAAGTCCCTTAAAATATAGAGCATTTACAATAACCAATGCTGTTGAAGGACTTACTGCTCCTTGTGGTATCAAATCCGGGATCTTATCATTTGTTTTACTCATGACCCATTGGTTGATTTTGAGTCGTATGTCTTCATAAGCACTCGCGAAGTCCACTTGGTCTAGCTCTGCGTCATAGTGCGATGCAACAGCTGTTAGGAAATTCTCAATGAATGGATATGTTTTCTCGATGAATAGACCATTGGCCGAGTGAAGATCGCATACGTCAGAGTCTTTGTACAAAATTGCAGATAAATTCTTGAATGCATTATGAAGTGCTTCATCAGATTGAAGTACGTCAGCTTGATCCTCTGGGAATTTGTCTTCTATTGCGTTCAGCTTGAAGGCATCGATAATCTCTTGTTCAGCCATCTTACTAGCTCCCAAGGCAGTCATTGCCATTGCCGAGCTGATACTCATCGGACCAAATATAACATTCTTTTCCAAATCATGTATTTCGTTAAAAATGTCCAAAGCAAATTGATTGTGTCCTTTACTGAGATGTTCCAAAGTTGTGTAACCATAGCACCGTGTGATGATTGTCACGGCAACAGAAAAAGCCAGTAACTTCATACTTCCAGCCCCTAAAAACCTCTCCGAAAATTGTATCTTCTCACAATCAAACCAAATATCAAATAAATAAACTATTTATTAGCTCAAGATATGCACTACTATATCATAGTCTTAAAAAGGTAGGATAATCAGATTAAAGAAGTTTATGTGAAGCATGCATATATTAATGTCATTGATGTTATTCAGTGAAAACAAACAATTCATGCTGTTATTTGACAATGTAGAATTAAACATTTCCATGTTTATTGGACGGGATCTTACATCAAGGACTCGGCTATTAATTTTGACGATTGATGCTTTGGCACATGTCTGAACTTCCTCCATGATAAAGTCAGTCTGCATTAATAAGTGCATTGTAATGATTTTTATATTGATCTACATAGACCCAGGAACATGTATGTTTAATTCTAAATCAAAGTTTGACAGAAATCGTTCTACTACTAACTTCGATTTAGATTAATTATACATGTTCCTCAACTTATATTGATTTACATGTACTTTATTTATTCAAAGTAGTTGCAGTAGTGTATAGACAAAAATGATAACAATAGACACAGGTGTACTATATACATTGAATCAGTGCACAATATACAATTGTTGACCTCTCCAGAGGTCAACCGGCAAAATTGTATACCGAGACTGTAAACCGAGAAGCTACTGTTGACAGAGACCGAAGGTGTTTCAGTGTTTACAGTCGAGGTATATGATTTTGACGGTTAACCGAATGGAGAGGTCTACAATTGTTTTGTTAGTCAGAAGAAACTAATAATACTCATATATACGACAGTCATCAATCATGGCTTCATTTCACAATCTTTTCTACGAACCACGCCAGCAATAATTTTTAAGAAAATCTGAAGACAGTGGAAGCTAAACTCTGTGTTTTCGGCACATAACTGCGTACTCACCAGAAATTTAATGTTAATTTTGCGTTTCTATTTGTATTGTTGCTATACTCGTCATGTAGAAAAGTCAAAATATCACTTTCATCAACGTGTACAAAATGTCCGACTACCATGTTTTTTTTCTGTAAACATTGTGACGTCATATTTCCCATAATCCACAAGTGTAGTACAGTTACATACGCGGTCAATAATATGATATCCCATGATGCACAAGTGAGGTACAGGCAAAAATGTTGACCGCTAATTGACCAATCAGATGCGAGTATTTACACTGAGGTACTAACAATTACATTTGTTGAATAAGAATTCACAACTGAAAGGGAGTCTTTTTACATTATTAGTATTATTACACGTTACATGTGGAAAGAAAATTTTTGAAGAAAATGCTATTAACCTGCACATGTTATTTTCTGGTACAAAATAAAGTATTTCCTTGCTTGTTTCAGCAAAGTATCATTAGATTGTCTTCTTGATGTCACATTATGTCACCACCACAAGTGGTGACATATTCTGGGCTTTCAATTGCAGGGGGCGAGTGTCCAAAATCGCCGTTTGTTTTCGATAATCCGCCGTTTGTTAGAAGTCAAATAGTCTTTCCAGTGGGTGTTAAATTGTGTTAATCAGTTAAAGGCCCCATATAAAGTTTAAACCACTTTGGCTTATATTGTTGTCTTATCCAATGTTATCAAAGTGTGAAATGTGAAACTTTTCATTAATTTCAAAAATGTTTTTGAAGGACTTTTTGTTCAAAACTAGCTTTAAGAGGTCACACTTATCCTTTGAAGTGTCACACCGATGCATAGCAATCATCCTCACTTGTTTTTTGCCGACAAAATCAAGAAAATTGGTTCAGGTTGATAGATGAGCGAGCAATGAACTCATACATGCATGAAAGTGGTTCAGGGAAAGATGCATTTCAAAATTTTAATTCTCATAGAAACCAATGGTGAAATAATATTAAAAAGATAATATATTCATCGTTTTAACCTGGTTAAAATTGTCAAAATTGGTTTATTTTTTAAGTTTAGCATATTAAGAAAAGATTGACATTGAAAAATGTTGCCACATAGTCACGATGTGGTCACTTAGGTTGAAAATATTTTCGATATGCCAAATCATTGAATTGGCACATTATATATAACATTTTTAACATAGTGTGTCCGTTTTTCAATCTTTATATTGGTGTTATAAAGATATAAAGGTTCTTATATGAGTACCTGTGCAAGATTGTCCATTCTTGATGAGCTTTGATAATTCTTCTTTATCGAGTCGCAGACGAGATAAAGAAACATTATCAAAGCGACTGTCGGATAAATTATGAATGCAGTTTCGCACAGGTGTCAACGGAACCAAACAGTGAACCCCGCTTTCCCGAACCCGAGTTTCCAGGATTCACCTCGCATGCCTTCGACTCTTTCTCAAGATTTGGGCCCCGCTTTCCCGAACCCCAGTTTCCAGGATTCGCCTCGCATGCCTTCGACTCTTTCTCAAGATTAGGGCCCTATATTGTACCCCTACCTTATCATCCTGGTGTCTCGTTTATAACACCCTTATTGTATTTTGTTTACCACCAATGAAGGTGAGCAATACAGTACCTCTTGGGTATATCCCGTATATATACGGTCGTAAGTTACGTAATTAGCCTGGAAGAAACCCCTCCTTGAAGGATGTGCACTTATACATAGACATAGAAGTACACAACACAGCCTTTTTGTACGAGTTGCGGGCCACTCAGTCAAACACCCTGGAGTACTTCACGCAAACAAGCAAATTTAGTCTTGCCTGAACCGGGGATCGAATCCGGGACCTATTGCGTAAGAGGTACATGCGCTACCGCAGAGCTACATGGGTGGACTTGTAATTACAATGCGAAGTTACTAAAGCATGATAAAAGGTGTATGTGTGGATGGGGAGGGGGGAGGTTTGACCCCCCACTTACCAAAAGCTGGGACATGTATACCTTTATATACTCAACCGGCCAAGTATTGAAAAGGTACAAAAGGGAGAAAAAATCCATCAGGTCCATAATTCTACACGTTCAGGTACAAGTTAAAAAAACGTGTATCTTAGAACTACGGTACGCCTTTATACCAGCGACACACTTTCACGGGTGCGTCTTTACAATGAAACACAATAACGAAAATTGCAACTTTAGGATCTTGAAAAATATCCTTCCTGGTTAGAATAGGTTTCCACGTACAACTAAAAACACTGTATAAAATAACTATCTATACACCATCAATGCAAATATATGCTTTCGTCCATTCTGATAGCATCTTTCTGTTTCACCTGAAACACAGGGCTTAGAAGAAATGAGATGTCATGGTTTATCATGATGGCTTTCTTCGAGAATACATAATGCGGGCCAGGGAATGCGGGGTGCCACATTCATTGCAACACACCTTGCAACAATGTCTTATGAGGGTAATTTCTTATATTGAGAAGTTTATCATCTATTGAAATTAAATACTTGTAGCTACAAAAAGCGAATTTGTTTGAGCAGTCCTAGCTCAATATATTATAAATAAAACAATATTTACAACATGGTATCCTTAGTAGACTATTCAATTTGGAATTTTGAAGCTTAGCCGAACATCAGCATTATAACAAAGATCATCAAAAAAGGATTTTTATCAAAGTTTCCATGCAAATGAAGGTGCGAATTCACATTAACAAATTAAGATAAGATCCACAATATGTTATCAAATGGTTAAATGCGCAAAATGTGTAGATATGTTTTCCTTAATAATGTGTGAGGAGGCCTTTCAGGCAATTTTCGAAAGCGTAGTGAGAACAAGTTTGGTGTAGATGGGAGGGGGATATCTCCCACCTCGGTCTCTTTCTAATGCCTAGGCCATATATGCACCGGGCGCTGGCCGATGAGTAGTCATCGGCCGATTTCTAAATCAGTTTCGACCAAAATCATGTAATTCAGCAATTTTAGTTACAAAACATGAAGGTACATTATGTAAAATTTTGAAGACAATTGGTGTATATTTAACAAAATACCAGCACCAGTCCTGTTACTTTTTTAACACCCTGGACCCTCTGGAGGTGTTAAAAAACTAATCTGATATACACATAATCACAAGTGAATCATCTATGTATACATCACTCATTTTAATAATGACAATTCTAGATTTTGATTTATATCAAAAGTGTTCAATTCAACAGGTGCATTTGAAATTTGTGAAATGCAATCTGTGTAAGGGTAAGTTATTTTATAAAAGGTAAATGGCATTCTATATAAGTTGCCCTAGTCATTCCACAGTTCCAGGCGTTATTTTGTGGAGCCCATGTCTTGCCACATCACACGTGGAAATGACTTTGACAAACCTTGGACATCTTTCTTTCAGTCCATGGACTCTAAAATAACAAGAATTTGCATTGTCGGGAGCGTAAAATTGGTTAATTTGAATGCCGCCTCTTGTATTTTTCATCTGCCTCTTGTACACAAAGTTACTGAAACCACTGATATTGTCAGTTATAGTCTCCAAACTTTTGTGGATGGTGTTTGGCAGTAAGTGTTCAGTTGTTAGTGTTCTGCGTTAATTGGTCAGTACCTGTAACAAATGGCAGGTGGTGACATTTTGCATGTTAATGTCTTTTTCCCAGTATTACATGCTTTGATGTATATATACAAGCTGTATATATGTTCTTTTTCAGAACCTTGGTCTGGTGGAAGAAGGCTGCAGTAACCTGAGGAAACAGATTAGTAACGCAGTAAAGTTTGGCATTCCAGTCGTTGTGGCTATCAATTCATTCGTGTATGTATATATAGTACTAGTTATCTTATCCTCTGCACCTTATGAACAAAAAATAACTTTTTAAATTTTGTTCCTGAATTTTTCAAAATTGTTTGAATTGGTAATTATCTGTTATTTGCACATTTAATATTAAATAGACTTTGTTAGAATATTGTATATTTAAGTAAACATTACATGAATATGTGGTGGATTTTAAAGTTAGAATGCTCTAACCTATCTTAATATGTGTATTTTTGCAATTTTCATATTACAATTATAATATTCAACTTGCAGCACTGATTCCCCAGCAGAGGTAGCACTTGTGGCTAAGATTTCCAAGGAAGCAGGTGCATTTGATGCTGTTGTGTGTGAGCATTGGGCCAAGGGTGGAGAGGGAGCAGCTGATCTGGCTGCGGCTGTTAAGAGAGCATGCGAACAACCAAGCAATTTTAAGTTCCTTTATGACCTCAATGTAAGTAGAATATATTTATATTGATCATATAACAGTAGATATGTAATACATATTTCAATTTCATTTGGACAAAACTATGACTTCTAGATTTTGTCTACCTCTGCATTTTAAATGGTTAAACTTTGTTTTTTGATCATTTCACAGTTGCCCATCAATGATTAATTACATAGAAGCATTTGTACAAATTTAAATGGTAAACTTTGGTTTCTGATTGTTTCACAGTTGCCCATCAAGGATAAGATAGAAACTATAGCCAAGGAGATCTATGGTGCAGATGGTGTGTCATATGAAGAGGAGGCAGAGAAAAAGATTGCTCTATACACAAACCAGGTAAGTGTGTGCTTATTGATATGGAAATATATTTCTACATGTTGCCCGACTGTCAATTCTTGGCAATGGATTTGGAAAAACTGATTGCCTATTGGGCAATGAGTGTATTTTTATCCCATCGAACGAAGTTCGGAGGGATATAGGGAACGCCTCCGTCCGTCCGTACGTCCGTCCGTCCGTCCATCCGTCTGTCCGTCCGTCCGTCCGGGCAATGACTCAAATACCGTTGGCCCGATTTTGTTCATATTTTGTACACATATACCCTATTGGGGTAGAAGTTCTGCTCGAAAGCAGATTTTCAAAATGGCCGCTCATTTCAAAATGGCGGCCATTTTAGTGCCGATTTTACAGTAATTTATGTGTAATATGTAAAACTGTAATAGCAATATGTTTTAAATGTAAAAGAATTATAAAGGACATTAATAATGCTACAAATGTAGATATTAAAGAAGCACATGGCAGCCATCTTGAAAAATGGCGGCCTTTACTCGTCATTTTACGATTTTTGCTATAACTCAAAAAATAGTGGAGCGATTTTGTTCATATTTGGTATGTGAATACCATAAGCATTGCACACTGTCTAAAGACACTTTTGGTAGAAGGCGGCCATTTTGAAAAAAATTTTGAAAAATGGCCGCCATTTTAATGTCTTTTGCTATAACTCGAAAAGTAGTGGAGCGATTTTGTTCATATTTGGTATGTGAATACTATAAGCATGGCACACTGTCTTATGACACTTTTGGTAGAAGGCGGCCATTTTGAAAAAAATTTTGAAAAATGGCCGTATTTTACTATAACTTGAAAAGTAGTGAAGTGATTTTGTTCATATTTGGTATGTGAATACTATAAGCATGGCACACTGTCTATTTCTAATGACACTTTTGGTAGACATTTTAACGTATTTTACTATAACTCGAAAAGTAGTGGAGCGATTTTGTTCATATTTGGTATGTGAATACTATAAGCATGGCACACTGTCTTATGACACTTTTGGTAGAAGGCGGCCATTTTGAAAAAAATTTTGAAAAATGGCCGTATTTTACTATAACTCGAAAAGTAGTGAAGTGATTTTGTTCATATTTGGTATGTGAATACTATAAGCATGGCACACTGTCTATTTCTAATGACACTTTTGGTAGACATTTTAACGTATTTTACTATAACTCGAAAAGTAGTGGAGCGATTTTGTTCATATTTGATATGTGAATACTTTAAGCATGGCACATTGTCTAATAAAACTTTGGGGAGTAGTCGGCCATTTTGAAAAATGGCCACCATTTTTATGTGTGTTATTTTACAAGTACGTGTGCGATTTTTCAAAAATTTTAGAGGTGGCTACTTAAAAGCACATTATTTCTTCTGGTGACAACTTGGCTAGTGAGCAACCATTTTGAAAATGGTGGCCTTTCTGGTGTGTTGTTTTATGATATTTGCTATTCGTTTGTAAAAATGCCAGCCATTTCTGTTTGATGGGATTCGCTACGCTTTGGCGTTGCCGTTGTTCTGGTTGTGCCAGTCATGTTTTCAGTCTTAGTTGGAACCCTATTTTAATACTGTAGGTAAATCTTATAATATGAGCCTATATGAATAAAATCCATATTTACCACCCTCTAGTTGGTAAATCTTACATGTATGTACAATATAAAGAGCCTATTGGTACATTTTTGTTATTCCAGGGTTTCAGTGGGCTTCCTATTTGCATGGCGAAGACTCATCTGTCTCTATCAGACAAGCCAGATTGGAAGGGAGCGCCAACAGGATTCACATTGCCCATTCGTGACGTCAGAGCTAGCGTAGGAGCTGGGTTCATCTTCCCTCTAGTGGGCACTGTAAGAACTAATATTTCAATGTCGACATTTCAAATATCTTTACGAAAACTATAAGCCAACAATGATCAATTAAGATCTTGAATTGTCATTTTTATTATTTTATAACTAGTTAGAATTTTTTTAAGTGGATTATTTAATTTGTATTTGCCATTTTCTTAAATTTAATATGATTTGCCCAGAAATCTTCTACTATTGACAGATTGGAATTTTGTTCAGTTTGCAATCTAGAACTTTGTTTTCAGTTTGCCATTTAGAACTGGCAATACTGGATTTGAAATGAATGTTCTATGTTATATAGTATTATAGAAAGAATTCATTTCTGTGTCCCAATGTGACATCTATATTTAAAAATACCAAAATATAAAATCACTTTAATAATTATTGACGTTAATAGTGTTTATCTTAAAAATGTGTCCTTCCCTTACATATTACAGTTCATCATATTCTTTAAACTTACAGTATCATTTGTAATAAATTGGCCTATAATCTGACATATAAAGTAATATTTCATTAATAATGCCTGGGTCACATTTGCTCCCATCCATCGGCCGGCGCCCAGCCGAGTGAGTGTTTTGTTCAATATTGTATTCAATTTTGAACTCAATCACTCAGGCACTGTAGTGAAAAATCGGAGCAAATGTGACCAAGGCATTGGGTGACATATTAAATGTATCAAGAATTAGATAAAATCACTGTATTTATTTATTTTTTTTTTTTTTCTATCCCAGATTTTTGTTTCTGATTGCAGATGAGTACAATGCCTGGATTACCCACAAGGCCTTGCTTCTATGATATTGATATTGATCCAATCACAGAGCAGATTGTAGGACTATCATAACAAGAATCATGATGCATTCTGGGAATAAAGACCCTACATTACACATCACATTATCATTACACATTGTTCATGTGTTTGAAGATGTTGTTGCTCAAAAATGTGCCTTATGTTTAAATGATACAATTTTTAAGTGTTGCCAAAATCAATACATGTATTTAATGATGTTTTGGGAATCATGAACACGCTCAAGGAGGATTGGCGCCCAGAATGCAATCTCGATATTTTCCAACAATGAAGCCGATAATGAAGTATGTGGAAATCAAACAGCCAGCATATTTTACTCCAGAATTTGGATTGCAAGATTCGGTCTTATTCCAATTCCATTTTCTATATTGATATCGATCAAGGTCAAGGTCGAATATTGAGTTGCATCCCGGGACTTGCGTCCTTTGGCCAATCCTCCTTGAACACTCTTATGGATGGTGTGAGATGTAATAGTGCCAATTGACAATTATGAAAATAATGGTTCAGTATTGTTATTGATATGTGATATTTAAGCAATGACTTTGTCTCTACATTCAATACAAAGAAAAATAGATTTCATACAAGAATATGTTAGAATTTGTTTTGTAATCATGATTGCTCAGTGTCATATTTTTTATAACGTTCTTATGTTGAATCAGGTATTACTAGATAAACCTGTTTTAGTTTAATGCAACATGACATAATTGTATGAAAGGATGTAAAAGATGTTATCGATAAAATTATGAAATGATTATTAAATACAATGAATAGATCGATGATGAACAAATGTGTTAAGTTGGTTTAATATAACTCCGGTGAATGCAGTACGTTATTATGAACACTGTTCTATTGCAGTAAAACCTTTTAAGTGGAACACATCTATAAGTGGAGCACCTCTATAATGAAGCACCTCCATAAGTGGAGCACCTCTACAAGTGGAACACTCAATAAATGGAACACATCATAGCCCAGCCTTGATCTTTTGAATCAATAATAATGATCTGTAAGTGGAACACCTCCCAAGTTAAATACAATGTATTAGAGGAACCAAATATGTTTCACTAATGCCGTGGTCACATTTGCTCCATTTTCAGTAACGGTGCATTCAGTTTTGAACAAAATACTCATTGGTAGGACGCCAGTGAAGATCGGAGAAAATGTGACCACGACATTACAAAGGTTTTACTGTGTGTTTGAACCACTATATATCATTTATCAGCTGTTTAAGATACGAGAATAGATCGTAAATAAATAAAGCTTGAGTATGATGTGATGTTCAAGGACTGATCTTACGTTGACCAAAGTCTACTCTGCGACACTGACACTCGTGTACCGTATGAACGTGACGCTGAGGCAAAGTTCGAGTCCTATAAAGTCCAAAGTCTTCAGCTCTTCACATTTATTGTAATTAGTTTGTGTCAAGGAAGTTCCAATAAAATTGATAATATGTCATATTTGATCAATTAATTTGTTTTCTCATCCACGAAAGAACACATAGAATTTTGAATCACAGTTTTAAACAGTAGATAAATAAGTAAAAAATTGTCTTTTATGAAAACACTATTTTTGTTTTAATCCACAATTTAAGAGAATATGCTATTAAATAAAGTTGAAGAGCACAAGTCATTGAGACCAATCAAACGCCAAAAGATATCAAAATAGGTAAATTAATTTTCATAAAATTACAAATCACTGATATAGACAAAGCAAGAGAGTTCAATCACAGAATATGCTTCCAATTAGCTCATATATACATATACAAGGAAATCACGAGAGTCGTTCCCTCCCCATGTATTTCAAGAGTGACAATAGAACACTCGCGTATACGAAATATTTTATTAACATTAAACGAAGAATTATTTGAGATTTTTATATGATTTTAATGAGCAATTTTATTATTAGCCAGTTAGATATATTACCAATCTGAAATAAATTACAATTTGGAACAAATTCTCCCACTTAATTTTATTTATGAATATATACGTTAATAATGATATGATATAAAAACATTTAGTTAATTCAATCGTATAACTAAGGGTTTAAGTACAGTGTTTTTGCGATCCTAGAATTAATATAGGGTTATTAACTTCTTTAGATCTCATGTTTAGGAGTCTTATATCCTAAACAATAACCTGCAAATTGGAACACATCTCAATCTGAACACCTCTCAATGTGTGGATTTTTTCGGTCTCAATTTTTAATTTTAATTTGCCAAAGATACCATTTTTAAGACTCTGCAATGTGAACACCTGCCAATCTGAACACTTTTGGCCAATCCCAGTGGCGTTCGTATTCGATAGGTTTTATTCTTTATTGTACATTGATGTTGGTATTTTCAAAGCCTAGACTTTGATTCCCACCCTAAACACACAAACGATATGATAACATTTCTATTATATGATTACGGTAAAATCAGGCCATACTGATCACCTGATCTTGTCCCTTACTTAAGCGTTTATTTGACAGTGCAAATTATCTTAATTCTATAGTTTATCATTTCAATGATTTATTATCCATCCCAAGGCCAGACACACAGACACGGGAACAAGAGTTCACCCCCTCGCACTCTCTACGTATAGATAGAAAAAAGATTACGATTACGATTATACAGTGAGTGGGGGGGGGGGGTTAAATCTTCTTTCTGGGTCTGTGGCCAGACACAAGTGCAGATTTGAACCCTTGAGTTTAATCATAATAGTGTAGTTGTTTTATATTCTTTGTACCATACTCTTTGGGACGATTGAAGAGATTTATTGTACTATTCTTTATAAGGAAATAAAGATATCTCGATAAAAAAAAAGATTTATTATGGAGGGGAAGCTACACGTTTTCGTTTTCGAGAGATCTTGTATGTCAACGTGTAGAATTATGGTCTTATGGGCATTACTTCTCCTCTTCGTAATATTTACTTGCCCAATTTAGTATTAACCTTTGAGGGAAAATGTTGTAAGTAGGCCCCTGGAAAAACAGCTAAAAGGGGTATTATAATGCACACGTTCACGTGTTATCTCAAAAACGTGTCGCTGAACCTTACTATTGTATTTGATTCTCCCTACTTGAATCTAGATACCCCCGAAAGGAGGTACTTAGGTGCTGCATAGTCAACTGTAAAATACAAATTGGGCTCATTGTATTGTCAGCAACGCCTTCCTGTGCGTGCATGCTAAGATTCATGAATTTTATGCAACATGTTCAAAACTGCTTTAACACCATCTTTAAGAAAACAATGAATCAACCTTTAAGTACCTCTTGCACATCAATTACATTTTAAGGGTTGATTATATTGTTGAAATATGTTAATAAACTACCCTTCGTAATTAAAAATAATGTATTCTCAAATATTCGTATTTGTCGTACATATGACAATGAGCTTATTTATTGTGTTTATTTTTCAGTTATGAACTCTTCGTAATCGCCAAAACAGAGATTTATTAGATCACTGTGCCTGTTAAGAGGTCACCTTTGCATTGATCTCACAACCAGGTAATATTGTAAACCTTTGGATCCAGGTATTAGATCGGACCATATTTTTGGGACGAATCATTTGTCCTATGATATTGTATGATCGTAATGTGATTTACAACAATTTATATGTTAGGCCGCTAAAGGTCATTTGCGTTAAACAGGATTTATTTTTGAAAAATGACCACGATGTGTTTAGAAAGTTTTAAAACTATAAATTAAAGTAACAGTTTAAGTTGCAAGGCTTTATCATAAAAGCGTTTCTCGCGCGAGGGTATTAATTGGGACGCATGGTGTACAATAATCACAATATTAGCATCCCGAAATACCACCACATCGACTCATATATGATAGCTTTATTCATAGAGAGAATCAGATATAGCGGAGGCAAACATTTTTTTCAATTTTAGAATATTTCTGGCTCATGTCACCCCTTGTCATGTCTTTTTTCTAAAAATCCCCAAAGTGTACACTTTATATTAGTAAAACTAAAGAGTTTTACAATAATGTATTATTTTTCTATGGTTACCATTCTTATTATTTGGTAGAATTTAAACATTTTTCACGCATTATTGCTCTTTGAATCCATTATAGCTTCACCAATTTATGACATATTGTGAATCTTTTGGGAGATATTGTATTTGAGATTGTAAAAAATAGATTGGTAGGTAAATTGTACATGTTGCTTGTAACTTTGTCACCCCTAAAGATCTGATTCTACCATTAAATGTCATTAAAGTGCGTTATATATTGCCGTCTTATATATAACTTAGTAAAATGCATTGGAAGATTAATTCAAATCCATTGAAAGAAAGTTCTGTCACATCCAATAGCAATTTAGAATTGTGACTCAGAGATATTTTATTTTTTGAGACAAGAAAGAGATGAACCATGATGATCGTGTCAGTTTCTATTAAACGTTTCATGTGGGCCAATCGAATTTCGTGTTCGATGAGCAGTTCCCAATGAAATTCTGAGCGTAGTTTTAATTTTAGCTCCAAAATGGCTAAAAATGAAAAAAATACAGCGGTCTGTAATTTGTTATGTTGGGCTCTTTTTTGCTTTGTTTCATTTATTCATCGCATGAAATGAAATTGTTACCATGGCATTATAGACAATCAAAACAAATACAATGCCAAAATATACAAGTACAATGAATAGTTTCATGTTTAAGCATCTGCCACACCTTCACCAGAAAGCAGGTGTACATATTATGAATCTCACATAAATGATAAATTTCTTTATTTAATGCCCTTTCGCCATCATCTGTGATAAGTAATCAAGAAACAAATAGATGAATAACATATGATTTGTTTTGTAATCACGACCAGTCAAATAAACAATCTTGTAATTTTTATTGATTCCACCAACATTCTTAGACGTCTAATAAATTACACCGAAATAATAATACTATTGTTTTAGTTAGTTTTAGTTTAATATAGTTTATTTATGTGTCACAAGCAATAATATTAAAATACATTTAAAACATTTTTAAAAACATTGCTTCTAGCCGATGCCGGCTTATGAGACACCAAATTAGTACATGTGTTGATAACATTCCCCATTATACATGTGAAATTACTAAATGCACAGTAACAGTGATAGAGACCATGACTTTTGTACTGGGTTAATTGTTTTTTCCTAGTTAGTCATACAATCGAAGTTGCTATTTCATGACAAGAAGTTTTACTGTGAATTGTTTTATTGACTGACACTCCAAGAGATCACGGACTTTTGTGTCAGTGGTCAAATGGTCCGACTTTATTATCTTATTTCATTATGAAAGCTCATTCTTATCACTCCAATTCTAAAGCAATCTATTGAAGAACTGAAGTTGACAGAACCTCCAATAAATCAAAATTCTTTGACTTATAAATATTGTTCCCGGATGATCTGTTATCATTATTTCCGGACATCACACTGACGAGGACGCGGACTATGGTTATCAGGGATTAATCGAGAGCGATTGTTTTTGATTAATTTATTGAAATTAGAAAAATATACAAAATGTCCGATTACTACACAAACGTTGGGTTTGAACACGATGAGAAAAAACCAAATGGAACTACTCCAAATGGTAAACTACCCGATGTTTCCAAAACGCCAAATGGTAATGTAGGGAATGGGCACCATTACGAAACATTTGTTAAACCGCACATCGGAGAACATGAACCTGAAACTAAGGATTCATTTGAGATGAAAAGCATGGACGAAAAACCAAAGGACTTGGAGAAAGGACAGCTCGATGATGACGAAGTTGATTACTCAGATGCCAACTGCATTACAAGAGGAATGAAATTGTTTCAACTCGGGTTTTCACAGTTTATCACTAATAACTTTAACTTGTTAAGAAATATCTTCATGGGTGTGCTTCTCGTGGGCTATAGCGTCTACTTTGTATTTGCCCTCCTGTATTCTGTGCAAGGAGCCACGGCCCTTATAGTCATGACCTCGATTGCTGTCTTCTTTATCGTCTATGCCTTCTTACGCGATCACTTTGGGGATACAGTGAACAGAGTTGTATTTGTCCCACTTGGACGTCTTCTGGATAAACATTGGTTTTGGCTAAAATGGTAAGTATATAAAAATCGACCTACGATACGGTTCATAGTACCCTGTAAAATCGATCATTGTGAATGGTTAAATAGGTACAGCATATAAACGATGAATCTTCTTCAAATAGCAATGTCTATTTTTTTTAGTGAAAAGTGTTCCTCTATTTAGCGAGAAAAAAGGCAAAGTAATTGTCCCAGTCCTTGAAATAAATCTGGAAGTTTCAAAATTTCCCAAATTGTATTTTGTAAGGAGAAAATGTAAAGGTTATTCAACTTGAAAATGTTTTGAAGGGTTCAGGAAAATTATTATCCTTTTCACTTGCATTACTCAATTTAGCATGATCTGGAGTAATGAGACAATGGAAAAAATAGAAAACTTGAGGAATTTCCATCGTTGAAAATTTGTTTAATACATCGATCGTACAAGTGCACGTTTCAGGGGACTGTCATATCATATCTGATTAAATCATATCACATATCATATCAGCATTTTCGTCTCTAATATTTTACGCTGCATATTCACGAAGAATAAATAATTCAGAGAATCACACCCGGTGATCGTGAATATGGGACGGAGGGGGGGGGGGAGCAGGCAATTTCTGCTAGGAAATTCAACAAATCTGGAAGATTTATTTTTTCAAGAAAAAGTTTACTATTGAATTGCTAAATGGATAGGCACACGGTATGGAAGAATATGTTAGGGGAGGGGACGGAGGGGGGAGCAATATGTATATAAGACATGATTAGAGATGTTTCGCGACTTTAAGTCCTTTTACTCCAAATGTCCCCATTTTTCAGTCTCCAGGGGTATATCATCCAGTTTCTTACTAAGTTAATGAGTTAATTTTTCAAATACAAGAATTCGTGTGAAGTTGTTTCACTTTATAGAATTATTACTCCCCCCCTCCGTCCCCTCCCCCCCTCCGTCCCATTTTAATTATTTTCGATTATTTTTTATTTTACGTATGGAAACTTATTTTATAAATTCAGCAATGACATTAATTTAGTTATGATAACATCACTTACAAGTATTTATTACAGGTCGTGTAGTCCATTGTTGCTTGATTTATAGCAAAACTTTGACTTTTGCACGTTGGTTGCGTTGCGCCTTTTTTAATAGATCTTATATCTTAAAAGAGTATCGGTTGAAAAATAATCCTAGAATACCTAACATATTTTATCATACCGTGCGCTTATTCAATTTGCAATTCAATCGTAAACTCTGTCTTGAAAAAATAATTTTACCAGATTTGTTGAATTTTCTAGCGGAAATTGCCTGCTCCCCCCCTCCGTCCCATTTTCACGATCACCGGATGTGAGAATATGCAGTGTAGAAAAAATTTACATTCGTTTGTAAAATATTAATTGAAATGAGATTCAAATGTTTTCCTTGCATTGCTTTTAAAGATAAATGTGAAATTGATATGTTGACTAGAAGTTATCTTCAATGAAAAAGTGAGTTTTTGACAGAAACGATCAAAAATCGTTGTCATGACGACGAATGACAATAATATAAAATTAATTATATGAAATAAAAAAAATTTCAGGTCGGATATATGTCTTTATGAAATCATTGATTTAGTCAACATATAAATATTAGAATCCATATTTTTAGGATAGTTTACCTGGCGCTACTGGCGGGTCTGATTACGTATCTGGCTGTAGAATGCATCAAACGTTGGGAACAACTTATCCCCGTTGGTGGAGTTGCCCTCATTATATTCCTTGAGTTTCTGTTCTCAAAGCACCCACATAAGGTAAAATATATTTATAGAAAACACTGACGGTAAAATAGAAAATACATAAGGTAATATATATTTATAGAAAACACATGAGGTAAAATATGTTTATAGAAAACACATAAGGTAAAATATATTTATCGAAAACACATAAGGTAAAATATATTTATAGAAAAAACATAAGGTAAATATATTTATAGAATACAAGTGCGTGATACAGGGGTTGCCATTTTAGTAAAGGGTGTAAATACGTTTCTGTGCTTGATACAGGGTATATTTAATGGAAAAGGTTAAATTATGATGTTGAATTATTGGTGTCTATCATATATTTAAGAACTGCCATCTATATATGAATATAAAGTTTAAATAACTAACGTGAACAAAAGATTAATGAGATTCTGATTGTTAGGTTCTGAGAATGCTGCTGCCATCTTTGAATAAACTCTAAATTATCAATGATATAATTATAATCTATTGTGATAACGAACACCTCCCAATCTGAATGTTTTTAACTGCACGGTGGCATTTGGATTAGACAGGTTTTACTGTATGAGTAATAGTAATACTGAAATTCAAAAAAATCTGAAGGCCTAGTCAATCTATTTTGGGAAATATTCTCAGCTATTTGAAATGAAGATCAACTTTGTAAGAAGTCTCTATAATTATTTTTTTAATTTATACAATAACATTATACTCAACTTAAGTTCAAATTCCAATGCTCTGGCCTTGGCTAATCAAAACAGTTCATTGCAATTGTTTCATCAATTATTATATTATTATATTAATATATCATAATTATTTCACATGCAAATACTGTACTGCCACTAATATTTGATGCTGTTATCTTTCACAATTTTGCAATTTTGAAATTTTGCGGATATCAATTTTCGCTAATTATAAATTTTTTATAATTTTGTATCTATTTCTTTCACCATCATATCATTTCTCAAAAAAATTTCCAGCTTATTTGATTAAATGTTTTTAAAACCAAGAAATATGAATGAAACAGTACCTTCTTACCTTTAATTATTGCTATACCATGTACTTAAAGCCTTTACATGATACCTATCAGCTATCACCTGCTTCAAAAGCATAGGTGAAACTAAACTATTGAAATCAAGTGCTCACTTTAAATTTTTTTTATATTTTCTGTTTGGGAAAATCTGTTAGTTATCAGCTGCATTTTTGTCAGTCAAGATTTCTCTTCATCAAACCAAATCAAATCCAAGGAATGTTTAGTCAAATATCCAGTTGTTCAGGAATCGAACTCAATTCAAAGAATGATTAGTTCCATAGTGTAAACATATACAACTTTGAACAAAATTGGTATCAGCCATTATGTTACATTAAAAAAAAACAGAATGTAAAAGACTTTCATGTAAGCAGGAAATTTCTTGAAAGAATACTAAAGGTTTCGCAACAGAATTTAGACGGTCATATGTTGAATTGCAGAAATTTTCTGAAAATGTAAGGTGTGTATGTTAGGCCAATGCATTATCTAAAGGAAAAGTACTCATACAGATGATAAAAAAAATTGGAGATTGAGACAGGGAAGGTGCAAAGACCCCATCAACATTTTTTTTCAAAAATGTTTTCCTGATTTTCAGTTCCTTCCATTTTTTTTTTATAATGTTTTCACATTAATATGTTGCATTTGTAGACAAAGTTAACATACTAAAGAGAAAATATTTTCCTTTTAAGAGTTTATTTGTGTCTCCAAATGCAACATACTGATGCATAAAACATTTATAAAAATTGAGTAGAAGGGGAAATTTTAAATTCAACGAACATATAGGCCCACTGAGCATTTATTTTGCACAGGGCCTTTATTAGAAAGAACTCAAAATAAATGCCATTGGCTTTTATTAAGACTAAGAGGGAAATTGAAAACATTTTTCCAAGGGGACAGGCATTTATTAAGAGGGAAAATAGCTTTCCCAAGCCAGTGGGTGTTTATTTCGAGGAGTATTATCAATCGAAGAGTTGACACATGGCCTTCATATACTCATGCAATAGTATCTATCATCTCTGATTGCACACTTCTGTTTTACCTTTCAAGCATTCGATTTGGATTTTGGAATGTCATAAAGCTATGCGGTCAAAAGTAATCTTAATACTTTTTAGTGAAAATGCATTTATATTTTTAAAATGCAGAATCTTGCGAATGCAAAATCCTCGAAATCCGATCACCTCCACATCTGAATGTTTTTTTTAACTGGTCATGGTGTTTTAACTGGTCATGGTGGCATTTGGATTAGACAGATATTACTGTATAAGTATTAGACAGATATTACTGTATAAGTATAATAGTATTACTGGAATTCCAAAAAATCATAACGCCTACAATGCTAGTAATATTAAGTGAAAATGCATTAATATTTTTTCAAAATCAAGAATCTTTCGGATGCAAAAACCTCGAAATCAGACGTTTAAATTTGAATGTTTTTAATTTGTAGCGGTGGCATTTGGATAAGACAGGTTTTACTGTATAAGTATAATAGACATTAATAGTATTACTGGAATTCCAAAAAATCATAAGGCCTATAGCAACAATCATGTGAACTTCAGGTCAAAATTCCAATGCTCCCTTGGCCAATCAAATCAGTTCATTGCATTTGTTTCATCAATGCTCTCAATATCATAATTATTCCACATGCAAATACTGTACTACCGGTTAATTTGCGAGTTTAAATTTCATGAATTTTGAGAAATACCAATTTTGCGGCCATTAAATTTTGCGGATATCAAAGGTTTAACTTCCATTATTCTCTGAATCCTCAAAATTAATTTATCTTATCTACAGTAATTACACCTACCCAATATCATATACTTTGGATTAGATTTACAATCTCTAGATCTTAGTCAATGGCATGTTGCACCTCAGCCTTTAATTGGCGATATTCCCGACTATTAATTTTCGTGATTTTTACACAATCGCGAAAAGCACGAAACTAAATTGCACGCGAAAAATATCGGGAGTACAGTACATTGAAACCATACACTCTTATATTTCATAAGAATTTGCAATCAAGCCTAACAAATCTATTGGCAAAATATTAGGAGGCCAGCAAATGTACCCATGCTAAAGTGATGAAACTTTAATGAATTTTAATTTTTGCCTATACTGAGATGTGTTAAACTCTATTTGGGTTAGATTTATTCGGCTACACCCTCTACTTACAGCCTTAACATGCCCCCTATCGGCTATCACCCGCTTCAAAATCATAACAGGTTCCTTTATATCTTCCTTTATCTTCTGTTTAAGAAAAGCTGTTAGCTATCAGCTGTATTTTTGCCAATCAAGATTTCTCTTCATCTGTGAATTACCCAGCGAGAAACCAAAATGGCAATTTTGATGGAAAGACACAAAGTACCAGTCAAAATCTCTGAAGATTTCCGGGCAAACAATGGCAGCTCTCCCAGTTAGGTTTTAGACTGTCTTCTCATATTTTGTCAATTTTATTCAATTTCAAGTATTGTTTAGAGTTATGCGTTCAACATATTCGAGAAGTCAATAGCTATAATAAATCTGCAGATTTTGCTCACATTTATGTAAGCTTTTCTCTTTTGACGGATACTTTGTGTCTTTCCTTGAAATCATGACAGGTGTAACTGATCTACTGAAATCAACTTCAAGTGCTTACTACTATCTCCCAATGTGAGCTACATCAGTGCTTTTTGTTGAGAAAATATGTAAGTTATTAGCCGCTTTTTTGCCGATCAGGATTTAAATTCTCTTTATCTGTCATGTACCTAGCAAGATTCAGAGATTTTGACTTGTACGTCATGTCTTTCCGTCAAAACTTCCATTTTTGGTTTCTTGGTAAAAAGTAGCTTCTCAATGTATAATGAGAATTTGCTGTTCGGCACAGAAGCACCTTTTAATTTTTTTCGATTTTCGCAAGGACACTAACACAATTTTGAAGCGGTTGATAGGGGGCTCTAAAGGCTGTTCTAACATATCAGTCACAGCCTCTGAAAGAGCTAGATCTAAGGCTCTAGCTTTAGGCTAGTCTAAGTCCTATAGATCTAGTAGTCTAGGCCTAGAGTCATAGGCATAGGCCCGTAAAAATGTAAAGAAATAAAGCTTACAGCATGTTCTATAAGTGAATATGACTCAATGCTATACATGTTCCGGGCCTATGCCTAGTATAGTCCCGCAGGACGAAGAAGATAGAATGTAAAAATCAAATTGAAAATCAAAATAATCGAACGAAAAAAAATTGAAAAAGTTGAAAATTCGATTTCGATTCAATTTGATTTTCTGCCATTATCATGGAGAGCCCATGGCCATTATAAATGAAATACTGTACTTACCAACATGTTTCTCGGATATATATGTTGTTCTTACTTTATCTTCGCCGAAGATCGATGTTTATTTATATATAACAATCGAATAATCGACATAATTCAAACTCATCTACGACACAAAAATATATCACTTTCGAAACCATGTAAACTGCTAAGATGACGTCATTTATATCCGGGATTGCTTTGCAAACTCCACACAACAGACTGTCCCAGCTTTTCTCCTGCTTTCTCCCGATGCAATTCATACATTACTCGGAGATTACTGTCAAACGTTCCAAGTTTTACAATTTTAGCATGTTTATTAGGAGGCCCCATCGGGGGGCCTCCTATCAATTTTGTAGATATTATTCTTTATTCTTTATTCTTTATTCTTTATTAGGAGGCCCCCCGGCAGGGGCCTCCTATCAATTTTGTAGATATTATTCTTTATTATTCTTTATTAGGAGGCCCCATCGGGGGGCCTCCTATCAATTTTGTAGATATTATTATTATTCTTTATTATTCTTTATTATTATTTATTCTTCCTCCCTCTTTTTCTCCTACTTCCAACTACCTTTCAACTAGGTACTACATAGTCCTACTAGGGACCTGGGCTGAACTTGGCGGGAAAGGAATTTTTATCTAGGTCAAGGTCAAAGGTCAAAATCTAGGTCAAATCTAAGTTTTTTTCAAGTTTCTCAAATCCTGACACTACACTTAAATATTTTTGGCTGAATTTTTGCACACAGATAGATATTAGTATTCTATTAGTCTTAGCCTTTTGCCGTCTAGAGAAATTTTGCCTAGATTTTGAGATATTGAAGGTCAAAAAAAGGTCAAAAAAGGTCTTTTTTCAACTTGCTTCAAATTGACCAATTTTTTTTTTAAAACTCATCTACAAGTTCTCAGGATTCCAAATCTGACCTTACTTTTGACCTTTGACCTTTGGTTGATCTTCAGTGACCTCCGAAAGGTAAAAAAGTTGATTTTTCAAATCGATTTTCTGGATTCAAATTTAGGTATATTTATTCACAAAAGATCTTCTGAGGTCTAAAAAAGTAAAATTTGCAAGGTCAAAGGTCAAGGTCATCAAACGAAATCACAAACTGTGTTTTCTAAGTTTCTCAAAATTGGAGACTACAAATCAATTTTTTTTACTGAAAGTCAGAATATATATTCCTCTAAAGGTTCTACACATATTAGCAATTGACTATTTATTAAAATTTTGCTCCAGTTTTGAGATATTAGAACTCAAAAACTGAAAAAAGGTCAAATTTAAAATTTTTCAAGGTCAAATTTCAACTTGCTCTAAATTGACCAAACTTTTTTTTAAAAAGCATCTACAAGATCTCAGGAACTCAAATCTGACCTTAGTTTTGAACTATGACCTTTAGTTGACCTTCAGTGACCTTCGAAAGGTCAAAAAAGTTAATTTTTTAAATTGATTTTCTGGATTCAAATTTAGGTTTCTTCAATCAGAAAAGATATACTGAGGTCTAAAAAAGTAAAACCTGTAAGGTCAAAGGTCAAGGTCATCAAACTAAATCACAAACTGTGTTTGCTAAGTTTCTCAAAGTTTGTGACTACAAATCAATATTTTTGAATTAAAGTCAGGATATATATTCCTCTAAAGGTTTTACACATAATAACAATTGATTATCTATTAAAATTCTGCACCAGTTTTGAGATATTGGACCTCAAAAACTGAAAAAGGTCTAATGTTGAAATTTTTCAAGGTCAAATTTCACATTGCTTCAAATTGACCAAACTTTTTTTTTAAAATCATCTACAAGATGCCTGGAGTTCATATATGTCCTTGTATTTAAGATTTGACTGGCTGACCTTTAAATGTTCAAAAAAGCCTACGGGGCCTCCGTAAGATTGCTTGCAATCTTCTAGTTATTATTTATTCTTCCTCCCTCTTTTTCTCCTACTTCCGACTAACTTTCAACTAGCTACTACATAGTCCTACTAGGGACCTGGGCTGAACTTGGTGGGAAAGGAATTGTTATCTAGGTCAAGGTCAAAGGTCAAAATCTAGGTCAAATCTAAGCTTTTTTTAAGTTTCTCAGATTTCGTCCTCATACTTCATTATTTCTTGCGATGAATTAAAATGTAACTAGATATAAGCATTCTCTACAAATTGCTCACTATATGTACGCATTAATTTTTTACCGTTTTTGAGTTATTTGACGTCAAAAATCGGCAAAAATCTGTCATTTTTCAACTTGCTTCAAATGAACCAGATTTTTTTTTAAAAATCATCTACAAGATCTCAGGAACTCAAATATGTCCTTACTTTTGACCTCCGACCTTTGGTTGACCTTCGGTGACCTTCGAAAGGTAAAAAAAGTTGTTTTTTCAAATTGATTTTCTGGATTCAAATTTAGGTATTTTTGATCACAAAGGACCCACTGAGGTCTAAAAAAGTAAAATTTGCAAGGTCAAAGGTCAAGGTCATCAACCTAAATCACAAACTGTGTTTTCTAAGTTTTCAAAATTGGAGACTACAAATCAATATTTTTTCATGAAAGTAAGCATATATATTCCTCTATAGGTTCTACACATATTAACAATTGACTATTTATTAAAATTGTGTACCAGTTTTGAGATATTGGAATTCAAAAACTGAAAAAAGGTCAAATTTCGAAACTTTTCAAGACTAAATTTCAACTTGCTTCAAATTGACCAATTTTTTTTTAAAACTCATCTACAAGTTCTCAGGATTCCAAATCTGACCTTACTTTTGACATTTGACCTTTATTTGACCTTCAGTGACCTCCGAAAGGTCAAAAAAGTTGATTTTTCAAATCAATTTTCTGGATTCAAATTTAGGTGCATTTAATCACAAAAGACCTTTAGAGGTCTAAAAAAGTAAAATTTGCAAGGTCAAAGGTCAAGGTCATCAAACTAAATCACAAACTGTGTTTTCTAAGTTTCTCAAAATTGGTGACTACAAATCAATATTTTTTCATGAAAGTCAGGATATATATTCCTCTATAAGTTCTTCACATATTGGCTATTGATTATTTATTAAAATTGTGTACCAGTTTTGAGATATTATAGCTCAAAAACTGAAAAAATGTCAAATTTCAGAATTTTTCAAGGTCAAATTTCAACTTGCATTAATTCGACAAAATCTTTTTTAAAAATCATCTACAAGTTGTCTGGAGTTCATATATGATCTTAAATTTGATATTTAACCTTTAGTTGACCTTCTAATTGGCAATGCCTACAGGGCCTCCGTAAGATTGCTTGCAATCTTCTAGTTATTATTTATTCTTCCTCCCTCTTTTTCTCCTACTTCCGACTAACTTTCAACTAGCTACTACATAGTCCTACTAGGGACCTGGGCTGAACTTGGCGGGAAAGGAATTTTTATCTAGGTCAAGGTCAAAGGTCAAAATCTAGGTCAAATCTAAGTTTTTTTCAAGTTTCTCAAATCCTGACACTACACTTCAATATTTTTGGCTGAATTTTTGCATACAGATAGATATTAGTATTCTATTAGTCTTAGCCTTTTGCCGTCTAGAGAAATTTTGCCTAGATTTTGAGATTTTGAAGGTCAAAAAAAGGTCAAAAAAGGTCTTTTTTCAACTTGCTTCAAATTGACCAAATCTTTTTTTAAAACTCATCTACAAGTTCTCAGGATTCCAAATCTGACCTAACTTTTGACCTTTGACCTTTGGTTGACCTACAGTGACCTCCGAAAGTCAAAAAAGTTGATTTTTCAAATCGATTTTCTGGATTCAAATTTAGGTATATTTATTCACAAAATACCTTCTGAGGTCTAAAAAAGTAAAATTTGCAAGGTCAAAGGTCAAGGTCATCAAACGAAATCACAAACTGTGTTTTCTAAGTTTCTCAAAATTGGAGACTACAAATCAATTTTTTTTACTGAAAGTCCGAATATATATTCCTCTAAAGGTTCTACACATATTAGCAGTTGACTATTTATTAAAATTTTGCTCCAGTTTTGAGATATTAGAACTCAAAAACTGAAAAAAGGTCAAATTTCAAAATTTTTCAAGGTCAAATTTCAACTTGCTCTAAATTGACCAAACATTTTTTTAAAAAGCATTTACAAGATCTAGGGAACTCAAATCTGACCTTAGTTTTGACCTATGACCTTTAGTTGACCTTCAGTGACCTTCGAAAGGTCAAAAAAGTTAATTTTTCAAATTGATTTTCTGGATTCAAATTTAGGTTTCTTCAATCAGAAAAGATATACTGAGGTCTAAAAAAGTAAAACCTGTAAGGTCAAAGGTCAAGGTCATCAAACAAGATCACAAACTGTGTTTTCTAAGTTTCTCAAAGTTTGTGACTACAAATCAATATTTTTGAATTAAAGTCAGGTTATATATTCCTCTAAAGGTTTTACACGTATTAACTATTGATTATCTATTAAAATTCTGCACCAGTTTTGAGATATTGGACCTCAAAAACTGAAAAAGGTCTAATGTTGAAATTCTTCAAGGTCAAATTTCACATTGCTTCAAATTGACCAAACTTTTTTTAAAAAATCATCTACAGGATGCCTGGAGTTCATATATGACCTTGTATTTAAGATTTGACCTTTGGCTGACCTTTAAATGTTCAAAAAAGCCTACAGGGCCTCCGTAAGATTGCTTGCAATCTTCTAGTTACGATCTAATTCCTGCCAGTATCAATGAATAAATCTATTGACCAACAGATTGGAAATATGTATTCCAGCGATACCCTCATTTTGACGAAAGAATGGTACAAATATGTCCACTATTTATCGAGATATCGTGTAGAAAAATTGAAGAAAGACATCGCTTAAGAAATCTCTATTTCTAGACTGAACTGTTCACGCTCGCAAGTGGCATCTCCATCTCCATATATGGGCAAAAAGGTGGAGTTAACAATAAGCAATGACACGATTGACACGATTGACACGAAGAAGTCTCGATGAATCTCGCTTAAACTCCGCCCCTTCTTCGTGAAAAATCACGTGAATTCCGGCTTTTGCTGGGACATATCCGGGCATCTCGGCTTCGAACCCAATCAGAAGTTTCAATTTTGACTGGCGCCGCATACATTATCTCAAGTCTCACCCAATATTTTTATGTATACGTTAATTAAACATATTTATAGAAAACACATAAGGTAAGATTTATTTATAGAAAACACATATAACTTACATTAATCAAAGTTTCAACACAAGAATAGTTTACTCTACCGAAATTAAAAAAGCACTTTATAATATGATATAATTATTGAACAATTCCATTTAAAGTAACTAAATGCTCATTTTTAATTTATCAATTCCCTGTTCTACATACTATCTTACAATGATTTTCAAACAGTTATCTCAAGCATCATCATGTTCTTTATAGGTGCGCCTGAGACCTGTAGCATGGGGATTCGGTCTACAGATTGTGCTGGGGATTCTCGTCCTGCGCTGGAAGCCTGGATACGACGCCATAGAGTGGGTAGCGGATCAAGTGCAAGAGTTCATGTCGTATACACTAGCAGCTGGGGACACCGTATTCGGATTCACCATTCTACATCCGTTCATCTTTTTGGTGAGTAAACGGAGATTTATCTCAAAAACTACCCTGATATATTGTGCTTTTCTACTGAATACAGTACGCGTAAAAACTAACCTTACACGAGCTCCTTCACGCCGTCGGTATCCATAACTGACACCATGTCTACACTCATCTCAATAAGTTTGGCAACCTAATGTTTTTATTGGCCGGATAGCATATCAAAGTCGATCAAATTACTTAATTTCAATTGTTCGGAAAATATGAAAGATTCTTTTAATCGCCAAACAAACAGGCCTAGAAAATTGATTACTTAATTTCAATTGTTCGGAAAATATGAAAGATTTTTTTAATCGCCAAACAAACAGGCTTAGAAAATTAATCCAAAATGGAACTTCCGGTAGACACATCTATTGATCTGAGAAGTTGTGACTAACCGACTGTTTTTTAGATGATGCCCATGCTCATTTGGTTTGCCGCTGTGATGTCTGTGTTATATTTCTTTGGGATCACCCAAGTGATTGTTAAGAAGATGGGTTGGTTTATGCAAATGACGTGTGGAACAACTGCCGTAGAATCACTTAGTGTATCTGCTAATATCTTCCTAAACGGGGTATGTTTATTTCATATTTTGTTTCAAACAATAAAGGTGCAGATTACAGTAAATAAAGTCGACAAACTATAAATAGTCCAAATACAATTCTATTTAGAGTTGGCTGTTGTCATTTTTAGGGCATGCTTGGCAAGTTCATCCTCCGATCACAGGGCTTCAAAATCCAGAATATATTCTTTCTTTTTACCCCCTGCGATAAGCAGTTACCATTTCCCCGATTAAGAACTCGCAATCTGATTGACTGTCGCAACACTGCGACAGAAATCATGTAACATAATTAGATCACGTGATTCAGTTAAATCGGGCGCGTCCAAATTGGTTATAGCAAGGGGAAGAAGGAGGTACGGATTCTGGATACCTGCTTAGGAGGATGGGCAAGTTTTGCACATTAATATCCCATTAACTAGGCTTTGTCTTTTATATCTTTTGTAGATGGATACACTGCTTATGTTACGTCCCTACCTGGAGAAACTGACCAAGTCCGAGTTTCACGCCATGCAAGTCGGCAACCAGGCCACCGTTGCTGGATTTGTATTTGCTGTTTTCATCTTGTTAGGGGTAGGTACATGTTGCGTCCATTACCAAGTGACGAGGCCTATTATATATCTAAAAGTTACAAAGTGACTTTATCAAAATGATAATGCATTATACAATTAAAAAATGTATAAAGATAAATAAATGAGATCGAAATTATCATTTATGATTGTACAGAACAATATTGTCACATAGGTTAACAATAATTATTGTTAGTACCTCCGTGTAAATACTCTCATCTGATTGGTCAATTAGCTGTCAACATTTTTGCCTGTACCTCACCTGTGCATCATGGGATATCATATTATTGACCGCTTATGTTACTGTACTACACTTGTGAATTATGGGAAATATGTCAACAGCAGTTTCTCGGTTTACAGTCTCGGTATACAATTTTGCCGGTTGACCTCTGGAGAGGTCAACAATTGTATATTGTCTTATGATGTACGTGTACAGTGAATTTATATTTTTCATTAAACGATTGTAGGCACCACCCCAGCATCTGCTGACTGCAGCTTGCATGAGTGCCCCTGCTGCTATGGCAATAGCTAAACTCAACTATCCAGAAACGGAACAGTCTGTAACCAATGGCGACGTCGAATTTCCACCTCCGTAAGGACATGCGTACATTTATTAACAATTAATAAAAATGGTAGCTGTAATTTCACGTTCAAAAGCAGAGAGAATGATCATACTTTGAAACCAAACCTGCTGTTGTATTATATACTTAAAAGTATACTCCTCAAAATCTAACCTGCTACGATTTATGGATTCCCTTAACCCAGGCCTCAATACACTCCCCTTCATAAGTTTGGCAACTGGAAGTCGCCAACATGACATACATTTTCTGTGGCATTTATAAAAGCCTGTTTATGTTCATCAAAAATTCACCAAGGTCGTAAATTTCCAAACTGTTGCATCTAAAGCGAAAATTAAGATATTAACATCAACAGTCATTGATATTCTATCTAATGAGAGCCTCCAGTTCCCAAACATATGGTGAGGAGTGTACATCATCCCGTTCTTTCCTTGATTTTAGCATGCATTTATGTCATGTTAACTTATGTTGTGTGTCTCTTGCAGGGTTGAAAAGAATGTCATCGAATCAGCTTCCAATGGTGCCAAGGCAGCTGGCAAGACTGTCACAGCTGTCGTGATCAGCTTTATTTTTATGTTGTCAGCTATAGAGTTTCTTAACGCAACTTTGAAATGGATTGGGGAGAGGGTTGGATATGGCGATCTCACTTTCCAGGTACGCATAAACGAGTTTTATTTTGTGTTCAAGCAGAGTACGAGTTTTTTCTAGGTTATTTCACCCACGCCCATGTGAATATAACCAACATTTTTCCACCGGTCAATTATGTGGGTGGAATTACCTAGAATCGAATCGAGAATCTATTAACGTAATTAGAAAGTTAAAAATTTTGCCAAGAGCATGCATATAAAATACTTCATCTTATTCCTGAAATAAATATTTTAAAACTTACATTACAACTTTTGCTTCATACATGACAACGTACAGCTAAAGTGTACACCCGCAAATTTTGTCACTGTACGTTGTCGATGGTTAGGCGTGGTATTATAAGGGGCATGTGTACAGTTAACGATAGTGAAAACAAATTGTACTCTAATGACATTCATGATGATGTTCCTTAAACTTATTCATTCACTGTAATGTATTCACTTGCAGTTGATCTGTTCGTACGTCTTCTGGCCATTTGCCTTCTTGATGGGTATAGAGCGAGACAACTGTGGACAAGTCGCCAAATTATTGGGAATTAAACTGTTTACGAGTGAATTTCTGGCCTACAGTGAACTTGGAGATATGGCAGAAGCTGGTGAAATCACAGTAAGTTCTTTCAAGGGTCAATGGTTGATAATGTATTGATTTTGTGGCTCAAACGTTCATTTATTTAAAGTCTTTCGGCTATGTTGGACAAAATGATTTTAAACTCAGTTTCTTTGAACATAAAAAGCTGACATACTGTATACTTTGGTTGCTTTTTAACTTTACTTATTATTATCGTACATTTAGCAACGATCAGCTGCCATTGCGACGTATGCTTTGTGTGGGTTTTCTGGATTGGCCACGTGTGCGATTGCAATTGGAGTATGGAGTGCTCTCGTTCCTTCAAGAGTCAGTTGGGTAGCAGAACAAATGTTACGATGTGTTATCAATGCAAACATGGCCTGCTTCCTCACTGCATGTGTTGCCAGTAAGTTTGACATCTACCCTGGCTAGTAGTTAGATTCCAGTTTCAGTACCATGAGAATGATTTGGCTCAGGGAACATGGTATACAATGACAGATATAGAGAAAGATCCCCAAACTTGATGAATAATAAATTAATTAATTGGATCCATTTCTAACTTCAATTCAGTATCATCATTTGAACTATGTAGATATTGTTATTTTTATGACACGTCGAATCTTTTCTTTATTCCAGGTGTTCTTTACCGAGACGATTTCTCAATTGTCAATGTCAATGGGACATCTATTGACCCTCTGCCCATCGTAGGAAACGGTGGAATAATGGATGTTATACTTGACTTGGTCGGCAGCATCATTCCAAAAGACATTATGGATTCCTTTGCGAATATCATTTTGGGAATACGCGATATTGTATTACCCGCAGCGCCAAATTGCACTATTACTGGAGGCACAATCGTGAACGAAGTAAACGGAGGTCTCCAAGGTATTTTGGACGTGCTTGGTGCGATCCTACCAGATGATGCCATGGGTTCTCTTAACCAAGTACTTGACGGACTGCAAGGGATCGTCCGTCCTCGAGATTGTGTCATCCTCAATGTGACAACTGGTTTCAACGATACAATGGCAACTGCTGAAACCGCAACTGGTGATTTGATAGGTACAATCATTGACTTGATATCTGCAATAATACCCGAGGACAGACAAGGTTCTTGGGATAAAGTGCTCCAGGGAATCGAGGACTTGCTCACCCCTGCTGCAGTGAACTGCTCCAACCCTGATACTATCAACCCTACCGTTGACCCAGTCCTTGTTGGCATATGGGATATTATCAAACAACTCCTTCCAGCTGATGTTATAGCATTACTTACACAAATAGGTAATGGTATAGGTGAAATAGTGGCTCCTATTAATAACTGTGATGTAACGACAGTTGCCACTGTAACTGCCAGTGCAATGGCAGATTCGGGAATGTCCGCTCTAGCCGCTGTGCCTGGTGTAAACCAGATCTCCTCGCAGCAGCTACAGACAATGCACGACGCAGTGTTACATATGCCGCAAGAAACAATATCGCAGGTTGCGCAACAAATGACACATATAATTGGCTATTTCCAAACCAGTGATTTACTAGAGACAGCTATGAATACACAAGGGGTCAATCCAGCAGTGACTAAAATAATTGAACTTTCCCATCAACTTCCTGAACATGTTCTTAATCCATTGCATCGGGTCTTAGAGGGCTTGTCAGAGCTGCTAACTGCGGGGACATAATCAAAACTTTGTTTCTGAAAATTCATGGTGAAATATTTTATTGTACCAGCTGGTTGGAAACAGCAAGACACAAAGTTAATGATATTATGTAAATTTTGATATTCTCGATTTTAATTGGTCAACGAAAGGTCAATAATTTTGACTAACCCAAGTCACATTGTCGCACGGCGGCCGCAAGTCGACCGCAGAACAATTAAATCGGTGAATTTCTGCGGCGAGCGTAAAAAACTACGCTCGCCTTGCAGCCTCCGTGCGGCGTATGCAGATTTTTACACGCCGCAGGGAAGGCATAGAAATTATAACTCGGAGTTATAATATTCATTTCTGAGGTCCCCGTAGAAATCAACTGGCTCAACAAGATTGAATCATTATTCGTCAATGTTTCACGATCACTTTTCATTTGATAAAATCTCCTAGCACTTTGAATAACATTTTTAAATGGTCCTGATGTAAATAAAATGAAAAAACTATTATTTATCAATATAAATTTAAAATTCACCGTGCGGCTGCCGTGGGAAATGTGACTGCAAAAGTATGAGCGCAGAAATTCTGCGGCGAGCGTAGAAAAACTACTGGCCGCAGAAATGATAGACCGCAAGGTCACCGTAGGAAATGTGACTGGGGTGAAGATAAGTGTACATGATATTTTACTGTTCTCAAAGACACCATGACGCAAAATTAAGTTCCCTTTTCTGTTTTCATACTTGGAACTAAACGATCTATTGTTAGTTTTAACAGCTGATTGACAAAGTTAACTTGTCTGTAGACATTTTATATTTAATTAATATATTATTTCACTAAAGGTCTTATGTGGATACCTTTTGCGATCGTTTGACTTCGCTCCTTAAAAGAGAGCTTCATCCTCGTAGAATTCATAAATAGACTCTGCGTGTAGGGCATGCATTGTGAGGGAAGACCAAGTTTTTCTTGTTTTCATGTTTGGTAGGGAACTGAGTCCCGATAATAAATTAAATTAATCACCATAGAAGGGGCAGCGAATGGCTGGTCATGCAATCATACCAATAGCTTTTTAAAAGTTGTACATATGTTTATAGTATATACGTTAGTCTGAAATAAACTATTGTAATGTACACGTATGTCTGTCTTAGATAAATTACTACAACGGCGATCTAATGTGGAAATACTTTCACCCGTCTCAGTGATAGGAATATCAAACATGGATACAAGAGTCATTCAAAAAGTCATTATCTATGTTTTTAAATAATTAAATATTATCACAAACCTCGGAGTCGTGGTACTTTAAACCATTATGTTATAAAATAAGTTATAAACGTAAATGACAGTTCCTGGCACTTCTTGAAATAATACTGTTTGGGTATGATACAAGTGTATATAACTTAAGGTATTATGTCCACATCACATGGCATACACGTGCACAGTATTATTAACTAGTTTTTGTGTGATCTCAGAGGTAAGATTGTAAGTCAGTTTATCTGTTCTGCCCCAAAAAAAGAATATTTTACCTTGTCTTGAAATATTTATTTATCGATGCTACTAGATAGCATGCTCTTCTTATCTTTATGCCAATATCATTTTCAATTTGCAAGATAGTCATATCTCAAGAAGTGTTTTTTCGAAACACTTGAACTCCCAAGTTTCAATTATAACAACATGCGACTCATTATGTAACAAGGTTTTCACGAGAGCGAAGAAAAGGCTCTACATAGATACAAATATGTTGACCCCCGTATGGTACACTAGACATACATTGTAATAGAGGTAAACTCTTTGAAAGACCCCCGTATGCTACACTTGTTACAATGGAGGCAAACTCTTTGATCGACCCCCGTATGTTACACTTGGTAAAATGGAAGTCAATTCTATGAACGACCGCCGTATGGTTCACTGGATATAATGGAGGCTAACTCTTTGAACAACCCCCTCCCTATTTTACACTTGATATAATGGAGGTACACCCTAGATATAATGGAGGCCCACTCTTGGAACGACCCACGTATGTTACACTTGATATAATGGAGATATAACTCTTTGATCGACCTCGTATAAAACACTCGATATAATAAAGGTCCAGTGCATTACAATGTCATCTCATTGATAACGTAAAAAGTGGTGTGTTTTATATTTTAGGATAACACTTTAAACTTAGGACCACATCAGTTCATAACTCATATTTTAATTTACTACCTATATTAATACTACATGTACATGTACTACTAAATAAATCGTAAATGAATTGAAAACGTGAGGGTTGAGCATTTTGATTATCATCGAATTAAAGTTGATGATTATTATTCCCGGAGCGGTCACTGATAGAAGATGGGCGATAATTCAACTTCCGAAACAGCATTTAAAAAATATTATGAAGATATTCCGACAAAGACCAATCCGCAATTGATACATACAAATGGATCTGTAAAGGCCAATGGTGATGCGGTTACGAACAATGAAAATGATAGCAATGGGGTTAAAGTTATCGACGATAGTAACCACAAACGCTCTAGTCCGTTAGACAATGGCGGCCGTGTTAACGCGAAACATGGGAACCGTCTTACAACTGGCATGAAAAATTGTCAAACTGCTCTAGGAACACGTTGCTCGGTATACAGTTCTTGGATAGCAAAAATAACACTTTTCATACTTCTAAGCGTATACACTATATATTTTATATTTGCTATTATACATAGCGTAGACGCAGCTCGGGCCCTGATAGTCTTGACAAGCCTGACTGTATTTTTTATTGTATGGAATTTTGTTCGAGATCATTATGGAGATCGTTTATATGGTGCTTTTGGTGAACCTGTAGTGAATGTGTTGAACAAACAATGGTTTTGGTTAAAATGGTAAGTCTAAATTATTTTCAAATGAAGCAATTATTCAACCAGCTTACATCAATTCAGAATATCAGATAAGAGAAATTATAATGTCGTAAAATAACGACATTATAATTTCTGTCTAAATGTATCTCGAATTTCTCAAATTCTTACTCCAATGAAATGATGTATCGCTGTAAATATTGTAAACCACATTTATTGCAATAAACTATGCCTGTAAAATATATAAACATAGTAGGAAAATCAAGCTACATGTTTTTATGAGAACGTATACGTGAACGTGATTTATTGTTCTCTGGGAACTGGTTCTCCTATGAACCTATCTTTCTAACCTAACTTTCGCAGTGCTAGATTGAGTATAGCGGTACACGTATTCAAGAAAAATAGTAGTACATGTATGAGTTCCCTGGAAAAACAAATTAAGAGGTGCCAGTAATCCCTGGGGTGTAATGTTAATAATTTATGTTATTTCAATATGTTAATATTTACACGTACATAATATTGTAAGTACTTACAACTTGTTTTAAAACGCGTATCTTACCCTCCCTGTTGTACTCTAAACATACGTAATAATGTAATACAAATCACCATACACGGTTGTATTTCCTTGCAGGGTTCTTGCCGTTGTCGGATTTGTAGGTCTGGTGGTCTATTTGGCAGTTGACGTCATTAAGACGCCCATGCAGTTGGCTTCTCTTGGGGGAGGACTCGCTATGCTCCTCATCGTATTTTTGACATCGACGAATCCAGATAGGGTAAATGTTATGTACAATCCTATAAAAAGAAGCAATGTATTTGTAATAAAACATACAGGTACAATGTTACCATAATGCCATTTACCATTTTTCATCTTTAAAGGTCCAAATGCGCCCAGTTGCGTGGGGTCTGGGTATACAGTTTGTTATGGGTTCTGTGATTCTGAGATGGTCCTGGGCTTATGAAGCAGTAGACTGGATGTCAGACCAGATCCAAAGATTTCTGTCTTACGTCCTTGATGCCAGTGAAGTCGTATTTGGGGACCCGGGTTACCTCGACCATCCATTTATATTTCTCGTAAGTGTGACCAGTACTCGATATCTTAGCCTATTTGGGCAAATGAACCTAATTCGTTCCTGATCGTAACGCACATACCGCGAGCCAGATCCAGTCCCCATTGGTAGTTGACTCAATGAAATAATGAGTATATTCATTGAGCTTTGAGACTAATACTAAAGGAGGAATCTAGCAGAGGTCCGTGTTTAACGTAAGAATATTGTATATATATGTTTCATTGATCAGATGGACACGATGCTGTTGTTGAAGTCATACATGAACCCGATTAGATTGGCAATGTCAGGATCGCAAGCATTGCGTATAGTCAACCACATGACCTGCTCATCGTTCATCCAATGTAGTTTCATGCGAAACAATACTCTTTCATGTCTTTATTTGTCAGATGATGCCGATGTTGATCTACTTCTCCTCAGTGATGGCCATACTGTTCTATATGGGAGTGATCCAGGTAATAGTGATGAAGATTGGATGGCTCTTCCAGAGGACGTTCGGCACGACAGCGGTTGAGAGCATCAACTCATCGGCGAATATATTCCTGAGTGGTGTAAGTGAGGTTCATAATGTTAGCATCAATTGTGTGGAGTAAACCATACGGAAATACAATCTTATATTGGCTTTTGAAATAACAGGACGACACAAAAATCTTCAAATGAATGAATGAATCCAGTAAATCAAATATAAATGCAAGACAATTAAGGCATTAACATTTAAAATATCGCCACTTAAAGACACTGACCAGCCACCGCCGACCGCAGAACGCCGAACGCTGATCGTCAAACGTCGAACACGGTCCACTGATGTTGGTGATAAAAACTCATCCGGAATGTATGTCTGTATATCCCTTTTTAGATGGATACCATGTTGATGTTGAAACCATATCTGATGAGATTGACAATGTCGGAACTGCACGCATTGCGTGTGGCCAACCACACTACAATAGCTGGCTTTGCATTCGCTCTCCTTATACTGCTAGGGGTGAGTATCTCAATCTGGAGTATATACGTGTACGTTGTTAATTCCTAAAATGTTGGTCTCTGGATTTTTCATTCCTTGTATTTTATTGTCTGAGAGCCCTTTATATTGTATATTTCATTAATTACCATAAAAAATCTGATGGTTTATATTTTCAAAAATAAACCCAATGTAATATTTGGTATTCGAGGAATGAATATATGTGAATTGATTACGTACATATAGGCCCCTGGGAGACATCTATTAGCAGCAGCTGTGATGTCGGCTCCAGCAGGATTAGCAATAGCCAAGCTTAACTACCCTGAGACTGAAGTATCAGTGACTGGAGATAATATTGAGCTGGAAGATTCGTAAGTGAACTCTTTGAACATGCATCGTATCTTTGTTGTTTTCCAGGATCGTATTACAATTTTTCATATGTACCTTTAATTTACACCTTTATAATTAATTAATTAATACGAAATTAACAAAACTACTATAATTCTACGCGTTCACCTACAAGTAATTCTTAAAAACGTGGGTCTTGACCTTACTATTGCGTTGAATCTCAAACGATGCGGGAGATTTTAGATTTTACAGTGTCAACATTACATAAAATTTTCTTTTTACTTTAGTTTTAAATAAACGAATGATGGTTATGATTAACATCGTGTGATTTTTCAAAAATATATTTAGTAAAGAAGATATTACTTTCTATATTACTTTCTTTACATGTATTCATTAGGCCAGATCGCAATATAGTTGAGGCAGCTTCGAATGGTGCTAAAGTTGCTGGAAAGACAGTTATGGCCGTTATAGTGAATTTCATATCTGTACTGTCTTCACTTTCTTTCCTGAATGCCACTTTGAAATGGTTGGGGGAGAGGGTTGGTCAGGATAACTGGAGCTTTCAGGTGAGACATATAGTTATGATACAAGCCGATTGACATTTCCAGAAAAAAATCAATAGACGCTTTTCAATTAAACTTTGGAGATGGAGTTCAAAATTATTAGTATGGCTCAAGTTGCATCGTATTTTACAATAATCAAACAGTTTGTACTCGTATGTTCTTTCGTGTTGTCATCTTCAATGAAACACACGCATGTCTTTTGCTTTCAGTTCTTTTGTTCATATCTTTTCCTGCCAGTGGCCTTGTTAATGGGAGTCGAGTGGCGTGATGCAGGGAAAGTTGCCTCACTTATTGGCCTCAAGCTATTTACAAGTGAATTCATAGCATATGGGGAAATGGGAGAAATGATAGATAGAGGAGAATTAACCGTAAGTTGTCTATATCATAACTAGAGGTTTAAGATTGCAAGCAATCTTACGGAGGCCCCGTAGGCTTTTTTGAACATTAAAAGGTCAGCCAAAGGTCAAATCTTAAATACAAGGTCATATATGAACTCCAGGCATCTTGTAGATGATTTAAAAAACAAGTTTGGTCAATTTGAAGCAATGTGAAATTTGACCTTGAAAAATTTCAACATTAGACCTTTTTCAGTTTTTGAGGCCCAATATCTCAAAACTGGTGCAGAATTTTAATAGAAAATTAATTGTTAATATGTGTAAAACCTTTAGAGAAATATACATCCTGACTTTAATTCAAAAATATTGATTTGTAGTCACAAACTTTGAGAAACTTAGAAAACACAGTTTGTGATCTTGTTTGATGACCTTGACCTTTGACCTTGAAAATTTTACTTTTTTAGACCTCAGTATATCTTTTCTGATTGAATAAACCTAAATTTGAATCCAGAAAATCAATTTGAAAAATCAACTTTTTTGACCTTTCGGAGGTCACTGAAAACTGTAAATACAACGTAAAACTCAATTGATTTTTTGGTCTGCTTTTCTGAACTACACTAGACAACCCTCACTTCACAAATAGGATTAACATTATCAAAAGGTCCATTCATCTGTCTATCTAATACCTATATTTGTAATCACGTCCATCGCATGTCTTTGCTTTTAGCAACGTTCAGTGGCAATAACAACATATGCAATGTGTGGTTTCTCTGGTCTAGCCACGTTTGCAATCAGCGTTGGGGTGTTCAATGCCTTAGAGCCCAGACGGCTGCATCATGTTATCGGAATGATGGGCAGGACGATGATGAATGCAAACATCGCCTGTTTTCTCACTGCTTGCTATGCAGGTATGCTCCGTGACTTGCTTTTTCCATTGTATTTTCTATGTATACTAATGAGTTGATAAAATGTCACGAACATATCTCTGTACACGGAAAACGTTCATGTATCAGGTCATAAGGTAATTTTGCTGTAATTGTTGACATTTTCAAAGGTTGACTGTTGAAATTACATGTACCAGGTCGTTCAATAAGTTCACGTAAAATGCTCTCATTTCAAAGATTTTTGATATTTTCTCATGTCACACAATGTATAGAAAATACTGATGGATTCCTAAAATATCAGCGTCTCTTATTTGATTGGTCAAAAAAGGGTTATTATGGTAACTTGACTTTTGGGTAGGCGGGGCACTTTTTACGTCACATTATTCATTAGAAAAACTACAGAATGATAGGTAATTTATGAGTATATCACATGAATTTCTTCTCCGCTTTCTACTTGTACATGATATAACTTAATTTAATTGTTACAACTATTGTCCTCTAAGGTTTCAGAAGTATTCTCCCTCATGTTTAATGCACAGCCTCTTGCATTCAACCCATTGACGATACAGTGATCTGAAGCCATTTGGCAAACTTGTTTGAATGGCAATCTTGACTGCAGTCGAAAATAGTTTCATTGTTCCATAACGGGCAACTAAACTCCTAGCTGATCCTTCATCCTAGTGAAAAGGCAAAATCAAGGATTGTCTCATCTGGAGAGTATGTTACTTGGGGCAGCTTTGCCATCTATTTTGCCAGTCATTTGTGATGGTTTCCTGCACAATATTAGCAGTGTGATCGGCTGCATTATCCCGATTGAAAAAAAGTTTGGCCGAATGGTTTTAATCAACTTACCATAGCATTACTCTTTGTTGATTTTTTGGTCCACTGGTACAGCATTGACTAGCACGATTTCAGAAATTTTCATGATAACAATGGACATTAATTTTTCCTCAAAACATTTGTAATTTAAAAAAGAACAAATAAAAATAGGGATCCTTCATTTGCATATATTGATATATTTCTGTAATGGTAAATTGTGTGACGTAAAAAGTGCCCCGCCTACCCAAAAGTCAAGCTACCATAGTGACCCATATTTTTGACCAATCAAATCAAAGATGCTGATATTTTAAGAATCAATCCTGAAGTATATTTTGCACATTGTGTGAAAATTTTATGGGAAAATATCAAGAATCTTTGATGAGAGCATTTTCCCGTGAAATTATTGAACGACCTGGTATATCCCTTGCTAACAAAGACCACAACAAATGGTGAGTCCCGTAAATGTGCTCCGAAAGAATCACAATCGAGTATTTAGGTTGATGTTCTAATAGTATACTCTTTCCATGTGTTTCAGGTTTGCTGTACAACGAGGATATAGCCGGTGGAAGTGGAGGTAGCAATAGCACAATAACCACGCCACCCCCAGACTTCACATGGCCTCCCTGGTTACCACCCATAGATGAGATTATAGGATGTATAATAGACCCTGACAATTGCCTAGATTCAGACACTAAATTGGCTGCAAGACAGTTCAATAATGGAACATTGAATGCAACCTTCTTTGGGCATTCCCCTACAGTACCAATGAGTGCTGTATACAGTTAACGTTAGACCTTCTCCTAGAATGTCAATGAGTGCTGTATAAAGTTAATATTGAACAAATATTTCACTCTATTTTCGGTGAATACCTGTACATCTTTCACAAGTGATATTCCACGAAGCCCGAAGGGCAAGTGGAATATCACCTTGTGAAAGTGCTACAGGTATTCACCGAAAATAGAGTGAAATATTTGTTTTATTATATCACTGTCTAGCTAAACATCCCTAATATTATTAAGTCATTAAGTCTTCAGATATTTTTACGAATCTACTCGGTTCGTCTGCCATTTTGACTTACACTGAACTAAATTATTTACACTGAACGAAAACAAATTCTTTGAAAATTCCCTGGAGCGTGGGATATCGCTAGATATCTCACGGTTGTCTTATCTGATTAGCATTGCCATTGAATATCGCCAGATATCCCACGACATGTGGCCCGGTTTTGACCAACCATACTGTCGCTAGCTAGATAGTGATATAATAATAGACAATATCCGACAGTATCAATGAGTGTTGTATACAGTTGTCGTAAGAGGTTCTCCAAGAGTGTCAATAAGTGCTGTAGATGAATAATATTAGACCTTTTCTTACAGTACTAATGGTTGCTGTATACAGTTAACGTTAAACCTTTTCCTAGAGGAGTGTCCACGAGTACTGTATAAATAAATATTAGACCATATATAGCCTCGTCAACGATTGCCATATATAAATACTATATCTAGTATTATGAATGTATACATATAGTTGCGGACACTGCCCTCCCTTCTTTGGTGGGCCCCGAAAAAAAGAAATCGGGGCACAAATAATTTCTAGGGATTAACTAATTATGTAGGGTTATGTAATGTTGTCAAATGATGTGTATTTATATCATGTAATGATCTGTTTGTGTTTACGATGGAATACATGTCTACTCCAAACATATTGGTTTAAGTGTTTATTTCTATCAACCGGGTATGTTGCATTGGTCCTGGAAATACTTAGATTCGACAGCTACTTCACTTGATTTATTTCATTTTAACTCCTATATTCTTGAACTAAAAGTTAATCGATGCAAACCATTATTTGAAAGCTGTCTTAAATATAATAGCAGCTGAACATAGTTGCCGGGACAGAATCTCTCTGTTTTTTCTTGATAATGCCTTAGTTGCATTTGATCTACGACAACCGTAAGGCGGCTGTAGGTTCCCAAAAATTGAGAGAAATATGCAGCATAGAATATAGGAATAAGCAGTACGATGAAGATTTTCTATGTGATCGAGGTTTAACTTTTTCACTTCTCAATAATTTTTCATGAACGTTGAAAAGGGTAAACTTCAAGCATTCTAGACATACAAAATGTTCTGTTTAAAGTGTGCGCCAAAGTTTAAAACTGCGCAGGCGCACCGCTCTCGCTAACCTATATAAAGAGATTACCGAGTACAGGCTTCAGAGGTAAGCCAGGAAGGTGAACAATCTTCGTTCCGTGTTGATTCCCCGTATAATCGTAACCAAGTAAGTTTCAACATTGAAATTAAAAATTACTATTAGATATACTTTGTAGATGTTATTTATGAAGCTATTGAGTGTATGCATCAATCAAATGGCTCATTTTAAACATATCAAAAGTATTTGTGTTTTGTTTCCCAGGGAATTGTATTCCCATATAGTACACACATAAAATAGTGTACATTATGTACTTGAATAGCCCGGTTTACATAAATTGAAGGGCATGCTGATTACATGCACACGAGTACATGAATGAAGGCCTGATATTGATATAGCTTGCATACCTAAATAAAAAATAAACTCTTCTAATCCCCTAATGTAAACACGGCGGTATACGTAGCCCGATTTATCGGGGACTTTAACTCTAAACTAATTTTCATTATAATTGCAGCTTTTCAAAAAAGATGGCCACTTAAATTAGCGAGTCTAAATTCAACATGCATTTTGAGTCAATGATCAGACACTTCTAAAAAAGTATCTGAAACAAATGTAAAAATGAAGCTATTTGTATCATATGGTGAACAGTGCGATATGTTGATACAATATAATGAAAACATGATTTATTGGGAATAAAGACAATACTCACTATATAGTATTCCAGAGAAAATGAGACGATTTGTCCTTTTTAGACCAAATACTCAAATTGGTATCTTAGAATTTGGCCATCATTTTGTTAGATGGACTGGACTAATATATTCAGAAAAATTGGTAGAGGACAGCAAAATTCTGTGTAAAAATGTAAAATTCGACTGTCATGTTTGTCCAGGAAGATAAACAAAGCCCTGGGCCTAAAGGATATTGAGAAACAAATTGTGGGCTAAATTTAGCACCTTGCCAACCTCCCTTACCAAAATCCAGAACACGTAATTGTTTTTCTTGTACAGTACGTTTTCGCTATATTATATTGAACACCCCCCCCCCCAGTGCCCAGTGACGTATTGTATAGAATGCCATTCTAGCACTACTATACGTCGGCATCGTGAGATATCACAGCCTTCTCTCAGTGTCCTTCTAGACATTCTTGTGCATAGCAGAGATGGTCTGAGTATCAGAATGATACGTCGGTAATTAATAACCGGTATACAAAATCATTCCTTTACCGATACTGCACTCCATTGAATCCCTTTCCTAAACGTTTCTTTCCAGACACTGCAAAAGAATTGTGCAAAATCACGAATAAAATATGAAATGAATGAAGATAATTAATTTCACTGAATCTAAATGTTATCATTCTATTTGAAAAATCTAGAATGCATTTTTATATAAACATATATTTACATATTTCTCTTATCTCATTAATCACTGCTACAAAGAATGGATGGAGTTGCTACTCATTGTCAAGGATGATAGGCCTACATAATATGGGGGCGGGTCGAATTACAATGACGTCGTCCTGATTATCTAAAATGTGGTGTGATTATTTTTTTATGATAGCACTTTGCTCTTTGGACCTTAATGAGATGATGATAAAGACTGTATTGCATATTATTAGTCTATTTGACATACCAAGTAGAAAAGTAAATGATTGGTATGTATTAATAAATATATTTTCTGCTACCAAAGAGAGGCCATCGGATGATTTAATATACACCTCTGTACTCAATGTAGCAAAATAAATCAAAAATCAGTTGGCAATGAAGGATATTATTTAATATAATGAAACATAATATGTATTATTTCTGAAGTAATCACTGATAGAAGATGGGGGATAATTCAACTTCCGAAACATCATTTAATTATTACGAAGATATTCCGTCTAAGTCAAATACTAAAGCAGTACAACACAATGGATCTGTAAAGGGAAAATCTGATACAAAGAAGACCAATGAAGGCGAGAAATGCGGTGTTAGCGTAATTTCCAAAAGCAGTCATGCATCGAAACCTGTTAAGGATCGAGATGAGGACGGTCTCCTTCATGCTGGAAGTCCCATAATGCTTAATGCAGCTGTTGCCTCTGGTTTGGCATCTAGCGAATTGAAAACACCCATTCGAACGGGAAAGATAGACGTGGAACACGATGGTTCAGTTCATTTTAACTTTGCCCATATTGTATCTGAAGACTCCCCTAGACTTTTTAGGAAAAACGTGGATGGGACAATTACTCAAGTTGGCATTCCGGAGAGGGATACAGATAGCGTTGATACAAACGCAAGCGCCGGAAACGTTGTCACAAATGGAATGAAAAATTGTCAAAACTCTTTAAAAGAATGTTGTAGTAAAAACAGTTCTTGGATAATTAAAATAGTCCTATTTATACTCTTATGTGTATATTCTGTCTATTTTGTATTTGCTATCATACATAGTGTAGATTCGGCCCGGGCTCTCATAGTACTGACCAGCTTCGCTGTTTTCTTTATCATATGGAACTTTGTTCGAGACCATTTTGGGGACAGGATATTTGATGCAGTTTGTGAACCCGCCGGGAAAGTATTGAACAAGCAATGGTTTTGGCTAAAATGGTAGGTTATCATTTCTTTGTATCCTATTAAATTGTATACTTTTGAAAATAAGAATTACAAGAATGATATGTACAGTACGTATAAAATGATTGACATTATAAACGGAAAGGGCTTAGAGTATCTCACAGTATATTTCACAGCAAGGACGGAGATAATTAATAAATCTAAAACAAAATGGATCATATTTAACATTTTGCGACCTAATCCAACATTTTACCGCATTTAGAATCTGTATAGAAATTTGATACTGTTCAATGTGTTTTCTTGCAGGGTCCTCGTGGTCGGTGTCTTTGTTGGTATCGTAGTATATCTTGCAGTTGACGTTATTAAGAACCCAATGCAGTTGGCATCTCTTGGAGGAGCGCTTGCTATGCTCTGCTTCCTCTTTCTGACATCAACAAATCCAGATAGGGTAGATATTTTGATAAATCCGAGATATAAATTCTCTCAAACCAATAATCGGATATAAAAGGTCTAACAATAACCTAGTTCAACACAGTGGCATACTCATCTCCACGAGCATTTTTCTTGATGAATTACTATTTTATATGTTTTACATTTTCTTCAAAACAGGATCTTAAGAGGTTCTGGACAAATCATTTGATTCTGGACTTGTCATATTTTTTTTTCAACGAAATCACATCCAAGGGTTGAATTTTTATTAGCTATTTAGAGAGTGAGACCTGCCTAGTATTAATTTCAATAAAAAAGTTAAAATAGAACCCTATTTGAGAGTCAATCTAATACTTACATTACATTGATAAATTAAGGCAAATCCTGAAATATTTTTAAAGTGCGTTTTTTAATGAAATATTATCCAGCAAGTATTTAAAAGAAACGGTCTTATTTAAATACAAATCATAACATGATATTTTTCATGAAACATTTTTCAATGAAATTCAATTGAAGGGTCAAGATAAAACGAGCTAATTTAGGTGAAAACCCTTACATGATGATGTGTTTTCATAACTTCTTTCATAAAATTCCATCAAGGGGTGAAGATAAAATGATCGAATTTAAGTGATTTAAGGATCACGAGAATATGTTTTCTTTGATATTTTCTATGAAATCCCATCCAATGGTCAAGGTAAAATTTTGATTTTGATTTTGATTTGGTCACGTGTTCGAAAGATCCATATAAGGCCCATAGAACCATATAGGAACGTCATTTTGAATGTCACGTGATAGATCCATATAAGGCTTTTAGAACCATTTATGGAAAGATGAGGGAAGCCCCTGACACCTGTTTCACGATTTTTATGCACTTCATTATTGTACCGAAGTTTGCCGATTCGATTCGTCGTATTTCGGAATCCTGGTGACAATTTTATACTCCATTGGAGTATTTTTGACCTACTTCTTATGACGGAAATTCCCGAACCTTGTTCGGATTAATCCGGATTTTCTGACCTACCTTATCTACCGAGATTTCACGAGTTAACATTCGTCTCATTCCGGAATTCTGGTGACAATTTTATACTCCATTGGAGTATTTTTGATCTACTTTTTCTGGATTTTGCCCTACTTATTATATCTTGACAACAAGCAAATCAAAAAGTTCGACATGAACGGGTCTCGATCAACTAACCTAGACTATGGAAGCCAGGCACGCTAACCATTAGGCCAACGAGCTACGGATATGAAAGAACAAAAGTATTATATATTTATACCGAGCGTCAATTCAAAATGATCCTCACTTTTGTCTCCACTTAAATACGACTCGTCAGTTGTATCCAGAATAGTAGAACGCCTATGGCGCTAGTGAATAACCAAGTCCCATGTGAGTGGTTCGTATCCCTCCGTGATATACTATTTTTGTTTTATTAAATACGACAGAAAGGAGCAAGGTGTAGGTTGAAAACAAGACGTTAGTTTGTTTCAAAACAGTTTGGAAACATTAATCTCTGGAACATTATTTTTTCAACACTGATACAAATTTCCCTGACATTTCCCTGACATGTCTACCGTTTCGAAATTCCCGGTCATCTTTGGCCCTTTTGACCTAATTTTAAAATTACCTGACATTTCCAGCACTTGGAAAATCAAGTCAATTTCCCTGACATTTCCAGGTGTGTATGAACCCTCGAAATATCCCACTGGCTCGCCCTATGAATCGCTAGCACAGATTGGATTGATTAGTGTTTCAAAATGGTGGACGAAGTGTTTAATTAGATAATTTACATATTAAGCTTCTTAAAGGGGCAATAAGGCCTGTACATAGAAAAATCGAAATTTTTTACATTTTCTGAATTTTTAGGGCAACATTTGGCTTTAACATCTTTTTTTATACATTTTTTCTTAAAATGTATGGATAAGCAATAAAATTTCAGCATTAAGCAGTGCAAATTCAGTTCAAAGCTTCTATAAAGGGAGTCCAACTTATAGATTTTGAAAATCCGACTCGTTTAAAGAAGAATATCAGCAGCTTAAATCACGCCTTGTGATCATACAAAATGGATGGAGGGGGGGGGGGGGGTAGGCGATTTCTGCAAGAAAACTCAACAAATTTGGAAGATTTATTTTTTTCAAGATAAAATTTACAACTGAATTGCCAAATGAATAGGCGCAGTGCATGGCAAAATATGTAAGGTCTTCTAGTATTTTTTGAACTGATACGCTTCTAAGATATGAGATCTATTATAAAAGGCGCATCATCATCATCATCATCATCATCATCAACGTTCAAAAGTCAATGTTTTAGCTATAAATCAGGCAACAATGGTCTACACGACCTGTAATAAATAGGTATGAGGGGCGTTATTAGAGAATTTTCGTTATAAGTTTTTTAAAAACTTATACGTATACTTATACTTATAAACCCAATAAACAAGGTGTTTCATAATTTCCTAATTCGTCGGGAAATATCTCCTAGGACGGTTATAAAAAGGGCCAATGGCATACCATCCGTACCCCCTTGATGTAAAGCATGTTTAGTTGTGTCATATGTGTTTTCTAGAATCAAATAGGCTGATATAGCACACGGGTTTTACAGATTTATCTGCTCTCAAATATATTTTTTGTAGATGATCGTTTTGAATCACCTTGTAGAAATAACGAAGGGAGAATTAGTTCAGCTAATGAATGAGTCGAGCTATTTGATTGTATACTATGCCTATTCAGCCGATTAATTTTAATAAGCCATTCTGGTCAGTAGGTCCACACATATACTATGCGGAGATCCAACTCTGTAAGTTTATAATCTGCGTATAAAGGCCCTTTTATACGTAAAAACTTAAAAATTGACCTTATAATTTCATGAGAACTTTGAAATGATCGACTCGTTCGTGTAGTGATTCACTTTAAGGTCAGGGTGCATGATGGGAAATTTTCTGCATTCCTCAATTGAGTCACATGTTATTTTTCAAACAAGAATCACTCCTTCCCCAGAGGGTCTATATCTTCCAGGTTTGCACAAAGAGTGCTCTTATGTGCCTAGAAAAGACTTGTGAGAAGAATGTTTTGATGAAGTGTATAAAAAACAAGAAAATTCAGTGAAAAAATTCAGAAAATTTTCAGAAATTTTTTTATCTGAATTTTCTCGTTTTGTATACATTTTACAAAACAAATCTTCTCACAAGGCTTTTCTAGGCACATAAGTGCACTCTTTGTGCAAACCTGGAAGATGTAGACAATGTGGGGAAGGAGTGATTTTTGTTTGAAAAATAACATGTGACTCAATTGAGGAATGCAGAAAATTTCCAAACATGCACCCTGTCCTTAAAGGGTCTTGTTTATCGTACACTACAAGGACCCGTCAACTAGAATTTAGTTTATTGTGTTCATAATTGACACTAGCAAAGGACATTGTATTCGCAGTCCCTAGTTGATGATGAAACTTGACTATATCGGGAATAGTTATGCCCCACTTGGTACAGATTATGAAAATCAATTTGAATTGATTTTAGTTCGACAAGACCCTTTAAACTATAAGTATACGTATACGTTTTTGAAACAACTTATAACGAAAATTCTCTATTATCACAACACTGACATTGCTCACTTTTTAAAGTTGTTTCAAAGCGTTATATGTAAATGGGTGTGTGAAAGGCCCGTGGGTGGCAATAAAATAACTCGAACTTCAAATTAAAATATATATAAAATAGTATATTTCAAACTTCAATGTTTAAAATACAATGCTCTGTAATGTACAACATGAACTCTTACAGCAACTACTGACAAGCCAACACCCAATGCAAACTCAGCTACATGTGAGTGAGAAAGACCATATAGGGGAACAATAGATATATAACACTGACACAGTTTGCATAGTTGAATAACTCAAGGTGAAAAGTGAACATGGTATTAAAAGAGTAAAACTGCAAACAACCTAAGGGACCTTAGGGACCTGTTATATTGAGATGAATAGGGATTGATTAATATGAACAGTAATAATATAAAATGTGAAAATGACCATGTTACATATACAAAAAATAACCCCATTGTTACAAAATCACAAAAAGTGAAATATCTATTCTTGTATTGCATTTTCGTTCACTGGACATATTTTAATTGCATTGCTATTAGATACATTTAAGGGTGATATGAAAATTGAACCACGAAAACAGATGTACTTTAAGTTAAAGGGAACTTTCTACCATACCCGCCATGCTATCTGACCCGAACGAGCCACCTTGTGGTGAGATTGGTAACTACCTGCTCGCATCTGCGTTATTACGCAGAGACATAAACGTATACACAAGGAAACGATAGGAGATAACCTATTTTATCTCTGTATACATTTTAACTTTAATACATCGTTGAATCGAATTTGTCCAAAGGTCTTGAAACGTAAAATACCTAAATATTTATCTTAGACCTTGGGATGACCTTGTACAAGAAACATTAATGTTGACCTCGGTTCATCTTATCATAATTCGCCAAGGGCCATAGTATCATCAAACGCCAAATACCTAGACATTGATCGTTTACTTGGATTTAAATAAGGAGTATGATTTTAAAATTGGCTAGGTCGTGGTTAAGCAACAATAGTATGTTCGAAATACCGCTGTGTAATGCCTGGATCACATTTGCTGCGAGTATTTTGTTCAAAATTAAATACATTTCTGAACACAATACTCAATCGGCCGGGCGCCGTAGTGAAAATCGGAGCAAATGTGACCAAGACATAAAACAATTGAATAATACTGTATCAGTTTTACATTTACAGCGGTCAAAAGCATTTACAAAAAACCGCCAGAGTTGGCAATCATATAAAATGAAACCAATCCCGCTGTGATTCATAGAAATAACTAATTTACTGCATTGAGTTCAATGTTATAACCATGTCGATTTACATGAGTGTCCGATTCATTGTAACCAAATTTAAACCTTGACTGTTCTCCAGAAAGCAATAAGCTGACATATATCATATTTTACATTTTAATACAACTGAAAAGATAATAAATGTTTTAATATAAAGTTGACGTAGTTATAAATGTTTTCAGCGTAAAATCAAAGCACAACCATATAATTAAAAACATTACGCTGGGATTCAAACTGGATACAACTGACGAGTTGTATTTAGGTGGCCTAAAGTGCTGCTTATTTTTTCGTGAAGCCACTCAGTAAAATTACGATTTCTCTCAACCCTGATGTTCAATCAACATCATTCGAGTATCTATATGTTCCTGACACGTTCGGGCATCCGGTTATGACAACGTCTACCCAATGTTTGCACGAGAAATTGACGTAATTCATGACTGAAATCGGGAAGACAAAAATATGTGATATTCTTTCAGAATTGTTTATAATAACTATTTACAAAAACGTTCCCGAGACACAATCCATTTAGGTAAGGTTTGTTTTAAAGTCGAAAAGCTCCAATAAGACAATACAAACCCAGATTAAACCCAGAAGAATGCAGATTTCATGTAATGATTTACGTTCATGTAAACAAGGAAAGTACATATAATCCCCATATAAAACACTGGCCTACGTGACATGTAAACACAGGTTCAAATTGAAATATAGAAAATTTTCAACATAGCATTTGCTTCTGTGTTCTGTATGCCCCTCTACCTGCTAATAAGGCAATGTATCTTCAAATAAAACCTTAGCCAAGTAGATAAGGGTCTCTGGAACACTTTTGTAAATAGTTTTCACAAGCAATTTTATTCCCGGACGCCCAAACGTGTCAGGAACACATATATATTTGAATGATCTTGATTGGACATCAGGTTGCAGAGAAATCGTATTTTTACTGAGTGGATTATTGAATTTCATAGATCTAGAGGCCCTTCAGGAGTGGAAACCCTTAAATTATCAGAGATAAATGTTTCCAAACTGTTTTGAAACAAACTAACGTCTTGTTTTCAACCTACACCTTGCTCCTTTCTGTCGTATTTAATAAAACAAAAATAGTATATCACGGAGGGATACGAACCACTCACCTGGGACTTGGTTATTCACTAGCGCCATAGGCGTTCTACTATTCTGGATACAACTGACGAGTCGTATTTAAGTGGAGACAAAAGTGAGGATCATTTTGAATTGACGCTCGGTATAAATATATAATACTTTTGTTCTTTCATATCCGTAGCTCGTTGGCCTAATGGTTAGCGTGCCTGGCTTCCATAGTCTAGGTTAGTTGATCGAGACCCGTTCATGTCGAACTTTTTGATTTGCTTGTTGTCAAGATATAATAAGTAGGGCAAAATCCAGAAAAAGTAGATCAAAAATACTCCAATGGAGTATAAAATTGTCACCAGGATTCCGGAATGAGACGAATGTTAACTCGTGAAATCTCGGTAGATAAGGTAGGTCAGAAAATCCGGATTAATCCGAACAAGGTTCGGGAATTTCCGTCATAAGAAGTAGGTCAAAAATACTCCAATGGAGTATAAAATTGTCACCAGGATTCCGAAATACGACGAATCGAATCGGCAAACTTCGGTACAATAATGAAGTGCATAAAAATCGTGAAACAGGTGTCAGGGGCTTCCCTCATCTTTCCATAAATGGTTCTAAAAGCCTTATATGGATCTATCACGTGACATTCAAAATGACGTTCCTATATGGTTCTATGGGCCTTATATGGATCTTTCGAACACGTGACCAAATCAAAATCAAAATCAAAATTTTACCTTGACCATTGGATGGGATTTCATAGAAAATATCATAGAAAACATATTCTCGTGATCCTTAAATCACTTAAATTCGATCATTTTATCTTCACCCCTTGATGGAATTTTATGAAAGAAGTTATGAAAACACATCATCATGTAAGGGTTTTCACCTAAATTAGCTCGTTTTATCTTGACCCTTCAATTGAATTTCATTGAAAAATGTTTCATGAAAAATATCATGTTATGATTTGTATTTAAATAAGACCGTTTCATTTAAATACTTGCTGGATAATATTTCATTAAAAAACGCACTTTAAAAATATTTCAGGATTTGCCTTAATTTATCAATGTAATGTAAGTATTAGATTGACTCTCAAATAGGGTTCTATTTTAACTTTTTTATTGAAATTAATACTAGGCAGGACTCGCTCTCTAAATAGCTAATAAAAATTCACCCCTTGGATGTGATTTCGTTGAAAAAAAAATATGACAAGTCCAGAATCAAATGATTTGTCCAGAACCTCTTAAGATCCTGTTTCAACTTTGTTTATTTATTTTACATAACTTTATATATTATTATTTGTATCTCCATTTTATTATGGGCAATAAAGATGCACAATAAAATACACGTTATATTTATATATGGGCCTCGCCATAGGAAAACCGGTCTTATTACAAAAATTTAAATTGTGCTACAGAGCCAAAAATGTGCCCAAGATTAAGAGGAAAATGTGCTAAATTCAAATCAGTCTTTTTGGTCTATACCTACAAGGAAAAATTGGTAAGACACAAGCCATGGCTCATTTAAAAAGTATCTTTGTGCTTTTTAAGAAAAACAAAAAATCAAAACATTGAAAAAGATCTGTGATAAGACCCCTTTTCCTATGGCCTGGCTCATATATATCCATATATAACTTTATTAAAGGTTCGAATGCGTCCAGTTGCATGGGGTCTGGGTATACAGTTTGTTATGGGTTCGGTGATTCTCAGATGGTCCTGGGCTTATGAAGCAGTAGACTGGCTGTCGGACCAAATCCAAGCATTTCTGTCTTACGTCATTGATGCCAGTGAAGTTGTCTTCGGTGACCCCGGCTATATTGACCATCCCTTCATATTTTTGGTAAGCATAACCGCGCGCTAGATGAATATATCTGTACCTATCTGTACATTACACCTAAAATAACAGACAATTAACACCCTTCAGTTATGTTATTTGAATGAACATTTATACACGAATTTATTGAACAATCCTAGTATAGTAAACACCATGTGTGTAAATGAATAGTTTTTGTGTTTGGGGATAAACGTATATATTTGTGTCTGGAAACATAAATCATATCAATTGGTCAATGAATATGTTCAACAAAGTCTCATATGGAAACATTTTAGTGCCCAAATTTTTAAAGGTAAATGCGAATCTATTCACATCTTTGCCCATAACTTATAAAGGTAAATTCACAACTATTCACACTTAGACATTGGTTTATCTTTATGTGATGCCCATAACTTATAAAGGTAAATGCGCAACTATTAAGCATTGGTTTATCTTTATGTGATGCCCATAAGTTATAAATGTAAATGCGCAACCATTCACACTGAGACATTTGTTTATCTTTAGATGATGCCCATAACTCATGAATGTAAATGCGCAACTTTTCACACTTAGACATTTGTTTATCTTTAGATGATGCCTATGTTGATCTATTTCGCTGCTGTGATGGCCATCCTCTATTACATTGGCGTCATCCAGGTCGTGGTGTTAAAGCTAGGATGGCTTTTCCAAAGGACTTTGGGAACCACAGCGGTCGAGAGTTTGAACTCATCGGCTAATATATTCCTGAATGGTGTAAGAATGATTTCATACTATACATCGACAAGACATTAACATGCAAAATATCACTACCTGACAATTGTTACAGACGCCGACAGCCGACCTAACCCCCGAACACAGTCCTAGAGAAAGTTGGAGACCGTAACAATATATCCTCACTTTTTGGTACTGACATAAAAACAGTGCAATATTTGAACATTTATCCAAATTGAAACAAGAACATATCATATATGAAGAACATAATATTACCGATGGCGATTTTGTGTCACCTAAAATGAAACTTTAAATAGTTTTCTTCACATACTGTTTTTCAGATGGATACCATGTTGATGTTGCGGCCATACTTAGTGAAACTGACAATGTCCGAATTGCAGGCGTTGATGGTCGGCAATCACACTACAGTAGCTGGTTTCGCATTTGCTCTCTTCATACTTCTTGGAGTAAGTAATTAGCTTCATACGTTTCTCACAAGTAAAATCACTCATAATGAAATGAGTATGGAGGGAAAAGACAACTGTAACATTGGATAATAAACTTTAAAAAAAATTTGCTACTCAAATCTATTGAAATATCTCGCCCCTTAAAGAATTGTATAGCCTCTAAATCAAAATATTTTCGTAGTAATTTGAATTATGTTGATATTTCATGTAGGCGCCTGGGAGACATTTGCTAACAGCAGCGGTGATGTCGGCCCCTGCTGGGATGGCAGTAGCCAAGCTTAACTACCCAGAGACGGAAGAATCACAAACTGGAGATGACATAACGTTGGAGGATTCGTAAGTATTTTTTCAGCTATATATGCGCTTTTATGCATCCCACTAATTTAGCAGAACCCACAAAATAGAATCACGCGTGAAAACTATTTTACTTACCTAAACTTTTTTTGCAGTCTATATCATTGATATTTGGAACACAATTAAGTTCAAGGATAGTGGACAGATAAACAATTACGATTGCGTTTTGCAACTAGTTTAGTTTTGATTTTGGGAAATGGGAATTTTATTTCATGATATTTAAAGTATTAATGTGATAATACTTTGCTCTCATAATACGTTTATTATGTTAATCAAAATTTCCTTAAAAACATTTGTAGACCAGAGCGAAATATCGTCGAGGCAGCTACCAACGGTGCTAAGGTTGCAGGGCAAACGGTGGCTGCAGTTGTTGTTAACTTTGTGGCAGTGTTAGCTATTCTTGCTTTCTTCAATGCTACTTTAAAATGGTTGGGAGAGAGAGTTGGTCAGGATAACTGGAGCTTTCAGGTATGTTGTAGATCCTTATCATTAGTTGCAGTACACAGTTCATAGTGGATCTACACTCCCGTCCATACGTTTCAACAAGTGGATGTCCCCTTTCATGTCACCACCAACTTTTTGTTGACGGCGTTTGGCGTTCGATGGTCGGCGTCTGTAGCAAATGACAGGTGGTGATATTTTGTATGTTAATGCCATGTTGATAATTTGTCAATGTCTGTTAATGTTTAGCGGTCTAAAAGTTGACTTAGATTAAATTTCCAAACTAATTATGATTCATTGACAGACTTTGATATTGGATAAAAACATTCGGTCGCTAAACTTATGGAGGGGAGTATCCATTTTGTATGTATGCATCAGAAATAATACAATACAATACAATATAATACAATACACACTAAACTTCAAACTGTCGAGAATTTCTTTGTGGCATCTCCTAAAATTTGCTGTTGTGATTTCTGAACTCTACATCACGGAAGTTCCATCTTTCTCACCGAAGAGCATCTCTTGTTTTCAGTTTTTCTGCTCATATTTATTCCTGCCAGTCTCCTTGTGTATGGGGGTCGAGTGGAAGGATGCCAGAAACGTTGCCTCGTTAGTAGGCCTGAAACTATTCACCAGTGAATTCCTGGCTTATGGGGAAATGGGAGAAATGATAGACAGAGGAGAATTATCTGTAAGTTGTTGCCAAAACAATGCATCATTCAGTGTTTGTAATTGTTCTAATACCTGAATACTAGATTATGAATCCAGTCGTTACAAATATACGCAGCTCATATTTTAGGTCATGGAAACATATAATATGAGGTTATATAATGGTTTATTCTGTATATCGTGTTTATACTCGAGTGAGTATATAATATATTCACAAGTGAGCGTAGCGAACGAGTGAATATATTATATTCTCACAAGAGTATAAAATGCACGATATACAGAATGAACCATTATATAATCTTATTATGCCACTCTAAGTTCAATTACAGTTGATTCAAACACAATCATAACAATTATAAAAACCATAAAAATATCCCATAGCCAACTCAGTAATGCCGATGTTGATATTGATCCATTTATGACGTCACTTGATTCTAGCAAATCATATGGGAACCATTCATGACGTAACTTGATTCTAGGAAATCATGTGTAACAAAACATATATCTCGTTCTTCGGTCAATATTCATTAGTTCCCAGAATGCACTTCTACAGTGGTATACGCTGGAGTGTATACGGAGGAGTTGTATACGATGACGATATACCACTCTCCACTGTATATCATTGTTATAGACCCATGTTATACAACTGTAATCGGACTTAGAGTGGTATAACATCTTTTATGTGCGTATATGCAGGCCTGTCAACTGTCCCGCAATTTGCGTATTTGTCACGCATTTGCTGAAGAATTTGAAGTCACGCCAGTTATTTTTGCGTGACAGAAAATGTCACGCAAATACGCATTTTACCTGGTTATTGTCACGCAAAAATATTTCTGTAGAAAAATTTCAAAAAAAGATCGTCTACACAGCAAAAATACGAACGCCGGAAAAAAACGTACGCATTTCGTTCGGACTTTTCACGCGAATTACGTATATGTCACGCATTCCGTTCGAAATTTTTCGTACCTCCCCCCCCCCCCCCCCCCCCCCCCCCCCCCCCCCCCCCCCCCCCCCCCCCCCCGTTGACGGATGGTTTGAACGCGAGCGTAGCGAGCGCGAAAAATTAGAGGTGTTCAAAATTTGGCAAGATGTCATAAAATTTAAACCAAGGTGTTCAAAATTTGGATCAAGGTGTTCAGATTTGGACCAAGGTGTCCACATTTTGAGGGGAGGTGTTCAACATTTCCAAGTCACTCATGTTAGGTGTTCCCAAGTTGACAGGCCTGGTATATGTATTTAAAGATGTAATATGCCCTATTATTTTAGCAACGTTCGGTGGCAATTACAACGTACGCCTTGTGTGGATTCTCTGGTCTAACGACATTTGCAATCAGTGTTGGAGTGTGGACCGCCATAGAGCCCCGAAGACTGCATGATGTAGTCGCAATGATGCCCAGGACCATGTTAAATGCCAACTTTGCCTGCTTTCTCACTGCTTGCTACGCTGGTATTTATTTTGCATTTACCTGTGTAGATTGGAGAAAAATCGAATTTGTTGTCATAGCAATACAAAAGTCATACCATGTTTTAATTGTTGGAATGTATGATACAAATTCTCAGTACCTAAAACACAAACATAAGCTCAAAATATTGTTAAAGGTGCAACAATTAGTGCAGAGAGGGTATTAAACTATCATGGACCAGTTTCAAAATATATTTCAGTTTATATATTTAATCAAGACTAACATATATTTATTATCTCCAAAGAAACCCCCTGGATGAGTTTTATATCAACTGATATTCCCCTTGAAACGTGGTAGATCTTAAAAAATCTATAAGTGGGACTCCCTTTTAGAAGCCTTGAACTGAATTTACACTTCTTAATGATCAAATTGATAATTTATCCATACATTTAAAGAATATAGATATGTCAAAGAAGATGTTAAGCCAAATGCTGCCCTGATAGCTCAGAAAAAGTAAAACATTTCGAATTTTCTCTCTACAGGCCTTTTGCAGATTATGTATTTTCAATAAATAGGTAAATTGGATTTTTGATGATTAAAGCGTAAAAATCTGAAAGTTCCAATTTACCAAGAACCCATACCTTATGTTTATCTATGCATTTGCCAATGACTATAACCTTAGACTTATTCGAACTAAACTTAAAAGCCCATTTCAGTGCAAACTTGTCTGCTACTTTTAAAATTCTATCTAATTGAGTTTCGGATTCAACGATTGAGACCATATCGTCAGCTAACAAAGGGTCAGGGAAATTTTTATCTGGGGAAAAATACCGATTCATTCGAGCAGTCAGTTAAATCAGTCATCACTAGAGAGAATGATGTGGGAGAGAGACAGCACCCCTGATTATGAAAGTTAGTTGTGCTGCGCTCAAACCATTTTCAGACCAAAGATTACTTAATTTAATACCCCTTCATAGAGAGCACGTAAAAGACGCCAGACATTGCCTTGCACACCTTTTCCCATAACTTAATGGACAATTAAATATAACCTGTCTACAACGTCAAACGCTTATGATATGTCGAGAAATGCTGAATAATATATACATATCGGTTACTAAGCAGCTAAATGAGAGGTTCGAAGTCGAATTTCTTAATGAAACATTAATTGCACATTTTAAGTAAGTCAACATTGGAAATTATTATTTGAGGTCAAAGATTGCTTCAAAATACCTCTTCAAAATCCATCAAATGAAAAACTTATCAACGGGATCTGTTCTCAATTATTGATAGTCTCATTGTTTCTCTTCCAACTTTGCCACTAACAGCCATCAATATTAGATAAAATCTACCAACCAATTCTCAGCTCTTATTTTTTGATCCCCTTGATATATAATGTTAGACAATAGTCGTAGGAGGCATAGAGCGGTCCATAGATTTTTTGAACATAATGTTATGGTTTCCGTTATAACCCTAATATTATTTTCTCAAACGCTGTATTGTGTATATGTTACTCGAGCTCTAAATGAAACTAATTACATAACTATTTGTTCTAGGTTTACTTTACAATGAGGATGTTGCCGGTGGTGGTGGGGGTAACAATAGCACAATAACCACCCCACCCCCAGATTTCACTTGGCCTCCCTGGTTACCACCCATAGATGAGATTATAGGATGTATAATAGACCCTGACAATTGCCTAGATTCAGACACTAGATTGGCTGCAGGACAATTCAGTAATGGAACCTTGAATGGAACCTTCTTCGGGCCTACTCCTACAGTACCAATGAGTGCTGTATATAGTTAATATAAAACCTAGAACAATTGTCAATGAGTGCTACAACAATTTATCATTAGACCTCTCTTACAGTACCAAATGAGTGTTATAAAAAGTTAACATTAGACCTTTCCTACAGCACTATTTAATCTGTATACAGTTAACATTAGACCTTCTTATACTGTTTCAATATAAGTGTTGTAGTATAAATTGGTGGCATGACTATTTTAGTAATGTATAAACGCTATGTTTGAACACTGCCATCAAAATTAGAATAAACGCAACGGCTGCGTTGAATATGAACGTTGTTAGAGGTCAACACTTTACGGGTCATGTGAGGTCAATGTGTCATTTATTGGTCCACTAAAATATGGAATGAGATTATATGTTAAGGGGAGTTCAAGGTCAGTTCAAGGTTGATACAACGGCGCATTGGACCTCCTTGTTTCTGGATTTGAGTTAGAATGTCAATCGGAAGCATATGAATCTAAAAAAATCAAAGTCACGTGGATGAGCTTTGCATCTTTATGTCACCAGAAATGATTAAGTTGTGACGTTTTATGTTTTTATGATAACGGTTGTGCGTTCGATATCGTTGTCTGTAACGAATTAAACGCATGGTTACAATTTGTTATTGGTGATATTCCATAACATAAATTCATTTTATTCATAAAGACTTGAAGTGTTTTTATAGATAACAATGACACTTCCCCTGCAGTACATGGACTTAATATATAGTATTGTATATAATTGTAAAAATGTACTCGTCAAATCAGTATTTGTAACAACCTCTTGTTGTACTTAGAAATTGTACCAAGCAACACTTTATAATATTATATTTAATTAGTAATTTAATATTTAGATACGCAATAATGTGCTTACGATTAAAAATAAATTATTGTAGTAAGTAATGAATTGCTATCTTGTTGATTATTTTAGCTTGTTTAATTCAACTAACTTTTATTGCAATGAAAAAAGAAAGCCCAAATCTAATAAAGTACAGATCATTAAAATAAAGGCTAGAGATGCTATACTATGTTATCCTTTTTATCTTTCAGAATATTTATGTCTGATTACATTGGAATTATTAATATGCATGAAATGAATAAAGGACCCAATACCAAAGGTCTTATTTGTTATTTAATGCGACTTTACCATGGGAGAATTGAACCTAACTTGAAAATCACAAATACTTGTGATCAAGTTTATTTAAGTAATCGTCAAATTTCCTGTTTTTTATCATTCTCATATTATATCAGATGCTGGCACAGTTTTGCCGGAAGTTTGCAAGAAGTAACTTTTGGCAATGCAGTATGTTAGAGTAACCTAGTAGGTGTAAGAAAATATAAGGTGATGGCCTTTAAAGTGGTAAAAACAATTTTCACGGCCGAATTGGACTTCAATTCCTGCGATTTCAGGGGGTACTATAAGACTATTTCATAACATAAAGGATATAGTTGCTATTGTTCTGTTTTCCACAGCACACATTACTAGTCCAAAGATGAATAATATCCTAAAGTTGTAGGCCGATATCTGTATTAATCTCAGAAATATTGCAATTAATAGGAAAAAAATATGCAATTTTAGTCATTTTTAAGTCTCACGTATCTTATATTTGTAGCTTCCAGCAAAAGATGGCAGCTTAAATAGCTCAAAATTGTTTTCTAAAAACTAATTCATGCTTTGTTTGATATTGTAGTACAATTATAATAATGATAATGTACTATTTATGATTTTTAATATGACTTTATAGTACCCTACCCCTGGAAAGTGGGCGTGGTCAATGTTATCATTTTGCAGCATACAATTAAAAACTTGTATTGATAAAAAGCAAATCAATGCATTTTTAACATTTTCACTTGTTACTTGACATTGTAATTCATTCATTACTAAAATATAGGACTCTACATATTTTATATATACGTTTTCAATTTTGTACAATGTATCATGACGAAATCTAATAGGCTGTTTCATTTTCAGTGTTCACTAACCCACGAAATGTTAGTCACAGTGTTTCCAAATTACTTGGCAATGAGAAAGTACCACAAGGACTACATAATATGAGCAGTTTTAAGGTCCTAATACTAATACTTACCGATCTATCGGCGTTCAAAAATAGAGAAAGCTGTCGTGAGTGCAGTTTTAACTAGCTTTGAACTGAAACTGCTGCTTAATGAATATTTTTCTCAACATTTGTGATTTTTTAGACCCCAAACATAAGATACCAAGACATAATGCTACCAAGTTCTGATATTGGAAGTTTCAGAGCTCTAGATCAAATATTCACTTCTGCATGTACTTTTAAAAAGACCCAAAAGGACAAAAAACCTGTCAGATATCGTGAAAAATATGAAAGATGCACTATTCAGAACAATTTATCTCTTAAATGTTACTTTTATTTCACATAATTTCTGATTCTGCCTCCAGTTAGTACCACCAATAATACATATGAGAAGACTTAACGTCATAGTAAGTGGAAGTACAGATCTATTGGCTTCTGAAAATGGGAAAAGCTGTAGCAAGTATGATTTTCATCAGTTTTTCAGCTAAGACTGCAACTTTCTGAATTTTCTTTTTACAAACTGCACAGTAAGACCAAAGACATTAAAGGAAACCTGGTCATTGTACCACCAATAATAAGTAAAAATAATATTGGTAATATATACCAAGTGTTTAGTCTTTAATTCCAAGGCATCTGAATTGATAAATAAATAAAATCAGTACTTTATTGTATCTTGCTGTTGTAAGCTTGACATCACAGTATCAAGTGAAAGATACGTTGTTATATACAGCTATATATCACCTGCCTGGCCATCCTAAGAAAAAATGCGACGGAGGGCAAAGAGGGTGCATGGTATAATTGGTAATTAAGCTCTTCCAGAGTTTAAAGCTCCCACAATTTTTAAAAACGAAATGGAGAATAACATGTGAAAGTATAGGATGGACTTATTGTTCTAAGAAAGTTTTTGAAAGTAACATTGCATGAAATATTTAAGCAAGAGATATGTTCCAAAATACTTTCAGGTAGAAATAAAGCTCTGAATGTAAAAACAATGTATTCTCAGTATTCAATATTAACATTCTTTATAGGTTTTTTGGTCTTAAGCATATCAGTGATTATCCCATGGTTGCAAGGATAAATATTGAATATCACATGAAGATATATTTGATATGTGGATCAAGATATCATATTTTAGCAAAAAATTCACAAACCATCGAATATCACTTTTAAATTATCGAATATCACGTCTTAAAAAGTGATATTCGATGGTTTCGAATTTTTTCAAAATTTTTTTTTACATTTTTTAATTATTTTCAAAAATATTTTATATATATTATATCCACTCATGGATACAAATATCTTCACTCACTCGCTGCGCTCACTCATGAAAATATCAATATCCACTCATGGATATAAATGATATTTTTTCAAAACCATAGAATATTCCTATATTATATCAATTCGGATGCTGAAGTCACTTAATAAATAATAACTAGATGTAACTCCTAGTAAGCACTTCAAGTTTCAGTTCTAAATAAAATACAGTTTAGATAAAAAATTGTTAAGAATACATACATTTTTTCACAATCACAATTTCACCATTTCTGACTGTATTTTGTCAATGATTCAATGATTATTTGATATAACCACCTGAAACTACTCTCATATATATTTGGTGGTACAGTGATATGGAATCCTGTCTTTTGGGGTCTCACGGAATTCTTGTTTCAGAGAAGAAAATCCTGAAAGCTGCAGTTTAATATTATGAATTATAGGTGAAAATTGCACTTGCTACACTGCTTCTCCCATTTTTAGATGCTAATAAATCTGTAACTACACTTACTATGACCTTAAGTCTACTCATATGTATTATTGGTATTACTAACTAGAGGCAGAATCAGAAATTATGGTAAATAAAAGTAAAATTTAAGAGATAGATTGTTCTGAATAGTGCATTTTATCACATTTTTTCGCGATATCTGACTGCATTTTGTGTCTTTTGGGTCTTTTTAAAAGTCCATGCAGATATGAATACTTGATCTAGAGCTCTGAAATTTTCAATACCAGAATTTGGTAACACTATGTCTTGATATCCTGTGTTTGGATTCTAACCAAATCACAGTTGTTGAGAAAAAAAAATTCACAAGTAGCAGTTTTAATTCAAAATTAGTTGAAACGGCACTCAAGACAGCTTTCCTCATTTTTGAAAGCCGATAGATCGGCAAGCATTTACACCATGATCTTGAATCTGGGCATACATATTCTTAATGGCACTATCTCATTGCCCAGATATTGTGGAAACATTGTGACTTATATTCCATGTGATAGTAAGCACTGAAAATGGACTTGTTGCATTGTGGCGGACCCCATACAAAACAAACATAGGGGTAGGGGGGGGGGGGTTTAAACGTTGATCAGTTCTGCTATTTTTTGTGGCTATTGGTCATATAGTAGATCATTTTGTCAAAAGGTAAGGGTGATCCGAGAAAAAGTTGGTAAATTGAAACAGCCTATTAGATTTCATCATGATACATTGTACAAAATTGAAATTGTATATATAAAATATGTAGAGTCCTATATTTTAATAATAAATGAATTACATTGTCAAGTAACAAGTGAAGATGTTTTATATGCATTGATTTGCTTTCTATCAATACAAGTTTTTAATTGTATGCTGCAAAATGATAACATTGACCACGCCCACTTTCCAGGGGTAGGGTACTATAAAGTCATATTAAAAATCATAAATAGTACATTTTCATTATTATAATTGTATTACAATTTCAAACAAAGCTTGAATTAGTTTTTAAAAAACAATTTTGAGCTATTTAAGCTGCCATCTTTTGCTGGAAGCTACAAATATAAGATACGTGAGACTTAAAAATGACTAAAATTGCATATTTTTTTTCTATTAATTGCAATATTTCTGAGACTAATACAGATATTGGCCTATAACTTTAGGATATTATTCATCTTTGGACTAGTAATGTGTGCTGTAGAAAGCAGAACAATAGCAACTATATCCTTTATGTTATGAAATAGTCTTATAGTACCCCCTGAAATCGCAGGAATTGAAGTCCAATTCGGCCGTGAAAATTGTTTTTACCACTTTAAAGGCCATCACCTTATATTTTCTTACACCTACTAGGTTACTCTAACATACTGCATTGCCAAAAGTTACTTCTTGCAAACTTCCGGCAAAACTGTGCCAGCATCTGATATATATCATCCTAGTACTTGACACTACTTTATTGATTAGAATTAGATGCCCGGGATTAGATGGTGACATGTCCCTCCAATTATTTGGAGGACTGATTTCCTACACATAAGCATACACAAAACGTTACTAACATTTCTATTTGTTGATTTCATCACGTCTGATCCGATTAATGTTTATAATTGTCCTTATTTCCCGTTTTCATTAATATCACTTCGTCCTTCTATAATATATTTCTAATAATTGAATACTTCGGACTAGACAGTAATTTGTGTTGAAACTTTATTTCTGCTCGAATTGCTGTTTTAACTTGCTCGTTGCATAAACAAGGCTTTATATCCAAAGAACATGTGTACGTTTTATAGATTTTTTTACATAAAATATAACATATTACAATTTAACCTTTTTGGCATGGGGAGACGGCTATCTATCGATCGTTTTATATTTCACCTGGACATCAAAAGTGAAAAATCGAGCGGTACACATTGGGCCTAAAACAACTGAGAAATTAAATTCCGACTTGTAACAGAATAAAAATTCTGGGAAAAATAAGGCGTTTTGTGTCAATACGAACTTGACAAATGGCAATTCATATATATAGCTATTAGATAATACATCAAAAACTCTAACAGTGCATCATTTATATACTCATAGAGTTGACCAGGGATTCAATAAATGTTCATAAATCAGTTTGGTGTATGCAGAATAAAATGTCAACAAAATATTTGATTGGTTATAGCCCTCAAAAATTCCCATAAAGAACCTTTGTACCTCGTCCGACCGTTGTTAATTGGATCAACTATTGAACTTTGCACGTTATGTATCAGTCTACAAGAGTCTGTACTATGAACTATAATCTAGGACTAGTGACAATGAGCACATTTGTATAAATAATAAGTGGCACTCGGTGACCATTCAATTCTTACGGTATTTTTGTTTATTTATTTATTTAATTTGAATTCCCTCCATAAGTTTGGAATCCGGAAGTCCGTTTTTAGATAACATATCAAGGTCTGTCTATGTTTTGCGGTTTGAAAAAAAATCACCAAATTTGTTATAAATCTCGAATCATTGTAATCAAAAAACAAAATTAAATTCGTCAGGGTTTGATTTGCTATCAAATGAAACATCCAGTAGCCAAACTTATGGAGGGGAGTGTACACTGTACATGTATACAGTCGGAGAGTTGATTGTGTGTCCATAATTTGCGATTCATATGTTTTGATGACCCTTTTCACAAATGCAACATCCTGTTTAATCCTGGTGGTAATACTAGTATTTTACAAGGGGAATATATCAGCTAAAATAAACAGAATAGTAACAGTCATTGATTGTTAGACCTTCTGCATTTTAACCCCGCGTTTTGATTGGACAACAGCTTGAAATATTATATGACGTCATGTAAATAGAGATTATCCTATATGAGGTTCGGGATATTGGGATTATCCCGAGGCCAATATAATATATCTGCCCGAGGGCCGTAGGTCCCGAGGGTAGATATATTATATTGGCCAAGGGATAATCCAAATATCCTGAACCGACTATAGGATGATCTGTTTATCCCATACCATTAATCACATTGTTCAATTTGCCAAAGTTCAGAAACTTTGCAACCAACCGTGGAATATTCTTAAAATATTCATGTCCAGTTTTGTATTCTTGTTTTTTTCCTGTTCAAATCTTTGATTATTAACAGGGTATACTGCCACTTCCCTTCTCTAAAGCATCACATAGATCGCGATCGTCTGCGTTTTTCTCCATTGGCGTTTACAGTATGCGAACGTATTACAAAAAAGAACTAATACGGGAACAGCGATTATGACGTAGCGGGCAGATATACTTTATCTGCCCGCTCGGACCGGGACGTAAAGCTATATCTGCCCGCTGATGAAAATATAAGTTTTTACAAACCGGCTTTATGTACCCGTAACACGTCCAAGTATTGGATAAAAGTAAATTATCTATCCAAATAAAAGCAGTTTCACTGTAGTTTACACCAATGTTTAATTGAGATGGTTTGATGACGATATGCCTGAGCATTGCCGTGACTGATATAATAGTACCTATATTTATATTGTACGTTCCTCCCCCAATAAATTCCCAATAAAACGAATAGTTCTGACTATACTTTTAAAAGATGAGGGAAGCCTAGCGGCCACCGATATGGTTCATGACCTGGAGTATATTACCCAACCCTTTAAGAGGATAACAACCGATTTCATAAACCAGGGTGTATTTTTCTATTTTTATGATTGGTATAATTGTAGGCATTGCTTTCGAACAATGTAATGTATCGAAACTTTTGACAAAGGAGATATCCGAATCGCAATTCCAAAAATGAGCATTGCGAAAGATTATGACCACAGTAAAAATATTTTGTAATATAGCATTATCCGCCAGGTGACGCTAATGTACAGTATCCATTTAAGTCACTTCCTATTATCTTAATAAGTGGTTTCTGAAAATGACATCCCATCTTTGAAGGGGCTTTCTATCGGTGATCCTAAAATATCCCAAACCTTTTTTTAGAACTATTAGACCTTACGTTTTTTCAAGCTTATAACTCATCTCGTTACGTCCAAATCTTCGGAGGGACGTTATTATAAAATATAAGGTATTGTAATTTGTATCACTAATCAAAGAGGGGGTCGTATACTTTATTTCTTATACCAATACCTTATCTCGATGGACCGCTTTATCCAATTTAGTACTCTCAAGTGATCGCCCTTCAATGTATCATACAAAATATAAATTGGAGATAAACCACAGATGAATGTTAATAATTAAAAAAGATAAAAATATAATATATGGTATGATATCACGTTAATATGATCATGCTATCCAAAGATTGATATTATATTTTATAACCTTGGATGTCTCGTGAAGTGGTGCACATCCAATTGATTTTTAAATTTTTTAGTTTGATTATGCGTAAAATAGACTAGATATTTAAAATGGACGTAACTGCCTTGGGAGAGAAAACAATAGCAAATGGCCGGGCATATGATAATCACGGCTATACGAGTGGCGACGCAGAAAATGGCCGTATTAATCCGGGAGTGAGTTCCGTAGTCCCGATAAATGGCGACGTTATCCTAAGAGACGACAGCAAAAATCGAGATATAAAACCAACGGGTTCTGCCCTATATGATGATATCCCCGTGTATGAACAGCTAGCTCAAGATAACATTGTTACCATTCATGACACTGCGATAGAAACCCAACCCAATGGAAAGACTTTGTACACAGATTTGGAAATATCTAAAGAAAATGGCGGTATAGTTTTGGAGACGCTACCCAGGCCTCCAGCATACGACGATGTATACAAAAGGGAACTTCTTCCAGAACCTTCAGAAGAATGCGGACCGTGTTTACCATGTTTAAAATGCGGAAAGCTGATCGCAAAATCACGAGGTGGTATGGGTGGGAGATTGAAATCAGCCGGGGGCTGGTTAAGCAAAATCGTCCTGCTCATAATGCTGTTGGGATACACATGTTACTTCATTGCAGCGTTGGTATATTCAGTGGAGAAAGCGAGGGCGCTGATTGTCATTACCGCAATCGTAGTAACACTAATATTTTACACCTTCATAAGGAATCACTATGGAGAACGGATTTACGAGAAAATATTTCAGCCGTGTGTATCTGTCGCGCAACGGCATTCTGTCTGGCTTGCAAGGTAATAGGTTCTTCTCTATATGGTTTTATAATAAGTCCAATACGTATAAGAGGATCGTTTACTTTTATAAGACAACTCTCTAAATAAGATGTAGTTTGAGTAGTTTGCCTGCTTTAGCTTCAAGAAAAGCAATTATATTAACTTGCAACTAGTCAATTTTACTATTATATCTCATAATTACTAAAACAACTGCCTCACTAACTTAATTTAAAAGTATTATTTAGACCTCTACTGTGAAACGTCTTTTACTAGTATGTCAAAGTCTTGCGTCCTTACTTGTAATACGGTACATTATTTGCCACATCTGTCACTAATTGTTTCTTTTTTTTGGCTTTTAGGATAGTTGGTTTACTCGTGTTTATCGGTTTTGTGTTGTTCCTTGCGTTGGATGTAATTCGGAGTTGGATGCAACTGGCTTCCCTTGGTGGTATGGCCGGCTTCCTGTTACTTGCGTTCATTACATCAAAACACCCAAATCATGTAGGTACACTATGAATCATCCCTGAAAATGTTCATGAACATGATTGACTTTTATGTTAGCGACAAATTGTTTACGTTCATCATGTGAAACAGTATTATGTCAATGGCTTTCCAATGTGCAAAAACATTTAGATTAATATCATATATGGTATTCTTTTTTCTTTCAGGTTCGATTGAGACCAATTGTATGGGGCATGGGTTTGCAGTTTGTATTTGGGGTTCTCGTTTTACGCTGGAAGCCTGGTAAGTCCTTTACTTAGCATTCGGATGTATGAGCAAGGTACTCCATTGAGTCACAGATGGCCATGACAAATTCTCTTTCATTTCAGTTAATTATCTTAATATGTCCTTACGCATTTTCAACATAAGAGAAGAGATAATACGAGGGCAGTTCAATAAATAATCATACAACGCTCTAGGCTTCATGTCTACCATGTAGTCACTGTTTTACAGAGAGTGGAGGCACTATGTATGACTCAATGCCCAAAAGAAAATGATTCTTGCTATCATCAATGGCAGCTATTTAAGAACATGCATTTCCAAATAATATTTTGAATTATATTTTCGGTCCCAAATTGATTCTCGATGTTCCATGATGATGATGCTTTAAGTTAAGACTACAGGTATTTCATTATGATATTTTAGGTTATGACGCCATTGATTGGATTGCCAGACAGGTACAGACGTTTCTAGAATACACCAATGACGCTAGTGAGGTTGTATTTGGAGAATACCTGGACCATCCGTTCATATTCATGGTAATGATTTTTATTTATTGTTATGGTTGTCCAGAAAAATGTTTTATGCTCATGTATGTAATCGAGGTAGCATTCGCGAATTCAACTGACGGCTGACGGACTAACAAACTGTTAGTGGCCAACTCATTTAAGCATGCAAAGTACCTGTCACTATTTCCATTCATATTTAAATGAGTTGACCATAAAATGGTGAAACCGTCAGTCGCCAGCCGGAAGTTGAATTCGCGAATGCTACCCCAGTTTTATATAAACAAAATAAAGATATACTAAACGTTTATAAATTATTATTCCACATTGGAAATAAATTACAGATTTTACAGAGCATGAAAAAGTTACCACGTGGAACATATAGACCTGAACAGACGCAATTTTATAGTTGGTCAGTTCAAAACTATGTACTAGGGCGAATCAGAAAAAGTATATATGAAATATTTTAGAATGACTTGTTCTGTTGGTTATCAATTTGATTATAATGAATAATAATTATACTTCAAATTCATTCAACAGATTATGCCTATGCTGATTTTCTTCGCAACCGTTCTTGCCATTCTGCATTATTTTGGTATCATCCAAATCATCGTGGGCAAGATGGGATGGTTCATGTCGTTTACACTTGGAACAACAGCCGTTGAGAGCATCAGTGTCGCTGCCAACATATTCCTCAATGGGGTAAGTTACATCGAGGTCCACACACCTTGATTTATTTTTAACTGTGTCAGTGACAACGTGAGTTCATTCATTTTGTGGTTTAAACAAAAACTCAAAATCGAAATAATGTTCGTCATTAATTATGCTCTTACTCATATAATGGTACTATAATCATGAGTATCGATTTAGGGGCTCCGGATTGAATTCACAAGTTTAGAAGATTCAACAGTTTGTTGTTTATTTTTTGCAGATATTTCCTTTTATAATGAACTTTATATTGCTATCAATCACACTAGTGATTCCATAAATCATAACGGTTCTTATTTGATTTGCAAAACTAACTACAGGCCTGTAGCCAGGGGGGGGGGGGCTCTGGGGACTCGTCCTAAAAAATGTGGACCTACCGTTTGCTTCCTTGAAGAAAAACTTGCTCTTCCCCACATTCACTGGACAATTTAAGATTAAAAAACTGACATTACTGTGCATTGTTTTTCGAATTTGGGCATTATTTTTAAAAATTTGGCCCAGTGTTTTGTTAAACATAGCCTTCTGGCATGCCCTCCCCACTAGGATGGGCCCGGAAAAAATGTTGGCCCAAAGATATTGTAGGGCCTCTTTAGTGGGCCTTTTTTGGCATTACTTGACCTTTTTGGGCCTTATCTTTTTTTATTTCAGGCCAAATCTTCAAAAAACGGGCTATAAATTTTCAATTTTTGGTTTTAGGGCGCTAAAAAACTTTAAGCACGGCCCTAAGATGGGCCCAGAAAAAAATATTTGGCCAAAAATATTGTAGGGCCTCTTTAGTTGGCCTTTCCTTGATCTTTTTACTTGACCTTTTTGGGCCTTATTTTTTTCAATTGTAGGCTAAATTTTCAAAAAACGTGCCATAAATCTTCAAAATTTAGGCCCAAATTTTTGTTTAAAGGCCCTAAATGGTTTTCCGCGCGGCCATAAGATGGGCCCGGAAAAAAATGTTGGCCCAAAAATATTGCAGGGCCTCTTTAATAGGCCTCTTTGGGCATTAATTGACCTCTTTGGGCATTATTTTTTTCAATTTAAGCCAATTTTCAAATACGGGCCATAAATTTTCATAATTTTTGCCCAAATTTTGGTTTTAAGACTCTAAGAATTTTACGCACGGCCCTAGGATGGGCCTGGAAAAAAATGTCGGGCCAAAAATATTGTAGGGCCTCTTTAGTTGGCCTTTACTTGACCTTTTTACTTGACCTTTTTTGGCCTTTTTTCAATTTTAGGCCAAATTTTCAAAACACGGGCCATAAATTTTCAAAATTTTGGTTCTAGGGCCCTAAAAGGTTTTCCACGCGGCTAAATGTTGTCCCAAAAATATTGTAGTGCCTCTTTAGTGGGCGTTTTTGGGCTTAACTTAACCTTTTGGGCCTTATTTTTTCTATGTTAGGCCAAATTTTCAAGAAACGTGCCATAGATTTTCTAAATTTTGATCCAAATGTTCGTTTTAGGGCCCTAAAAAGTTTTTCCGCGCAAGCGCGGATATTTTTTTCTGACTTTAAGTGTCGGTCCCACCTTGTTAGGTTCCGGATCCGCCACTGTCCTTTACAATACAAACGGGCTTGGTTTTGCATGGGAAATTTTTTTTTTTTGGGGGGGGGGTATTGGGGGGGGGGGGGTTCGAGCCCCCCCTTACAAAAAGCTGGCTACGGGCATGAACTATACTCCATTTCGCCAAGTATCATTCGTATCGACCGTTTCAGCTGGATTCTATTATGTTGGTGAGGCCGTATTTGATGAGTCTGACCAAGTCGGAGTTCCACGCCATCATGGTGGGCAACCACGCTACTTTGGCAGGCTTTGCCTTCGCAGCATTCATAGCTCTAGGGGTAAGTGCACGAACCCTTCGGGATGATTAGTAACGACGTTCAAGGTCAATGATATTTTTCTGCGATAAGGACTGTTACCATGAAAAGTAGAGAAGGCATAACCATGTAATCGATGGTACTATTGTTTATAAATCTCCGCTGTCTGTAAAAAGACTATCACTTTTTCAGGCCCCTGCTCGCCATCTTTTGTCGGCAGCTGTGATGTCAGCCCCTGCTGCTATGGCCGTGTGTAAGCTCAACTACCCAGAGACAGAAGTATCATGCCTCAAAACTGAGAAAGACGTCAAGTTGGGAAAAGCGTAAGAAAAATATGTAGAAATTACTCAAAACGCTTTTTAACGATTTTGACCAATTTGCACAGAATTTATAGATGATATAGCTCTAAGATTACCACAGTGCCAAATCTGACCTTTAAAACCAAATTGACGGGCCTTGTGCCTGTAACTGAATAGAGGGACATACGATGCGTTAGGTTATTGCTTAAACTTCCAGAACTGAACGCAATATGGTAGAGGCTGCCAGTTCTGCAGCAAGTTTGGCTGGGAAGACTATTGCGGCTGTTGTAGTGAACCTGGTTGCCTTCATTGCTATCCTCGCTTTTCTCAACACCACCATTAAGTGGTTCGGCCAGAGGGTCGGCTACGAAGATTGGAGTTTTCAGGTCAGTTTACAAAATTCTATTTTGCAACTTATACCCCGAACCTATAGTCAAAGGATGTTATATCTGCAGTATTTAAAAATGGACATCAATATTATAGTTTTTAGGATACACCTGTCCAGTAACTAATACATTACAATTTCTATGCAAAGGTTCCGGAAAGCCTGTTCATACCTATTCAAGTTATCCAGACACTGTTCATTCATGTATGTGACTGTATTTTACTATTCAGAAAGCGTGTTCATACCTACTTTTACCGATTGTGTACCTGATGGGAGTCGAACATGCAGATGCAAGTAAAGTTGCCGAGTTGCTTGGCTGGAAGATATTCGCAAGTGAAATTATTGCATTTGCAGAACTTGGAAATATGGTTGACAATAACATGCTAACAGTATGTATTTCGTTGTCACTGTCTTCAGTTTGTACAATATACCTTGTTCATTTTGTATGCATGTTATGCACATAATCTTGAACCTTTGAGAATTGAGACAAATCCAAAGTTTTACAGACTCGGTGTCACGATCTTCTCTGGCTCAGCAATATTTTGACTGGCCACTTTTTTTTTAGGCAAAACCGTATTTCTTTTTTCCATATTACTTTTTTGTCTTCCTTTGTAATTAAAAAATCGCCCTTCTTGTTTATTATAATTAAAATAATTACTTCCGATTTTTTGCCAGGAGCGGACACAGGTTATCGCGACATACGCTTTGTGTGGGTTCAGTAGTCTCTCAACTGTGGCGCTAAGCATTGGCGTGTGGAGTGCCGTAGAGCCTAGACGAATTAATGAGGTCACTAGCACTGTTCTCAGGGTCATCGTAAACGCCAACATATCCTGCTTTCTTACAGCATGTGTTGCCGGTAAGGTGGTGTGCTGATGCTGATTTTGTTGTCGCCTTATGATTAAAATAGTAACAACACAAAAGTTTCACTATTTCAAAAGATTAACATTTCAAAATTATGGGAGAATAAATGTTTAGAAATACATGTTTGTATTTATTTTTTTGTATTTCCCATAAGTCTGCGATCGCCTCACTATATAAATTGAATTTGAACAATCGTTTAACATTGATACATATTTATTTGTAGGTATGTTGGTCCATGTTCCAACATCCGGGTCTGGAAGCAACGTCACAACTACAATGCTGCCATCTACCACCACGGAAAACCCCTGGGAAGAAATCATAGACATTGTAGATTGTATATTCTTTGATAATTGTGGAACAGGTCAAGGAAAAGATTTAGCAAAAACAATTGCACTCAGTCCAAAAGGTGTGCCAATGCTAGGCTAAATGATGTAAAAGTACACGACTGCATATATGGACATGAACAGCAAAGGCCTATATGAATCACACTCACAACATTAGAGAAATTTCGCAACTAACTTATAGCATGTTCATTATTCCCCGCCCGTATACCGTATAATTCATGAAGTATTTGATTACGTCATCATTTATTGCGGAGCTCTATACGTCCATAAGTTTGACGTTCTTATATATCGCCCTCTATACTTAAGGATATCATACATATGGACGTATAGAGCTGTGCAATAACCTCACAGTACTTGTACTAACTTCATGCATTCAATATAGTTCTATCACGACGCAATTACCAAAAGCATATCATTTTATACGTTAAACTCCCTAATATCGGGTTTCTTCCTTATCACATGCATTACATCATTTAGTAATTCAACTAATAAACTGCCAATGGACATTAATAGCTGATCCAATGCTTATAGTTAATATTAGAAACAATTACTATGGATTCCTCTTCTAGGGACCTTTATCTATTTGTTTTAGGGATTTGATAATATCTATGACGTTAATTAGTGGTTGCATTTGAAAATTATGTAGATTTCTTCTTCGAACAATTATTTCTAAAATTATTTGCTATATCATTGTTTAATTATCTATTTAAATTACAATTACCAGATGTGCTAAAACGTTCACTTCATTAAGATGATTTGATACGAATATAAAACATAACTCAACGATGATAATATCGGATTATTGCAGAGGCATTTAAAACTGTATTGAGTGTGAATAAATAATGATTAGAGCCGTTGTGAAAGAAATTATGGTCCCCTGGGGATTATGGTCCCCTTTCTTAAAGGCCCTTACTGGCCCTGATTGTGGGTACGATAATAAGGGAAAGAGTTGTATTTAGGTCACCATATAAATCAATGGAAAGTAGGACCATAATTTTACCCTTTTACACCGGCGTTCTTGTATAGTTTTACCTGTTAGGTCGTGTCATTACAGAAATTGCAAAGCGAACAATTAGGATAATTATTCACTTTACAATTGTTGACGATATGCTTCTCACATGAGAGCCGAGAACATGTAGTCAATTTCGATTCAAAAGGAGTGGTATCGATATGGAGAACTTTTTGAACACACGTTTCTCTTAAACCAGTCATACAAAAAATCTAAAAAACATCGTCAATTTAATGGTCATCTTTTGAATGGTAACAAAATAATTTGAAATATATAATATACTTTCATCTATATTGTTTTTAGAAAACACATCAAACACTTGTTTACAATTACCAGATGTGCTAAAACGATCACTTCATTAAGATGATTTGATATGAATATAAAACATAACTCAACGATGATAATATCGGATTATTGCAGAGGTTTCCCCATTGGTTTACATGGTAATGACAATTTCTGAAAATTTGTCATCAATTTTCGACCTTTTGTAATTGAAAAAAGGAAAATTCAGAGGCATTGGGTATGAAGTCAAGTTACATTTCCACCTTTATCATAACCTTTAATATTTATCATCATCTTTATTATAAGTACATCATCGCTGGTTATGTAAATAAATACTGTATTCGAACGTAAAGAGGCGTTAACACGTAGTCCAATGAGGGAATTAGGGTTACCAAACTTATGGAGGGGAGTGTATATATGATCAGAATTGGTCTCAATAAAGAATTCTCTACATACACCAAGGTCCAAGGAACATTGCATTCATACCAACGTCATAATACATTACAAATTGATAACCAATACTTATAACATCAAAGATAGTGTTGCAGATACTTTCATCAAACAGGATAGGGCATTCAGTCTCAAATGATGTGGGACAGATAGAATCCAGTCGGGGATTATTCCAGTTTATCATTAATTTAATGTACTTCTAGTCATTGCTGATGCATGATATCTTCAGATTGGCTCGCATACAATATGGTAGATTATGATTTGGATGGGGTTTACTTTCTCATGATTTATGTAATTGTATAGACTCTAAGTTTAGTTTGCCTGCAGGTATGAATATTACTATCATTATTGAATATCGATTTTAGATAAAAACAATGAAAGGTTTGCATAAAATTATTTCATTAACCTCTTGAATACCCAGAGTGACGGATATATCCGTCACAAATGAAATAAGACTGGTGCCCAGAGGGACGAGAAAATCCGTCACAAAATTTTTCACAGAAATTGCTCTCAATTTTCATCCAATTTACACAAAAATTGTTTTAAAACGTGTAAAAATGATCTCTGCCGTCCAATTTTACTAAGCTGAGCATCTAAATTTGTATAGGTGTGTAATAAAATGTCAAAAGGTGGCAAAAAATGAAAAATTCCCTGGTTTCATGCCAATTTTAGAGCCTGGGATTCAAGAGGTTAAATTATTTATTAAAAATGTTTGGTCCTTGCTTGCTGATCTAATATTTTCCAACGTTGGTTCTGAAAATTGCTGGTCTGAATATAAGAGTCTCATATCTATTATTGCCATTGTTTGGAATGCAGAATCATTTAATTGGTGTTTCCATGCTGGATCTGTGCCTTCTAATAAAACATATCAAGAGATTAAGTTCTAAATATTGATCATCATATAACAATATGATATAATAATAGTACAATAACGTCATTTCTAAGGGCAATATAGTGAAATATTGGACCGAGGGACGAAGGCGTTCATTTTACTATATCGACCTGAGAAATATGTGACGTCATAGTGTTGGTCAAGAATGCATTTCAGACCGGTCGAGAATGCATTTAACGACCGGCAATTTTCCCCGGGAAATTAGATATCGTTCAGTGCGTAAGATTTTCTTTCTGTTTCAGTCCTGGTCGTTAACGGTGGTAATAATACTAATTATAACATACCTATGATGATGGATAGTGCAAAGTGTACACAAGACAGCGGGCCAATATAAGTTTCGAAAAGCCCGCGCCCGCTAACTTTCTGATTGGTCAAGGCGCTGACGTCATAACCAATCAATCGAAGATAAAACTGCGCGAGCAATTTTTCTAAACTCATTTCAATCATTTTCAAACCATTTATTTGTCAATTCTTTAAGAAAATGGTACTCTCTGACCAGTCTACATCATCATAGGCATGTTATAAATCGTTTATGTCACTATCGTGGCACATGTGCCCTCGGTTCTCAGAGATCAATGTCCCTCCCAAGGTCGGGCCATATATCACTGAGACCTCGGGCATATATGCCACGATAGTGACATAACCTCTAATAACGTCATTTCTGCGGGCAATATAGTGAATATGCCCTTAGAAATGACGTTATTGTACTATTGTTATATAAATATAGTTACATATATATTGTAGAATATCAAATCAGAACTAAAACTGGCCCAATGACATAAATTGAATGACAAGGAAAATCAAATTTATTTGAATACTTATTTGCTCATTTATAACATAGGCCTAATCAAATTGGGTTGCATCTTAAGATATGCATCGCCTACACTTCGTTCGTCTGTTCCTCTGTATATTGTTCACATATTTTTCTTGCAACAGTCCCCGTGATGGACTTAAGGTCTTCAAATTTAACGCTCCAACCAGGCCCCGTGCCGTTACGCATATCAAACACGAAATGACTCGCCGTTTTATTCCACTCATCAATTCCTACAACATCTCGATAATTTGGAAGTCCTATAACTACGATATCAATACCTTTGCTTCGGAGTCGCTTAGCCATCTGAATAGTCGGGCGAGAGTTGATATTCTGAGCCATAAATTTATACGTGTTTCCATCAGTGGCTAAAATAGCAACCCTGGATATTTCATCCCCCCTAGTGACATATGTAGGTAAACATTCTGATGCAACATTCGCGAGTGCAACATCAGTCTCTGTATATGTATTGTGCTCATCTGGAATTGTGTCAATAGCAGCACGAACGCATGCATTGTCCTTGCATTTAGTGCCAAGGGAATGTTGATAGACGTCTTGGTTGTAGCTACTCACGCCAATCATAGCACTGGTGAACCTTTTGTTTGATTTATCATATACAATACGGAAAGAATCAGCCAGGTCTTTCAAGAACTCTTTTGTTAACTCAATGTCCTCAATTTCAATACTATCACTGCGGTCCATCACGATGCAAAGGTCAATTTTCCCCATACATCTATCTGTTTAATACAATATAAACGTTTTAGAGGTCTCTTTTTGATTTTACAAGAACTTAACGGACCGAAAAAGCATATATCAGTCAGGAGGTCATTAACAGAAACTTCATAAAGTTACGAATTCATATATAAATCAACTGTTGTTACCATGGATATAATGACGCCACAGATAGAGAACAATGGACTTTACGAATTATTAACCTTATGAAGTTTCTGTTAATGGCCCCCAGCTTCATAAATATACTCACAATCGCAGGCGCCAATCTTGACCAACTCATAAAAGAAGAAATCTCCAACGTCTTCCAAATTTGTACTGTTGTGTACCTCATATATCCATCTCTGACTGGAAACAAGGTCTTCCAATAGAGGAATAGGCTCAAGACGACCATCTTTGGGCACATGTACAACAAATGTTGTTATGTTCGCTGATTTATTTAGTGTACCCATTTCTCTGGTTTTATTCTCCATTTCCTCTACGTTCTGGAAAATATTGACAATTTGTTAGTTAAGTGGTCCTTAGGGCTAATAGCCAATCCACCAATCGTACAGTTCATTATGATAATCAAACTTGTAGATTACCATCTTTTTGAAATTGCCAAATGTCTCTCCAAATTGCAGCTGTACTCAATATGCTTCACTGAATCGTTATAAAGGAGCAGGGAAGATATCGTAACATATTTCAGACAGCCATATATGTTGGATATATATTTGCTTTTTTCTGAGAGTTTTAACAGGCGCATAATGTTAATACAATGCATTAACTCCAGGACAATCACTGACAGAGATGATAAAATAGTTTGGACTTTGAGACATGGAATGTGCAAACACTCCACCAACTTATTTCCTTGAAATGTTGCTTTGCTTTTTAGCCCTTTCCACAGGTGTTTTGCAATGTTTGAGGCATCAGTATGCTGCGTTTATGCCTTGGTCAAATTTTCTTCGATTTTCACTACGGCGCCCGGCCGATTGAGTATTTTGTTCAAAATTGAATACAATATTGAACGAATCACTCAATCGATGGACCGGAGCATATGTGACCAAGGCATTAGAGACACGGTTAACCTTTTTAAAGGAAATAGGATTGACGCAGGGGTTTTAAAGATATCAATTATGGGAAACCAAAATTAAGCTTAAAACAATGGATAACATGAGTCTTTCCTATGGCATAACAACATGGGAAATATTGTTTTCCACTTCATCTCAAATGAATCCATTTTTCCTTTTAAGAGGTTAACTGTGTCTCAAAACACAACATCTAGATGCACCGCAAATCAGGACAACTTTTCAGAAAAACGTGTACTGTTGGTGGGGTGTTTGGACCTTTCCTGTCTCAAAGTCCAAATTATTTTATAACCTCTATGAGTGCATTTGCCTAACATATACATCTGTTCAAATCCTCAGAAAATAGCCAAAATCCATCATATGACTGTCTGAAATCTTGCAATACCTTCCGTGCTCCTTTATGTTATGGATAAAGCACGAGTATTATGGGCGTCGTCGCTTTCCATTAGGTCTTGAGGTAGGAACAATCGAAGCCTTGTGAATCAAGATGTATTATGAGTGAATTTTTGTCACCCTATAGATCTGATTCTGCCTTTAATTTTCCTACGTTTTAAAATCCGCAATGAATAATATTTTGGTCGCTCATGGCAGCCCCGGTGTCAGTTTTAGCCTCTTACTCCTCAGGAAAACATTTTTCAATCGAATGGTGTCAAATTGTTAGGAATTGTTGTTCTCTAACAATATTCTAAGAAAAGTTTTTTTCTATTATTTGTGAAAAATTGATACAAACAAATTGGGCAACCCACTACAGTGTTATATTATCCTGTTATGTCATGATACAAAATAAAAAAAATGTGTATAATAAATATATTATGAAGTAATTACTAATGCAGACAAATTTGTAAATGACTCGATTCGTAACGATAAGTTTCACTCACATCCTTTGTATCTCTTGGCTTTCCGTCTGTCATGAGAATCAGCACCCGCTTTCGTTCTTTCCCAGTTTTATTGTCATATCTCGATACGCTACCAAGTAAGTCCTCGTCAGTTCGTACTTGTTCCAAGGCTTTCCATGTGTGCGTCTTACATCCTTCTTTTTGGTCTTTAATATTGATTTTAAGGTTTTTCAACAATTCCATTACTTTAGCATTGTTTATATTTTGGGATAGGCCAATTATTTTTCTTGCCCCCTCGTCAAATAATACAAGACCAAACTGTAGAAAAGAAAGAATAAAATGGTTTCCTTTTATGTTTGCATGAGTAGTACACATCCGTGTGTTAAATTACAGAACCCGGTGTAGTGATAAAGGAATTGACAAATATTTGGAAATTACCTCCTGTTCAAGTTCCAATCATTTTTATAGATTATATTGATAGATAAAATATCACTGAATATGGTATTGCTTGTTGAGGATCACACAACATTACCGTTTATCATTTATTTGAGATTTAAGCAGGGGTCCATTTTTTTAAGAAATAATCGTTTTAAAAGATTTCTTGTGAATAGATAATAAATAAGTACAAAAAGCATGAATTATTATATGTCAAGAGCATAATGTAAAATTTCAACTGAAAAATTAGATCAAAATGGAATCCAAGTTCACAGTGGGGGGTATAACTCATCAAACACAAGATAATTTTTTTAAAGCTTATTGTTACAGCCTAATGTTTTTAATTTGCTTTTTTAGTTAAGATTATAACATTGACCATTTATGAATTTTTGAGCACCATACAAAGTTACAGAACTTCATTTATGAACGATTTCAGCAGGGGTCTATTTTACAAATATTAAGTATTTTTCCGGATAGTTCTTAGATGAAAAGCTAGTACAGTTTTACGATTAAATTACATCATTGAGGTGTATTAATCATGAAAACAGGTTTCATCCTGATGTCTTCAACCTAATTCGTATGACGCCATGTCACAAATGGGGGGAGGGGACATTGACCTCCACTTTGGGATCTTAATTACTTATATGATTTCAATATTACAGTAATGTTCGGTATCATTATAAACAGGCATTAAATAAGTGTAGACTATTATAAATACGTTAATATTAAGAAGATTTATACAATTTAAACTGTAGAATGAAATAACAATGGGCTCTAAAATCACAATGATTGGTGTAACTAATCAAATTTTTACTTTATAAGCTTAGTATCATGTCCTAACAATTTGAATTAATTTTAAATAGTTATCTAATTGAACAAAGTTCGGAGGGATATACGTCCGTCTGTCCGTCCGTACGTACGTACGTCCGTTCGGGCAATAACTCAAATACTGTTGGCCCAATTTTGTTCATATTTTGTACACATATACCCTGTGGGGTAGAAGTTCTGCTCGAAAGCCGATTTTCAAAATGGCCACTCATTTAAAAATATCGGCCATTTTGGTGCCGATTTTACAGTTATTTAGGTGCAATATGTAAAACTGTAATAGCAATATCTTTTAAATGAAAAAAATGATATAGGACATTGATAAAGCTAGAAATGCAGATATTAAAGAAGCACATGGCAGCCATCTTGAAAAATGGTGGCCTTTACTTGTTATTTTACGATTTTTTCTGTAACTCGAAAAGTAGTGGAGTGATTTCGTTCATATTTGGTATGTGAATACTATAAGCATGGCACACTGTCTAATGACACTTTTGGGAGAAGGAGGCTATTTTAAAAATAGCCGCCATTTTAACATATTTTACTATAACTCGAAAAGTTGTGGAGCGATTTTGATCATCTCTGATATGTGAATACTATAAACATGGCACACTGAATTTTTTGAATATCTTAAAGTGGTTCAGATTTTCATTTATCGAAAATTTAATTAGAGATTAATTCAAAAATATATAAAAAAGAATATTTTGTGGATAGTTGTCGGATCAGTTACTATTATTACCACCTTGCGGGGCATGTTTTAGTGGTATAAGTGCTAGTTTAGGTGGCATTTGTTACTATATCGACCTGAGCAATAATTCTAATAACGTCATTTCTGCGGGCAATATTAAGCCAAAATATTGATGATCAGCAGCTGATAATGGCAGAATACCTATTCCAGAAAAAAATATTGGGCGAGACGGTATTTATTAATTTCAAGAGAAAGTTTGGGTTCTAGCATTGCCTCATAGGACAGTCTATTTTCTACTAAATAAAATAATCAGGGTAAAGGCTTTTCTATTACTAAAGTTATTTGCTTGTCGAGATGCTTGTAGAGCCCGTATCGCAAAAATCATATATCCTTTCACCCAACATCATATCATATGCTTCATTGATGTTAAAATCCATTTTTATAAATAGTGGGAATAAATTCCTAACTCAACTTAGATTATGATTTAAATGCAATATTATATGTGATCAAATGCTTTTTTCCAAGGTTTTAATTAAATGTAAACAGTGCTTAGTTTCAGTGCTCAACAGGTGAAAACGTATGTAGGAATATAGGCAGAAACAATCTGCAGATCAACGAAAACAAGATTGTGTTCAAAGAAAGTGAACTAAATGAAACCATTATTTTTAATCATGTTGAATGCAAAATATAGTCAGACAGAAGATATTATTTTCAATTAAAAAGATAAAATCAATATGTCATGCTAATGACCTTTCCAAAAGCCGATTCATAAGTGGAGAATTCGTTGTTAACTTCGAAAGTGTCAATATCTAATATTTTTCATTATTATGGACCTCTGTTAAATCCCTCAATGATAAGTAAACGGTAATGTTGACAGGTTCTCAACGGGTGAAAACGTATGTAGGAATATATGTTTTATCATTTAAACATATCATTAACAACGCAGATCAACGAAAAACAAGATGATGTTAAAAGAAAGTGAACTAAATGGAACCATTATTTTTTATCATTTTGAATGCAAAATATAGTCAAACAGACGATCTTAGTTTCAATTAAACAGATAAAATCAATATGGCATACTAATATTAATAACCTTTCCAAAAAAACTTCAAAAATATCAAAATCTTATATTTTTTATATTTTTGTGAACCCCTGTTAAACCCCTCAATATTAATAAATAAGTTTATTGGTCTCTTGAACATCTAATGTACATCGAGATAAAATCAATTTGTTATACTAGTAAACTTTCCAAAAGCCGATTAGTGACTAGATAATCTGTTGTAAACTTCAAAACTATCAAAATCTAATATTTTTGTTGACCCCTCCCTGTTAAACCCCTCAATAATAAGTAAACAGTAAAGTCCTCAACAGGTGAAAATGTATGTGATAATACATGTTTTATCATTTACACATATCATTTAACAATTGGTGGATCAACAAAAACAAGATGATGTTAAAAGAAAGTGAACAAAATGGAACAATATAATCAGACACACGATCTTATTTTCAATTAAACAGATAAAATCAATAGGTCATGCTAATAACCTTCTCAAAAACCGATTCATGAGTAGATAATCCTGTGTAAACTTCAAAAATACCAAAATCTAATATTTGTATTTTTGTGGACCCCTGTCAAACCCCTCAATAATAGGTAAATGGTAATGTTGACAAGTGCTCAACATGTGAAAACGTATGTAGGAATATATGTTTTATCATTTAAACATATCAAAACAATTGGCGGATCAACAAAAACAAGATGACGTTAAAAGAAAGTGAACTAAACGGAACAATTAATTTTAATCATTTTAAATGCAAAATGTAGTCAGACAGGTGATTTTATTTTCAATTAAACAGATAAAATCAATATGTCATCCCAAAAAACCGATTCATAAGTAGATAATCTGTTGTAAACTTCAAAAATATCAAAATCTAATATTTTTCATTTTTTGTGGACCCCTGTTAAATCCCTCAATAATAGGTAAATGGTAATGTTGACAAGTGCTCAACAAGTGAAAACGTATGCAGGAATATGTATTTTATCATTTAAACTCATCAAAACAATTGGAGGATGAACAGGAGGAAACAGCTTAATTAAGGCTTATCTGAGAGATTCCATTATCACTAGTGTGGCAAATGAAGGCTATCATAAGGGTGACCTAAAAATAACTTTCTAAAAGCGTACTAATTCCTTTCCTATGGAATGATAATACGATATCAGGGACTGTTAAAAACCTGAATGAATCAGGTTACCTATCTAAGGAGGTTTTTTAGAATGGGGGTATCAGAACACCCGAAAGTACTATGTGCGATTGCATTTGACGTACTTTCAAAATAATAACGAGAAGGTTCCATACCAAAAGATGGCTTAAAGGTTGCTTGGGCACTTTTCAATTTATAATCACAAAACACAGCTTATCAAGAAGAGAAACAAATGCCATGGGCTGAACCCTAATGGGGATAGGGGGATGACGCCACTCTCTCCGGATTTTCCCCCGGTACTTTTCTATCATGAAAAATAATCTTAGTAGCTATAGCTACAGATTAAAAACCACGTTTGGTGCAATTATCGAGGTGATCGCTGTACTGGTACATGTAGTACCTAATGCCTGGGTCACATTTTCTCCGATTCATCGCCCGGCGCCCGAGCGATTGAGTATTCTGATCAAAACTGTATACAATTTTGAACAAAATACTCAATCGGCCGGGCGCCGGGCGATGAATCGGAGAAAATGTGACCAAGCCATTAGTTAGGACGGCGGGAACTGTTTTTTATTTCAGAAATCTAATTTTCTTAGAATAAAAAATAATCAAGTTTTATTTACTTTCTTTTGAATATAGATCATTTAGCCCTTAGTATAGTAAATACACTTTCAAACAAGCCGTATTACAATGTAATCGGAAAATTGTTGACTTAGATAACATGTTTCCAATATCATATTGAGACATACAACTGTCCACGACTCGCGTTTTGATCCACATGATTTGAATATTTTTTTCTCAAAAACTGGTGGCCATAATCCATACATTTTTTGAGAGATACTGAACATGTCTGTCAGATGTCTGCAAAACAATTTAACTATATCTTCATTAGTTTTGTAGAAATAATTTTGTTTCCCCTGCCCCGAGATGTTTCCATTCCGCAGCTATTTTTAGCCATTTTTCCATCCAAATATGCGTGTAATTTACAAAATAGTGAATATAATGCATCAAAATATTACAGAAGGATTAACAAAGAAGTTGCTAAGAGTAAATTGCTCGTTTTTTAGAGAAAAAATGTTCTCAAATCTTGAATGACTTTATGAAATAGTTTTCATAAATCAGCAAATATAGAATAAAATTGCAATTTTTGTAATATCTTGATTCTGTACCTATTTAAACATCTATATTTATAAGCGAAAGAAATAATGACAATTGGTCAATACTACAACTTCTGGCTATTTTCGACATTTGGCCAGTCGGAAGTTATCTGATCGAGATGCAGTAAAACGTTTTTTCAGCGAATACTCAACCATAACTTAGCTCATAAATTCTTAAATTGTGTAATAGTCAGGGGCACTTTCTGGGCTGTGTATTTTGCAAATTTTTTTTTTCAGTTATAAGGCCCTACACAGTGTTTTTATATTTTTGATAATTCATTTCTTTTCGACCAAATAACCGCTAGTACCTATCTGCAGATCTAGGAAATGAATTTATCCAAAGTGAAGGTTCTTTTGCCGTAAAGAGGTAGAGCCTATATACATCTTTCACATAACCCCCTTCTGGCTAACACAGAATATTGAATGTAACGTGGTGACATTTATTTTGTGTATGTATAATTCTTAGATCAACGTTCTCTGAAAAATGAACCAGATTTATTAACATTTATTAATAGTGAGAGCACTTTTGATCTTACATCATGATCACCCTGCATGTTATTTTTATTGAAGAAAATACATAAAAAACTTTTATTACTTTGACCTACTTCTGACCTAATTTGATCTACTATTTGGTCTGGGCGCGGGTGAGTGTCGCATAGTTGAGAGATGGCATGTGGAAGAAAAGTTGTCTGGGAGCAAACGATTGGTGCAAAAGTGAGTCGGGTTAAATGAAAGAGGGCAAAGTGAAAATGTGGCGGGTTTGGATTTTAGACCTAAAATTTATTATCATCATTGGTAAACATGGGAAATACAATTTTCAAAAATTCTTCAAATGAACACGTAGGTTATCGCAAACAATTTCAGAAGGCTTTATCTCGGATTATGACTATTTTCTGACAATGGAGACAGTTTTATCTTTTAGATCAATTCATTATCTCAAAGAAAATTATATACAGTAATAATAATGCAAATTGGGAAAATTTGGAAGCATCAGAAATGAAGTCAAGTTCCATTTCCACCTTATCGTAAATACCGTCATTGCTGGTTATGTAATAATAAAATTCCAACATAAAGAGGTTTTAACACGTAGTCCAATGAGGGAGCTGGGGTTGCCAAACTTATGGAGCGGAGGGTACTTACTCTTGAAATCGTTTGCTTTACTCTCGATGCATTCACTATTTTCTCAACAATAGTCACCATCTTCTTTTTATCCCTAATTTTGACACTACAAGAGAGGTCAATAGCAAACACAACATCTGCGCACATATCTGGAAGAGACATTTTTAAATTAAGAATTAACACTATTTGTTTATAATCCAGTTATACAAACTTGGTATTCAAATCCATCGTAAATCGCACTTTTAAGCTATGAGAAAACTTACTTATTACTAAAATCTGATTCTCTGGATATCTTAATTTAATCACGTAATGTTTTAAATAAATGACATCCATTTCTCACCGTGGCATGAATTTGACTTTAAAAGACGTCAAGATAGTACAAGTCTTTTTTATTTATTTTTTTATTTAAAATAAACAGTAAAATATATATAGTCAAAGAAGATGGTCTCGTAAAAAGCACATATTGCCCCTCACTTTAGAGTATTATGTTATGCATTAATACTTATAATTTTTGACATTTTTGTGATCATTTTCATTTAACAGCTGACTTTACATTTGAAGTATTTTGAAGTCACTTGTACCCGAAGGTTACATACTTAAAAGGTGGAAATTGAAGCGATGGTTTGAAATAAACGATATACTATTAAACAATAACTGTTTATTGATGATAGCAATTACATATAAACAAAACTATGCATTATTGTATAGTGTCAGAAATGGCTCAAAATTCAATGTTTATATTACATTCAATATGTTTCAAATATTCGAAATAATGTTTAAAACATCAAACAAGAAAAATGTATCAAATATGAGAAAAAATAAAATCAAAGCAATTTTTTAAAAACATCAATTAAAGAAAACAATTAAATTTCAAAGCAAATGTTTGGAACTTCAAATAAGAAACAACTTAATGTGTCGAATAAGAAAAATAATATGTTAATTTAATAAGTACACGACATCGAACTGACTTTGGTGTTCAAACTTTATGGAAACTTTTGTACGTTTTTCTTATTCGAACTTTTCAATTTTCTATTCAAACAGTTCGGTACTTCTTATTTTTCTATTCAAACAGTTCGGCCTTCTCAATCCGTATATGCGCATTCGCAAGAATCGAAGCGATCTGATTGGCTCAATGGAAGCTATGAATGGATCTGCATGGGCGTACTAACACAACATCACAGCGCGCAACCAGACTCCAGAATGCCGAACTGTTTGAATAGAAAAAAGATCTTACAAGTGCAATGTTGATTTCTTAGTTCGAATCTTTGGACCATTTGGTTCGAACTTGGTTTAAACTTTTGGATCGATGATTGAATGAATTAGACTTTGGAATTTTAGTTTCAATCGATTGATCCTCCAATGAAAGATGTTTTCAGTGTTTGACATTATGATTTTTGGTATTTGACGTTAAGTTTTTCACAGCTTGATATTTAAATAAGCTAGTTTTAAAATTGATTCAAACATGGATGAGACGTGTAATTGTAACTTTAAAATATCAAATATCAAACACAGATTTTTAAATAAGCATTACTAAAAAAAGTGAACAAAAACTTTAAAAAAGTGCAATATCAAATAGGAAATATGAGCTATTAAACATAGGATTCAAACGGTTGAACAAAAATTTCAAAGTTTGAATTGAAAAGTGAAGATTTAAACGAAAAAATTAATAACAAACATATAATTAAAGAAATTGAATAGAGACTCTAAAAATGCTATATCATTGAACATAAACTTAATCAGTGTTTGATCCTAAAGAAGCAAAGTATGATGTATGGGTACTATATGACAATTTAGTGACTCAAATTATTAAATTGGTTCTTGAACATGAAGTTCTTTCGTTTATGACGACAAACCGTTTTTAACAAGTAGACTAACAATAAAATGCCACGACTTTCCTTAATATATTTTTACATTTTGAAATTAGTTTGTATTCATTTACTACTCACAAATCCTGTGTTCTTTAAGTGTTGGTTTATAAAATGCTGTGCTGTGAACTAACCATATAAGGTCGGAATAAAAAATTCCTTAAGTAACCATATAAGGTCGGAATAAAAAATTCCTTAAGATCTCGTCTACAGTAACTCTTACATTTTCGCTCTTCTATTTTATCGCTCCAACCAAACATTCTGTCATAGTCAAAGATTTCGGCAGCTCCACAAATTTTCACCATGTGAGCAAGGAAGAAAAATAGTAAACACACGATCTTCATTTTGAAGTTCTGAAATAAAAAGTGATCGACTCCGAATAAGAATAATACATGTGAAAATGACAATACGCCATCACTGGAACGCCTTACTACTCAAAAACATCGCCCAAATACAATCCATCACAATTTGATAAGAGGTGACACACCGGCCGTTTATTGGATAAAATGTCCTGTTATGCTGAAATGTAATGTTTTCGAATTGTATAACACGTGTTAAGTGAGTGCAACGGTAAAGATCAGATACTAAAAAGGACTATAGTATAATATTCACTGTGACATTGTAACTGTCTCTGATTCAGATCTTAAAGTAGCTTTCTATGATTTCATCTAAAAATTAAAACCCTTGGAAATACTAGATATGGTTTAAGTGCCATATATAAAATATTATTTCAGAAATATTGTGGATCAAAATGAAAAAAAAACAAAAATAAAGAATAAAAACATGTTCCACCCGTGGGATTTGAACCCAGATCTTTTGGAATAAAAGTCTGAATTCTGAGTCCAAAGCTCTAACCACTCACCACAGTGTCAAAGCTTTCTGAAAAAAGAAATTCTTTATGTATATAATCATGGACGAAAAAAGTCTTATTTACATGCTTAAATTTCTTGAAAATGATCAGCATTACTACTAATAATAACATTTTGCATGTCTGAGTAAGTATTTTGATCTACATTTAGGATAAATGTTGTTTTATTCAGTTTTCATTTTGGGTATGACTTCCTGTCAAAACAGTGTTAAAAATGCAAGGCTCAACAAAAAAATTCAGTTAGAAAATGATATATATCCTTTGATCAGCTGTTTTTGGCACCTGAACTCATCCTACTAGAAAGGTAAGAGCATTTTCTTGAGACATATGGCTTGAAATCTCAAATTTCTCCTTCTAAGTCTAAGAAAGACACTTTAAATTAATAACTCAAGCAGTTTGACCTTACTTTTAATGATAATAGGAAACCTGCCGCATCAATCGAGTGTGCTACGATGTAGTTACATTTTTAGAACGTTTGATTTTTCTTAAAACTCGAACGACTTCCGTCTACCTATACACCGAACGAAAAAAACATAGTCTTGTCCTGGGATTCAATTTACATTTACTTGAGGCGTTCTCGCACATTCATGCGTACTTTTTGAATGATAAGTGTAAATGTGTTTGATTGAGTACACTTTTTCTTTTGTTCGCCACCAGTTTCTGATGTTAGGTTTAAGTAGTACTCGACTTAGGTTAAGATTAGCGTAAAAATATACGTGTACCTATCCCTATTCGTATGTTTGTTACGGATGCGTATAGGTAATGCGTATTGCAAAATGAGTTTAAGATTAACGTAAAAAGCTACGAAACCGTATGCTACAATTTATGACAAAAATGACATCCTAATTATAGAATGAAAACCATGCGATGGCTTATATGGTATATACCAGTACATGTCACCTCCAAGAATGTTATATGCTTCAGAGAGAGTGTGGTGTAGCTACTGTAGTTGGGAGGGGGTGTTGCTTGTGGGCCCCCAAATAAGACAGTGACTTAGGGCGAAATGTTAAACTTCTAGCATGATCCAGCAATGAGAGTGATCAAAATAGTAAAGTTAAACAATTCAAACCACGAGAAAATGGCTTATTTCATGCATTTACAATAAGCAAAACTTATGAAGAATGTGTAAATTCAACAATTTCATGCATCATCACATGGCATCGTTTATCGCATCAATAAATGTGTTCGACCACTTAATTTCTATGCAGATCGAATGAGAAATGTTTGTTGTTACTATTTTAAAGTTTAATGGATGATATTTGATCTAGAAATGACATAATTTGTTGGATAAAAACATACGTTTTCGAATTACCTATCTTTGGCCATTTATAGGTAATTACGTATCGTAAACCCTGTAACTTAGGTAAAATACCGCTTAGTGTAATAACAAACTACGTATAGGTATAGGTAAATGATGTTATTTACGCTAATCTTAAACTCCCTATTGAGAAATGAAACTCGTAAGTGGGGATTGCTGCAAAAAACATTGAAAAAATATCCGACCTTAAAGGGTCAGATATTGAAAAAATATCCGGCACTTTTCAGAAAGGAGCAGAGTATAGCCAAACAAGCAGCTTGGAAAAATCATATTGCAGTACCCAAATGCGGGCAGCTATAATATATCTATCCCGCTCCCGGGATTTTTTCAAAAGTTTAGAAAATTTAAAAGTTTAATTTTTTTAATTTTTAGATTTTAAATGTTTCAATGTTACAATTTCATTGTATTGAATTAAAGGAATATATTGAAAATGTTAAATAAAAATTGTGCTTTTAACAGTATCGGCCTATCTTTTTATTTGAAAAACGTGGAAAATGTTATATCTACCCCAAACACACTCAAGTATGAGATACACCAGTTACGTACGATCGGTTTTGGATATAGGGTATATCATGAGGTATATATTTATATCTCCCCTTGGTTCCTTCGGTTCCCCGAGGGGATATAAATATATCCCTCAGGATATACCCTATATCCAAAACCTCCCAGTGCATAACCCTTTTATATCCACTGTGACGCTGTCACTTTATGTGATTCAGATCTTAAGTTAATGACTGAAGTTGTTTGACCCTTCTTTCAATGATAATTGTAACCTGCTACATCAATCGGCTTTGAATTAATAATTTCTCTGTAAATATATCAAAAAAATATCTTGATAATATCTTGAAAAAACATCGCTCAAGTAGCAAATTGCGTTGATATTTGTCTTGATGGAAAATATGGCAAGATAATTCGATTAGGTAATTTACATTGTTGCTGACTATGTCTTTTGTACTTTCATTAGTAGTATTTAGTTCTTACCTTTTGATGTCGTTCAAACTCCAAGTAAAGTTCCTGGATCGGAACTGTATTATATAAAGTTATCTTCTGAATATAATTAATTTGCAATTTCAGTATTTGATGTTGAAATATACAATCATGTATGTATCTTTTGATCTCAATTGTATATACTACTTGCGGGAATTATATATGCGTCTGTTATAAGATGTTATTTGTATCTATATGTAAATAACCGAGTAAAAAATAAATCAATTTGACTCAGACTTTCAGATGTCCTAGATAAACCATTTTGATGTTTTTTGATATATATATATATACAGGGTGGGCCAAAAAACGCCATTTTTTCAAGACACTACACCTTTTTTTATTTTCCAACCTACATACCCCAAATTTTGCAGTTATTTAGTGTCAGGGGTTCTTAGTAATAATATAATGTAACATGTCCTTTAATTTAGATTATATTTCATCCAAAAGAGGAGTTCAATTGGTCTGCCACCCTATTTGATGATATATTTTAGTTTTAGTCGCCTTGCTGATATAGCAGTATCAATGAAATGTTAGCTAAGTTTTTTTCCAACCTGTCTTTATTGCGAGCTTTAGTTGAGCAATTTTTTAGATTGGATGCCTTCATATAATCTCCTGGAGACCTTTCCATACCCTATATTCACTGTGGGTTGCATAAGGGCTATTAGCTTGGCAATCATTAGGCCATATCAGTTCAGGAAAATTTTGCAAATTATGCTTATTTTTCATGGCACACGACATGTTTAAGTGAGACGCTGGTGACATGTTTTATTCAAGTAAAAGTGTACAAGTTTCATTTGGTATGCAAAGTATGATTTTGTATCAAAAATTAAAAAAGTTGCGTTTTTTTGGCCCACCCTGTATATATAATATTACATAACAATGTGTGCAAGGCATTTTCAATATTTCTTTGTTACACCTTGGTACATACTTAGCAAAATATCCGAGAAAAGCATACAGAAACTTGAAAAAATGTATTTTTAGATGAGCAATAATTTAAAAAGATGTTGGTGACCTATATCTTGATGACTTTCGCAAAAATTAAAAACAATACTGCAGTTGAGTTTTGAGACAGGATCTTACACCCTGAACATTCATCTCAGTGGAGTTTTTTGAAGCGAAAGTAGGCTCTTTAATTCATATATAGATTCAATTGAAGGTGACTTATTCTGACTAAGTAATCAGACGGAACAAAATAATCAGACGGAACAAAGATTGAACATGGGAGACAATTTATTGTTTTGAATATTTGATTATCTAAAAACGAATGGAACTAAAAAATATAACTAGTGTAATATGAATTTTAGATTAAAAAGTGACGGGCCTCCCTGTCCACTCTTTGTGGAGTTTTTAACCACACTGTTTTTTTTAATCGAAAGCTAAATCTTTCCCTGAAATGGTCCGACCAGTGATCTTATCGGTGTCATGAGATTGTAAAAATTTCATTTTCTTTTTCGTTGACAATATTGTTTGTTATAAGCACATTTTTTGGCCCATTGTAAATGACAAATTGTTCCCATCGTTTCTTCCTAGGAAAATAATAGGTAGATTTGAGGATGAATGAAGTTTGAGATCTGACGGACTGTCAAACAAAACACTCGATATTACATGTATCTTGATTGGGTTTTATTCAAAAATCGTTTTGTTGTCTAAATCAATTATTCCATGACATTTAAAATCATTATATCAATATTTTAATGCAGCGGTTCCAGTAATCGAAGGTACATCACTAGTTTCGAAGTTGATCTTATCTGATCATCTTATGATATATTATTATCTATTATGTGTAAATATCTTATTTAGAAAGAAAACTTAAAAACATGTCGAATGTTAACAATAATTATAATCTGCTTATCACTGTGCGGTTGCTACTACCATGCCATGTATCAAACGGTATAGCATCAGTTTATCTCGCTTTCACAGCATTTGGTTGTTCAACTAAATGGATGTAAAATGGTACTAATGGTTATTCAAATCCTGATTGTTAATATTTTTATCTTGAAATCCTCCCTCTCTCTGTGAAGCTTTATCTATTCTATTTTATGGATTTGATAAGATTATTAGTTGATTTAATAATTAGTTGTTGCATTAGAAAAGTATATATATTTTTACAACAAACGATTAGTTTTAAAGCCTTTTATCATTGTATAGATATCTATCGAAGCAACTATTACTAGATGAGCTAAAACGTTCTCTTCGTTAAGATTATTTGATATGAATATAAAACGTACAAATGCAGTGATAACATCGGATCATTTACCGAAGTATAGGAAATTTACCACCATCATTGGTAATAGCTAGTAGAAGTGTCAGGGACCACTGTCAGATTACTTCATCTCTTAATTACTTATTTTTCCATCCTTTCCATTTTCCTTACTTGCTTCCTTATTTTCAGATTTGATTTCTCCCGTCCTTATTCTCTTACTTAAATATTTACTTCCGAACTTACTTCCTCTCCTCTTTCCTTACTACGGCCATGCCATCTTTCATTTGATGTAAAATCGAAATCTTCGCTTCAGGTGCATCAACAAAAAATTATATAGTAATGTTTGACTAATTTTCAATAGGTTGTAAACAGAAATACAATTAAGATTTTTCATCATAACACTAACATATGGAGCAAACTGCTTGAAGTCGACAATAAGTTGCACTAGTTGCAGAGGAAATATTTGCAATGTTGGCCTAGAATAATACATTGATTGTTAATACGTAATTTTTGTAAGATAATTGGTGAAACTCATTTCTTCAATAACAGTCAGAATGATCATGTCAGTTCTTGTTAAATATACATGTTTGTAATACATTGCTGCAGTATTAAAGAACAGAGATGTGACTTTTTTACCCGTTTTGTCCCTTCTCTCAGGTGATAGAAAGAATTAGGACTATTCTTGCGTTTCAGCGGATATTTGCTCGCGATTTCTAATTCATGCAGAGCTTTGGGATCAAAACCGTGTCATAAGTCTTGTTTTGATTCTGTAATGTATTGATTTTGTCCACATACATATTTTTTAAGTTATAGCCTCGTATATTTTGATTAAAAAGAGAGATATGTGAAGAACTCGAAATGAGTGACCACCAGTGAAAATAGAAATATTTTTAATTCAAGGAAAATGCTTACATCTATTCATTATTCAAAGCTTAACGTACATGTAAATTCTATGATGTGTATAACTATATACCACGTGGCGATACCAACACGAGAGTCGCATGTCATGTAGCCAATAGACAAATAAATTCGTCCAATCAAGGGGACACGCAGAATTTAGTAATCTTCGATTTATGAAGAGTTGTAAGCATTTTCCTAAATTCAAAATATTTCTATTTTGGCGCATCAATGTCGCTGGTGCGTGGTCACTCATTTCGAGTTCTTGGCTTCAGACTCTCACATTTCGCATCATATCCTACAATATATCCTATTAGCCTTTACGCGGCTCTGACAAGAAATATGTATATGGACAAACTTATAGATTACAGAATCAGAACCACTCGCTAATAAGGACAAAGTTTGGGTGATAACGAAAAACAAATTTATTTGAAAACGTATTTGTTTATGTGTAATATAATCAAATTGGGTTGTTTCTTGAGAAATGCATCGCCTATACTTCGTTTGTCTGTTCCTCTGTATATAGCTCGCATATTTTCCTTGCTACAGTTCCCGTGATGGCCTTTACGTCCTCAAAACTAACACTCCAACCAGGCCCCGTGCCGTTACGCATATCGAACACAAAGTGGCTCGCTGTTTTTTGCCACTCATCGATTCCAACAACTTCTCTGTAATTTGGAAGTCCAATGACTTCAATATCAATACCTTGGTCGCGGAGTTTCTTTGCAATTTGAATAGTAGGGCGGGAGTTGATAGACAAGGCGTTAGTTTCCCACGTGTTTCCATCAGTAGCTAAAATAGCTACCTTAGGTATATCAGGCCTTGTGACATATGGGGCTAAACATTTTGATGCAACATTTGCGAGTGCATCATCAGTCTCTGTAAATGTATTGTGCTCATCTGGAACTGTGTCAATAGCATCACGAACGCATGCATTGTCCTTGCATTTAGTGCCAAGGGAATGTTGATAGACGTCTTGGTTGTAGCTACTCACGCCAATCATAGCGCTGGTGAACCTTTTGTTTGATTTATCATATGTAACGATGAAAGAATCAGCCAAGTCTTTGAAAAATTCCTTCGTTAACTTTATATTCTTTACTTCAATACTGTCACTGCGGTCCATCACGAGGCAAATGTCAATTTTTTCAGTACATCTATCTGTTGAATACAATTAATATTATATTTACCAAACTCTTTGATTTAACGTGATCAAAAAATGAATCGAAATTAATCAGCTTCATAATATACTCACAATCACAGGGGCTGAGTAAAACCAATTCATCGAAGAAGTAATGTCCAACATCTTCCAAATCCGTGCGATTGCCTACCTCAATTTTCCATCTCATTCTGGAAACCAGGTCATCCAAAAGAGGAATAGGCTCCAGTTTACCGTCTTTGGGAACATGTATGACAAAAGTTGTTATATTCGCCAAGTTATTAAGTTTTCCCATTTCTTTCGTGAGGTCAGCCATTTCTTCACGGTTCTGAAAATATCAACCAACTTTTGATTGTTGCGGAAAAACAAGTGCAGTTATTTCTAATGCAGGCAAAAGGTCTCTGTAAGAATCCCCTAAATTCGAAACAAAAAATGTCCACTCACATTCTTGCTATCAAAAGGCACTCCGTCTGTCATGAGAATCAACACCCTCTTTCGCTCTCTTCCAGTTTCTGTGTCATATCTTGATACGCTGCCAAGTAAGTCCTCGTCAGTTCGCACTAATTCTAAGGCTTTCCATGTGTGCGTCTTACATCCTTCATGAGCGTCTTTTATATTGATTTTAAGGTCTGCCAACAATCCCAGAATTTCATCTGCATTTCCGAAATTATTGGATACGCCAAATCGTTTTCTCGCCCCCATGTCAAATAACACAAGACCAAACTGCAAAAAGAAAGATTAAGGTGCAAATTAGTGATTTTTTCATAGTTTGCATTTAGAGTTATTACACCCGTTGAATTGAAGATTCCATAGTTATTGTAGACCACAATATAGTTATGAGTGTTGATTGGAACGGTTCAGTACAATTTGGATCGATGGTTCATTGTTCTGGTCATTTTTGGAAGCGTGTCCCAAGATTTAAAGGGAAACATATTCTTGGTTATTTTGTTGTATGGGAACAATTGAGAGAAAATGTGGGGGGCTGTATTTAATGGAACTTTTACACTTATTTTATCTTATGAAATCTTGACTCATTTCTTACTAAAATAAATCACACAAACACACACACTTACCCTTGTGATCTTTTCGTTTACTTTCGTCCCACTCACTACATTTTCCACAATTGTCACCATCTTCTTTTTATCCTTGGTTTTGACACTGCACGAAATGTCAATAGCAAAAACGATATCTGCGCATATATCTGGAAGAGGAATAAATCGTGTTGACTCATTTTTGAAAGCAAGACTTTTTGCGCACCAATTTACTTTTAAAGACTCGGCTCATTGTTCTTGCAAACCTGAAACACTAAAACATTTATTTTTCAAGTGTCCTTTATTCCAAATTAAGGCATGCCCTGATGGAAGAGGTCAACAATAACTTTTATAATAAGATCAGCCAACTAACAAACATAGGTGATAAACTTAATTTTCTCTTATATGGTGACGAGACATTATCCTTAGCAGAGCTAAGTAAACTTCTTATCATCGTCAGCAATTTTCTCAGTACAACAAGATCTAGCAAAGAGGTCTCATCTAAGCCCAGGAGAACCCAAAATATATTCATTTTGTTTTTAACACATCTACTTGGCACCAACCCCTCTGGTCCCAGGGATACCCTTCGATGCACAGTCGTCCCCAAACAGCAAAATATTATACTTAATTTTTTACATGTAAGTGATGGCCAACCTATAATGACTTTACTTCAATCAAGTTTATAGTATAAAACAAGAACACAAATGTGTACAATATGCCCCCACCTATGGGTGATCCCGTCAAATGGTTATCCTAAAAATGAGTAGACAAGACTTTACCAACATAATTTGAGGACGGAGAATCCAAAATGGCCAGCTTAAAATTTACCAAGAATGCCCAAAAATTAGTCAGTTCTACATTTTCATACTAAGAACCACCCCTGAAAATTTGAAATTGATCCGTCACACAGTTAACCAGAAAACATGTAAACAAGACTTTACAGACAAGATTTGAGGACAGAAAATCAAAAATGGCTGCCTTGACATTTATCCAGAATGCCAAAAACTAATCTGTTCTAGATTTTCATACTAAGAATCATCCCTGAAAATTTGAAATTGATATACCAAACAGTTCACCTGGAAATGTGTAGACAAGACTTTACAGACGAGATTTTAGGACAGAAAATCCAAAATGGCTGCCTTGACATTTACCCAGAATGCCAAAAAACAAATCAGTTCTAGATTTTCATACTAAGAATGATCCCTGAAAATTTGAAATTGATCTACCAAATGGTTCACCTAAAAACGCGTAGACAAGACTTTACGGTCAAGATTTTAAGACGGAAAATCCAAAATGGCTGCCTTGACATTTATCCAGAATGCCAAAAAAAACTAATCAGATCTAGATTTTCATACTGAGAATCATCCCTGAAAATTTGAAATTGATCTACCAAATTGTTCACCTGAAAATGCGTAGACAAGACTTTACAGACAAGATTTTAGGACGGAAAATCCAAAATGGCTGCCTTGACATTTACCCAGAATGCCCAAAACCTAATCAGATCTAGATTCTCATACTAAGAATCATCCCTGAAAATTTGAAATTGATCTACCAAACGGTTCACCTGAAAACGCGTAGACAAGACTTTACAGACAAGATTTTAGGACGGAAAAATCCAAAATGGCCGACAATAAAAAAGTGATTATGAGTTTTTGCTGAAATCTTTTTACAAAATTATCACATATAATTACTGTTAACAATAACATAGGCTTTTACAACAAAGTACACCTGAAATTATTTATAAAGCTACTAAAAAGTTAAAGTATGAAAACTGAAAAACACCATTCAATATGATACAAAGTATTATCGTGCGCTAACTTTCCTTAAAACATTCAAAATGGCTCACATGACTGAGCTAACAGGTCTAAAACCTAATCAGATTTATAATGAAGTGAGCTGAACAAGATGTTAAAGTTTTAAAAGCAACTGTGAAGCCGTTTTTCTTAAAGTTTGCAGACAAGGATTTTAGCATTTGACTTCAAAATGGCCGACAGGAAGTAGGTATCGAGTTAGTTTTTTTTTCATCCACATCTGTATGCACTCATAAGTTATCCCTGAAAATTTGAAGGTGATATCTGTAGCGGTTTTGGAGAAAACTGTCGGACGTACGGACGGACAGACGGACAGACAGACGGACAGACGGAAGCGCCTAGGCCGACAATATGGCCCCACACTATGTGGTGGGGACATAAAAACTATCCTTAACGTCTCTTCTACATTTACGACTTACATTTTTGCTCTTCTATTTTATCGCTCAAACCGAACAGTCTGTCATAGTCAAAGATTTCAACATCACCATACACTACCACCATGTGAGCAAGCAGGGAAAGTAGTAACCACACAATCTTCATCGTGAAATTCTGAAATAAATCGTCCTCGGAATAAAAACTCAGTAAGACTATTGAATAACCATCACTGAAACGCCTTATTATTACCACCGTGCAGGGCCTGTTCTAGGGGTTTTAGTACTGGTTGAGAAGGCATTTAAATTGCTATATTGACGTGAGCAATATTGTGTCGGGCGTTAATGACTTTTAGTCGGGCAATAATGACATCATCCGCCCGGCTATGTTTCCCGGGGAAAGTGATATCGTTCAGTGCGTAAGATTTTCTATTTCAAATTTGCTATTTCAGCCCTGGGCATTAACGGTGGTAATAACAGTAATAACGTCATTTCCGCGGGCAAAATAGTGAAACATTGGACCTTGGGCCTGCGGCCCTTGGTCCAATATTTCACTATATAGCCCTTTGAAATGACGTTATTGTACTATTACTCACAGAATGTATCCCAAATGAAATGTGCTGATCCCTAGCTTTACGCATTCTTAAATGTGGCGCAAAATGCAATCCTTTTATTGTAAAATGGTTTTCTCAGTGATGCTGAAATAGACTGACTTTTCAATTGTATAAAATAGAGTTCCGTGTTCAGTTAGTGAAACAGTGAAGTTCCAATGGTAACATGATATATCCACTGTGACACTGGCACTGTATGTGATTCACATATTAGTAGTTTGACCCTTATTGATAATAGGCAACCTGTCCCATCAATCGGCTTTGAAATAATCGTTTCTTTCAATGCTTAAAACATCGCCATGTAGTGTATCCCAATTGACCCCTTGTTATACAATCACAAAAAGAGAACTGTTTTCTCTTGTGTTGGACGGAAAATATTTTGTTTAACCGGACATCTTTTAATTGTGTAACTATCAGATACATAAGATTGATATGAAAACTGAACCACTTAAAATGACGAATATTCAAGTTTAAGATAACTTCCTAATATCCTCAATGTTATCTGCCCCGAATTAGCAACCTGGTGGTGAAACTGGTAACGTCGTACTTGCAGCTGGGTAATACTTTATTAAAGGATTTAAGCCAAGACTCGATGCATTGTTTGCTGAATCATACCACGAAGGAGTTGTTTCCAAACCTTTACGTGACCGCGCAGCGGGAATGCAAAGTTTAGGAAACAACGCCTGAGTGGAATGAAGCAGCTACAATGCATTAAATCTTGGGCTTAAATTCTTTTCACACAAAATTGTTTTCTATAAAATCATCCAAAAGGAACGAAATCACTAAAAGAACAATTTTCAATTTCCAATAACGAATGATACAAGTATATAATTCTCCATTCCTTAACTGAGCCTGGCCATAAGAAAACCGGTCTTATCAAAAAAAGAAAATTGTGCTACAGGGCCAAAAATGTGCCCAAGATTTAGAGGAAAATGTGCTAAATTCAAATCCGACTTTTTGGTCTATAAGTTGATTCTTTGTTTTGCGTCCTGGCAAAATCCAAATCATGCAAGGGTACAAGGAAAACAAACACAAACTCAAGAAAAAACACAAACTTGTTTGCTTAAGAAATTAATACATTTCATGGGCATAAAAAGGGATGACATTCATACATACTAGTACATCGCATAACTATACATTATATACAATATATTTAATCATAGCTATGATTCAAAGGTAACCAAAATAAGAAAATGCACAATGTATGCCAAAGTAATCAATAACACTATCAATTTTTACCCACATCAAATTGTCCATCATTTCTGATTCCGCCTGAACGAAATGCGATAGTACTTCCATACCCTCGTCATTGCTATTTGGATGTGTTTGTTTTTTCTGATTTCCTCAAAATCGTGCAAGCAAGGGGACGCAAAACAAAGAATTTACTTCTTATGGCCTAAATATACTGACCGTGAAATAACGTCTTATTGGTTTTTTTTCTAATTAATAATTGATTATTTAATGCAACGTAAAGTTGAATAAATCTATTTTATCTAATTATTAAAAGTTCTTACCTTTGGGTGTAGTTCAATCTCCAAATGAAATTCCTGGAACGGAATTTTATTTTATAACGTTATCTTCTGAATATAATTACTTTGCAATTTCAGCATTTGATGTTGAAATATATGTATCTTTTGATCTCAATTGTATTTTATACTTGCGGATATAATAATGTCTCTCATAAAATCTGTATTTGTATCTTTATGTAATTAAATGTCCTAGATGGAAGCTACACGTAGACATAACATGTGTGTTTCCTTTGTGTTAAGAAAAAACATTTTACGATATAAAACTTATAAATTTAACATTCTTTCTGATGCATGGTTAGAGCATAAAATGTAAACACATATTCATGACGTCATTTCAGGAACAAAAAACAATACAATGGACCTGAAGCCTTATTCATAAAGCCAACGTATGACTTACGTCAACGTATCGTATTGCGGAAACTTATTTTGGTATTCATAAAACAAACGTAACTTTACGATAAACGTAAAAGTCCTAGTAGATCTTAAATTTCCGCATGTGCTTATGAATACGACGGATAGGTGTTTTTACATCCAACGTACAATTGAGTAACGGAAATATTTACGTTGGCTTTATGAATAAGGCTTTTTGATGTTATCAACAGCAAGTTTACTCCATTTACCCATAACTAATACCAGTAACCTAAAGTATTGTAATTAAGTCATTTGTTGTCGTAATGTATTATTTATAAAAACTGATAGCCCGCTGCCAGTTACTCACCTTTGGATAATATGTTAAAAAGACAATAAAAAAAGATATTATCTTCATTCAATTTGAGCTAAGCATTAACGAGAATTCAACATCAGTGTTGTATATTTCGTCAGTGTTGTATATTTTGTGAATTCACATTAAAAATGAGTTTTTACTTTTAATATACATCATTTTGATGGATTTTATAAGTTACAACCAGTATAGGCATTGGCAATGTATTTTTGGTGTACTTTTGCACAGAATTGGCAACATATACAAAATTGAATTTTTTTATTTTTAATTGTAATTATTAAAACGAAGTTGGTGACCTATAACTGTGTGTAGATATTAAAAAATACTGCCGTTCAGTTTTAGATATACTGGGGAGGTTGAGTTACACGTTTTTAAAGATTTGTGCGTGAACGTGTAGAACTATGGTCCTCTATGTATTAGTTCTCCCATTTGTAGTGTTTACTTGGCCGATTGAGTATAAAGGTGGAAAAACTGTAATTACATCCCTGGGAATGAATTGAGAGCGGGACGGTATTTCAGGGGGTCGTAATATTACACACTCACGTAAAGTTTTTCTTAAAAAACGTGTAAATTAACCTCCCCAATACAGCCTCCCAATACCCTTTACATCGTTTTTTCCCAGTAAACTGATACACGGTGTGATATACTGTATAGAATGAGAAATTTGAAGGTTTGAGATCCGACTGACTGTCAATCATCTGCTGGTCAGTTTTGATTTCAGAAAACAGTTGGTATTTTATTGATGGGTTTTATTTTGTTGTTTAATTGTTTTTTGAAATTAAATTCATTCGTTTTCAATATTTTTGCAGTGGTTCAAGTCATGGAAAGTAAATTGGGAGTTTCGAAGTTGATCTCCTGTTGAAGATATAAGTTGCAATTGATTCTTACGATCTTGAAGAGAGGATATCACATATTTATTGATAAGCATAAAGAATTATCCCAAACTACATGTTTCTATGAAGTTGATTGATTTTGCATTTATTTACTCCTCGTCGCATATTGAGCATATATCATTTACATTTGAATACTGATCGCATATTTTTCTTGCAACAGTTCCCGTGATGGCCTTGAGGTCTTCGAAATCAACGCTCCAACCAGGCCCCGTGCCGTTGCGCAAATCAAATACGAAGTGACTTGCCGTATTCTGCCATTCTTCGATGCCAACTCGTTCCTCGTAATTGGGAAGTCCAATAAGTTCAGTATCAATCCCTTTTTCTCGGAGTAGGTTAGCCATTTCAATAGTAGGCCGAGAGTTAATTGATAGTGCTCCTTTCTCCCAAGTGTTCCCGTCAGTAGCTAAAATAACAACCTTTGGTACACCCCTTCCCCTCGTGCTACTTGCAGCTAAACAAGTCCATAAAACATTTTCGAGAGCATCATCAGTTTCAGTAAATTCCTTGTGTTCATCTGGGATGCCGCCAATGACATCCCAAACGCATTTGTTATCTTTGCAATCAGGTCCCGATGAATGTTGATATGCTAATTCATTGTAGCTGCTCACACCAATCATAGCCTGTGTGAATTCCTTGCTGTTTTCATCGAACTCAACCAAGAATGAGTTTCCCAAATCTTGGAAGAATTCTTTTGCTTTCTTGATATCCTTGATCCTGATACTATTACTGCGATCCAATACAAAGCAAAGGTCAATCTCAGCTGTACATCTATCTGGAATTAAAATCAACAAACATTATACATTGACGGTATTTGGAAAACTGTAAATTTGCTTAGACAGGTACATTGGAATAGTCATTAAGTTAAAGAGCATCGACTGATTAACTTTGGCCGCATCGCTTGGTGAGATCGCAACCAGAGACCTCGTTGGCCGCGCTTAGCAACAGTGAACATATATGCGACGGATGACCAGTAGTCACATTAGTAATTACTTGTACTGTACGTGTATGTATTCCTAATAGACAATTGGGCCTATAACAAAACTGAAGATATCATTATTGAGATATATTAATAAAAAATCACTGGCAATCACCTCAAAAATGTAATGTCTTCAAATATGAGAAAATAAATTTAGTAAAAAAGTCCACTCACAATCACAGGGACTCATTAACACCAACTGATGGAAGAAAAATGAGCCCACATCTTCCAAGTTTGTGCCTTTGCCGACTTCATACTTCCACCTCAGTTTTGTAACAAGATCGTCCAAAAGTGCAATAGGTTTCAGAACACCCTTTCTTGGAACGTGTACCACCATGGTTGTTATATTCGCCAAGTCATTGAGTCGACCCATTTCTATGGTACGTCGCCCCATTTTCAGCTTACTCTAAATGTGGACACATTCAAAACGTAACAGAATTAAGGAAAGGTAAGAACATTATGATAACTAAGATGCACATCACATATTTAATATGGGGTTTGAGCCTCCTGATGAACAGAACGCGAATCCAGCAATGCAATGTAGCAAATAATTAAATTTTATGCTGTGGCATTTCGAACATAGTGTAATGAATAAGAATATGCTAGTATTAACATCAATCGTCGACAAAGTTGTTTGGATTAATCACCAGTTACCTTTTTTGATTTAAATGGTTCTCCATCTGTCATTAGAACGAGCACCCGCTTTCGTTCTTTCCCAGTCAGGCTATCATACCGTGACATATTGCCTAGTAAATCCTCGTCATTCCGCACCAATTCCAATGCCTCCCATGTATATGTCGCCCTGCAACCCTCGTGCGCTGTTTCAACATTAGCTTTCAACTCTGCCAATTTTTCGAGAATCTCCTCTGTGGTCTCAAAATCATTGAGGCCAAAGTATTTCCTTGCTCCAAGGTCAAATAGTACAAGACCAAACTGAATTAAAAGGACGACAAATATGTTTATGATTATAAACATTATACCCCATATTTGGATATTAATGTTTTGCGGCACTTAAGTGCACATTGTTTATTTTTTCTACAGAATAGTTAATATAACTCAATAGGCTACCCTTGTAATCTTTTCGTTTACTTTGGCTCCTTTCACTACATTTTCAACAATGGTCACCATCTTCTTTTTATCTTTGTCTCTTACACTACATGAAGTGTCTACGGCAAATACGATATCAGCGCAAATATCTGAAATGAAATCAATTTCATTATATGGAACATATTTACTATATCATTAGAATCGGTTTTCGCAAAATGAACAAATGTATAGCTATATGAATAGATCGATATAAAGTCTTTTTAACATTTGACGAAGTAGATTTTCCGAAGACACGACATTAAGATTTGTGTCGTTATTCATCGGACATTCGGGAAATATCAAATGTCGATTGTCTTACGTGCATTCAAGTAAAAGTTTCACTCTAAGTTATTCCTTAGATAGATCAACTGGAAGAAACGCGGAATCGTAGAACTAAAAACGTTATTGTCGAACCATATATGTCAATTATAGCTCGGAGGGGGGGGGGGGGGGGTCGAAGGGATCGAGCGAACCCCCCTTACCCCGGTCAAATATAATTTCAAAATCATTCTCACCACTCTGTACACTTTTGAATTGATTGTGGCCATTTGTGGTCATTATTGTGACCAATATTGTCAAAAGTGAACCCCCACTGAAATCTTTAAAAGAAATGAGCCCCTCCCTCTTGGCAAAAGCTGGCTACGAGCCCGTAGCTTCAAATTCGAATTCCTAATTTCTGTACGTCCACAGAATATAAATTCTACGTACATTTTTGTTCATTGATCTTGTCGCTCAAACCGAACAGCTTATCATAATCCAATATCTCCACGGCATCTCCATATATGGCATAAGACACAACGCACAATATCATCCAGGCAAACATCTAAATGTTATATGTACATTTTTGAAAAAAAAATAATGCTCTAAGATTCCAGTGAAAATGAAAAATATTAAATACGACTAAAAAATCTTTATTAAACAAATGTAAAATCTGCACGTGGGTTGATCTGCTAAATATTCTTAAAAACTATGTGATGAAGCCATATACACTTAGGTTGCCATAATTTATCGATAACAAATCCCAATACATAGAAAGTGGTTGTTAAGAAGAAATTTAATTACAGACCATTGAAATAACAAATACGTAATATTTTAGTAGCTACAGTTGTAAATACAGCCATATAAGGAAAAGTTATTGTATGAGTACCAATATAATATATTCTTACCTTCATTCTTTATGTCGTTCTTCCAAGTAAAATGTGCCTAAACAAAAGAAATATTATATACCACCATTCATAATTAATAGCAATAAAATCCTGTCATAATGATATTGACACGTATATGTCAGTATTATCTTGTTTTAAAACAATGCCTAATCGGATATTAATCATAATAAAATTTTATAGCTGTATACTATCATATTGATATGTTAAATAAATATTTAAATAAACGTTATTATATCTGACCATGTATTTTATTTCTAAAACAAGTATAACAGTCTGACCGGTGGCACTTGTTAAAATGTTAAAAATCTATTTGGGAGTTTCTAAATCTTTATTTGGTATTATAGATGTTAGTAAATGGTAATTGACTCTCCAATCTAACCAGCATTATATTTCAAAATAGCTATTTTGCATAGAATAAGCAGGTGTTAGTGAGGGTAGTTAAAGACCAATAGCTTTACCATGTACACACAAATGCAACTTCATGCAATTAGCCTACATATGCCGTGGTCACATTTGCTCAGTTTTTTACTACGCGCACACGGCGCCCGGCCAATAGAGTATTTTGTTCAAACTTGTATTCCATTTTGGACAAAATACTCATCGGCCGGGCGCCGTTGCTGAAAATCGGAGCAAATGTGACCACGGCAATACGGAACTATATGGAGTCATGTCTACGGTAAATACGCAGGATGAAATCATTTGCATCTCCATAATAAGTCAATGACACCGTTGCTGAAATTGCTCATTTTCTCAGAATTTAAGTCGATCGGGTCTCAACAAGTTCTTAGAATCCATTTTCAATAGTTTCAGAATAGGGGTTCTGAAGCAGGATATTAACGCTTAACATATCTATACAATTTATATTTGCCAAATAATTGCACTTGTTCTTTGTGTTGGAATTTCCCTAAGTACATTTGATATTTATACACGTATTTGTGCGATGCAGCGAATCAATTTGTTTTTAACGCAAGTATAACTCAATTGATTATTTGTACATTCGGTATTTAGCTTATTTATATTCGGTAAATACCGAATGCCACATTCGATAAATTTCGTTATTTAGCTAGACTTTACGAGATTTTAGTCACGTGATATATTTGAACAATGAAGAATAGCTGAGCGGTCATTTTGCAAAACTCGAGGTCACGTGGCAAAATTCGAAAAACAACGAAAGTTATCGAATATTCGGTAAAATGCAAATTAGCTTTCGGTAAAATGCATTAACTATGTTATATACAAAAATAAATTTCGGTAGTATTCAGATAGATATTCAATATTGTGCATATAACGTGTTACTCTTAAGGAATACCATATACACGTCGCACGAAACAGGGGACAATTTATGGCTGGCCATCTGGACCAATGTATCGTCATACTTTTAACGCCGTAAAATCTACTTTTAACGCCGTAAAAACGATTTTATACGCCGTAAAGAATTACTTTTACGCCGTTAAAAACGATTTTTTACGCCGTTAAAATTCATTTTGAACGGCGTCAAAAATAATTTTTAACGCCGTAAAAACGATTGTATACGCCATAAAGAATTACTTTTTACGCCGTTAAAAACGATTTTGACGCCGTCAAAACCGATTTTTACGCCGTTAGAAATTATTTTTTACGCCGTTAAAAATCTTTTTTACGCCGTTAAAAATTATTTTTTACGCCGTTAAAAATTACTTTTTACGCCGTTAAAAATTACTTTTTACGTCGTTAAAAATTATTTTTTACGCCGTCAAAACTGATTTTTTACGCCTTTCGAAATTGCGAACGTACAAAACATTGTTAATCATTTGCGAAAAAATGTTTAAACAATGAAAACTCGATGTTTATCAAATTCCCGAGATTTCCATACAACCAAATGCGTCTGGCAAATAAAAATTCCAATATAAATGATAAATGTGACATGTACAGTGACAGAAAAATAGGGTTTTGGATTTATATCAATCAGTCGGTAAGTCGAACATACACGTTCGTTTGTTCAATGAATACCAGATTGTAACGCTGGTTTTAATTGGCTGCCAGCTATACTTTTTAACGGCGTACAAAATCGTTTTTAACGGCGTAAAAAGTAATTCTTTACGGCGTATAAAATCGTTTTTACGGCGTTAAAAATTATTTTTGACGCCGTTCAAAATGACTTTTTACGCGTACATAATTATTTTTGACGCCGTAAAAAAATCAATTTTGACGGCGTACAAAATCGTTTTTAACGGCGTAAAAAGTAATTCTTTACGGCGTATAAAATCGTTTTTACGGCGTTAAAAGTATGACGATACATTGGTCCAGATGGCCAGCCATAACAATTAGAGTAACATTATGGCGTCAAAATACCAAAACAATACACAATGGCCAGTAAGGGCGCAATCAGCATTATAACGTCAAAAACGACAAGCGTTACATTTTGTCAAGTTTAGTCAACCTAAAAATAAGATGCTTTATTCTTATTCAATCCTGGTGAAATTCACAGAGCAAGAAGATCTCGAGGACAATATTTCTAAAATGTTTTTGATTTTTGAAAAACGGTCAAGAAATCCACTCGGGGCGTTAGTAAAAATTGATATGTATGGGATTTGTGGTAAAAAATCGATGCGTTACATTTTTTCAAGTCTCTAAAAGCAACTCTTATTCTCTGACTTATTATTTGAAAAATAAAGAAATCGGTTATTGTTTTGTAAACTTCGCCATGACAATATTGTGCAGTTAATTTTTTTTTGAAATCAGACCTAAATTAGAAGGTTAAATAAAGGTAAACTTATTGCTTGTCTCCTTCGCCTTCAAAACCTTACACAATTTTGAAAATCTTAAAAGCGTTCATATAAGACGATTTGTACTGTAGCCGCTAGGCAATTGTGACGTCATAAAAGCACATGTTTCAATGAATAAAATGTTAAATTTTAGTAAAATTCTGATCAGTATTTCAAAAGTTATTCCGATTTCAACGAACCGTGTAAGCGTGAAATGTTACGCCTTACAGCGTATCTGACGATGTCGGAGTACATTTAACTTTAAAAATATGGTAGATCCCATCATACTTTTCAAGGAAAAATAATTTCAGTGAAATGCGAATAAAAAATACTTCAAAATGATATATAATACACATAGTTAACTTTTTAAATAAGGCAGATATTAACGCTTAAAGCTGAGATTAGCCCGTATTTCCCGAATTGTCCCCAGGTCCGTGCACGTCATAATAACAATTTATACAAAAACATGGCATTTATCGAATAAAATATGTAAATTAATGCACATAGTATTAAAGTGATTAAATCCATTTTGGATATATATTTTGAGAATTCGATTTGCTGTAACAAATATATAAACATTTTTAACGAATGGAAAATTGATTTAGCGAATATAAATATTCCATATATCGAATGTTTTTGAACGAATAAATAAGCAAAAATAATGCCATAAACTTAGGTCTTTTTGATATTTTTGTTTATTACTAATAATACAATGTGTAACACAGTGTCGATACCGTAACTGTGGATGTGATAACATAAGTTCCCCATACAGTTCACGCGATTACTCACAGTCGAATCAGTACATACTTTAAAGAAGATAATTTTATGTTGGGGTAGTGATCGTTTAAAATCGTGACACTTTTTACGGGGTGTCTTAAGTCACGGAGTATTTTTCTAAATATATTAGAGTTTGAAAACACTTTAATTAATTCATTTCCTAGATGAACAGTTTTCAGCCTCAATAATAACTTAAAGGAAATTAAGGTTTGTGTTAGACTTCATTGGCTGTGGACGTGACACATCGTCGTGATTTTATTAACGGTATTGGAATAAGTTACTAAGTATGAAGATTGCAGTTATGTGCCATTTGATGCTCTACCATTTAGAAAAATCGCCAATTGCGAGCATATCTTTATTTGACCAAGATTAATGAAAAATACAATATATCCAACACAATATGTAACATACACACCCATTAACAAACCAGCATTGTATTATAAGCTAGCGACATCAGTACCAGCTAATGAAAATAAATAATGTAACATAAAACAGTTCTTGCTTTTGTATATTATTATTACATAAGCAAATTATAATGTATTACACGCATTACAATAATTCAAGTTCAACACGATATCAAACATATAGACACTAACAAGCGTATGCATTTTTATTTTTTTGATACTATGTTAGAATGATAACACATTTTCCTTTTCTATAAGTTGAAATATTAGTATAAACATAATAAACGTGGAAAATATAGCGATAGTGTTTGATTAGTCCGTTTCCTATTTAACGTTGAATTATTATCTGATACTCTTATACTTCATTAGCCCCTTCATCTGAATATTGTCCACATATTTTCCTTGCTACAGTTCCCGTGATGGACTTGAGGTCCTCAAAGTTAACACTCCAACCAGGCCCAGTGCCGTTACGCATATCGAACACAAAGTGACTCGCTGTTTGTTTCCATTCTTTGATTCCAACGAGGTCTTGATAATTTGGAAGTCCTATAACTTCAGTGTCAATACCTTGGCTTCGGAGTCGCTTTGCCATTTTAATAGTAGGACGAGAATTGATACGTTTGGCTCCCTCTTCCCACGTATTTCCATCAGTAGCTAGAATGGCCACCCTGGGAATGCCGTGCCCCCTTGTTACATAGGGAGGTAGACATTGTGATGCAACATTCGCGAGTGCATCATCAGTCTCTGTATATGTATTGTGCTCATTTGGAATTGCGGCTATAGCATCACGAATGCATGCATTGTCCTTGCATTTGTATCCTAACGAATGCTGATATACGTCTTGGTTGTAGCTACTTACGCCAATCATAGCGCTGGTAAACTTTTTGTTTGATTTATCATATGTAACAAGGAAAGAATCGGCCAAGTCTTTGAAGAACTCTTTTGTTAACTTAATGTTCTCAACTTCAATACTGTCACTTCGGTCCATCACGAAGCAGAGGTCAATTTTTGCAGTACATCTATCTGTTAAATATAGATAGATAGATAAGTGTAAGTTGTAACGTTATTACATAATAAAGGGAGACCTAATTAACTAAAAAGATGTATAAAGATGTAAAACTATACTCACAATCACATGGGCTTATCTTGACCAACTGATGGAAGAAGAAACTTCCAACATCTTCCAAATCTGTACCGGCGTCTACCTCATACTTCCATCTCAAAGAGGAAACCAGGTCGTCCAAAAGAGGAATAGGCTCCAGAACACCGTTTTTGGGTACATGCACGACAAAAGTTGTTATATTTGCTAAGTCATTAAGTCTACCCATTTCTTTTGTTAGATCAGCCACTTCTATCAGGTTCTGAAAAATATCAACCACCATGTATTTTTCGTGAAAATGAAATGCATATATCGGAAGACATTTCCAATGAAGCAGACAAAGAGCTAGAATTCCGTAAAAGCCTGGGTTCGAAGCAAAAAATGTCCACTCACGTTCTTGCTATCAAATGGCACCCCGTCTGTCATGAGGATCAACACCCTCTTCCTTTCCCTCCCAGTTTCTGTGTCATATCTCGATACGCTGCCAAGTAGGTCCTCGTCAGTTCGCACTAGTTCCAATGCTTTCCACGTGTGCGTCTTACATCCTTTATGTGCTTTCTTTATATTTGTCTTAAGGTCTGCCAGCTGGCTTAGAAGTTCATCTGCGTTGCCATTATTGTTCAGGCCGAATCGTTTCCTTGCCCCTTTGTCAAATAATACAAGGCCAAACTAAAGAAAAGGAAGAGTCTCAATCTTAAAGTTTACAACCTTGGGAGATGAAACTATTATATAATATAATGTTATGTTAAATTACATCAGGTCATATTTCATTATATTATTATATTATATTATATGTATTACATTATAGTATAAATACATTATATTTGATGTTGTTATATATTACAATAAATATATTAAATCTTAATATAAACGTAGTTTTGCCCATGCAGACATAGACTTTTTAGAGTATACATGTACGTGGCAACCTCATTTGAAGAAGGCGTCTGCAGTAAGGTGGATGATATGAAGAGGAGCACTGACGAGGTATGTAATCATATGATATGTAGAGGTATCATGAATGCTCGAAGAAGTACGTACAGTAAATACATCTGAAGCTGATTGTTAATATTTGAAAAGTTACTGAGGGTGTTACTGAGGATGTTACAGATGCCTACAGAATCATACAATACGTGTAGGTATAGCAAAAAGGATTTGCCAACCAAGTAAACAGAAGTAAATGTCATGGAGATGCTGAATAACCTGTCAATTATGCTAAGGTTATCCACAACTTACTCGTGTTATCTTTTCATTTACTTTCGTCCCTTTCACTATATTCTCCACAATTGTCACCATCTTCTTTTTATCCCTGTTTTTGACACTGCACGAAATGTCAATAGCAAACACAATATCTGCACACATATCTAGAAGAATGAAAATATTTTTTATTCATCATTTCAGTCACAATAATGTATGTATAATGTATTGTATTGTTTTGTATTTTGTTTATCACCTTTAATAGGAGATGAAAGATTAGGTATATAGCTCTATCACATACAAGATGTTCAAAATATTGAATTGTTTTCCATATTGTTCTTATTTATAGTTTAGTACTACACTCGTACACTTATGGTAGTCGATTGTAGAAGTCAACTTTGATTTATTCTTAATTATACTTTATTTATATTAATCTGAGCTCAATACCATTTAATCATAATTTTAATAAAACCCCCACTAACTATTTCTTACTCCAACTTTTAATGTTCGTGCGTTTTCTGGACACATAGTTTTGATTGCATTCATGTTCATGTATATTTGCATCTATATTTGCATAGTCAATCAGTCAATAAGGATGTAGAAATAAATATATTTTATTAACTTATTCTACTACGTACCTACTACTATTACTGTATTATTCATGATCATGGTGTCAATGATTGTTATCAACTGACATAATATCACGCTTTGAGTGGTAATGAAGAGTTATTTTCTTTGTGTTATTACGACTACTCATAAGATGAACTGATAAATACAAAATACTATATATGTTAATTTTTGTATGTAAATTATGCGGTATCTAACTGTTTATAAAAGCCAATGTTTAATTCATTCATGATATACACACATTTGCATTACATAGGCTATTTCAGTTATTAGAATTAAAGATTACATCAACAATTATCCAGAACTCGTTTAATGATGGCCATTCATGATCAAGGGCGCCATTTGGTACTGTTATTGTACAGGCTGTGTCACTTAGTTCTTTTTCAATATACAAAGCTCATTGTATTAAAAGTCAATTTTACTTACATTTTTGCTCTTCCGTTTTATTGCTCAAACCAAAAAGTCTGTCATAGTCAAAGATTTCAACATCACCATGCACTGTCACCATGTGAGCAATAAGAGAAAGTAATGCGAACACAATCTTCATTTTGAAGTTAGATCCTGAAAAATCGGTTAAAAAAAATAATTGTATAAGATATCCAATGTCATCAATGTGATTCTAATGAATTAAAAATCGCAATATTTATTTTTCTTCAAATGCTCAAGGGAGTATTGTGGGAATGTTCCAATAGGCTTAATCTTTCGGAAATTTCTTCATCCGTAGGTACATCCATTTTTAAAGGGGTTCCCCTTCAGCCATCTTGAAAAGAGGGGCGATGGTTCGAAATGTGAAATGAAAATTTCCTTGTTCTGGCGATTAACTTATACGATTGGGGATTCAACTGCATAAAACGAATCCTAAAATACTCAGGAATGTACTAGGGTCCTGGCACGGGATATTTCAAGTTATACATAAAACAAAAATTAGAGAAGGCGAGTGAGTTAGTGCCAGTAAGCTTAAATGTCAACAGTAAATCAGGAAGAAATGAATTAACTAGAAACTAGAAACGAATTCAACAAACTTTTTTTTAATTCAGAATCCTTTTTCAAAAGAAAGGAAAGTTTGAAAAATTCGAGATTCAATTTTTTTTCTTGTCCATTCTATATTGATACGACATCAGATAGTAACTGCACAGATCTGTGAAATGAATCGCTCTAACTGGTCAGTTCTTGTGCTGGAACTGACATTGTCCCCATTGATCATCTCCATAGCGATAAAGAAAATATTGGTACGGAGGGGACAATCTCGGTAGCAATACAGAGAATACAGAATATTTCCTGGGGATTATCTCCTAAGTAAAATTTATCGGCTTAAGATCACACGAGTGCAATACAGGATAATTGTGCTTGACGACTGGCGACGTATCAATATAAATGATATGAAAAGAATCCAGAGATTGATTCATATCACTAGTGGGTGGTACAATGCATAAAAAGTACGTATCGTAAGTATATTCAGATAATCCAAAGTTTTCTTTATATGATTTACCATTACGAGCATAGCGATTCTTACTATAGCATCAGTAATTAAAAAGATAATACATTATCGAGAAAATGATACATAGATGAATCGTTAATAGTTAGATTAAATATGATAAACAATTCTTAATTAAATATCAGAAAATATGAAACAGTTCACGGGTTCTTACCTTTCCAGTGAGTTCCAAAAGTCAAAGTGAAGTTTGTTAAGGGGATTTTGTTTTATAACGCTATTTTCAGACTTGCATAATTAATCAAAGCATTTTTAATTTGTATGTGGTGAGTATGTATCTAATGATCTTATTGTATTTTCTCCAGACGGAAATTAAGAATGTCTGAATTATTTGATGTTATCGTTTCTGCATAATATGTAAAATCATGGGGATATCGAACAATGGGTATTATCATAATGAGAATTACTATCATCTTATAGTAGTAGGCCTACACAGAAACACAGCCTAGGCCTCTTGTGGTAAAATCATAAAATATCAGTACGTTATCATGACAATAGAGAGATTTCGCAACTCACTTATAGCATGTTTACAAGGTGTTCCAAAAGTAACAGGACTGGTGCTGGTTTTTGTAGCGTATAACTTACGAAGCGTTTGATCATACGTCATCGTTTATTGCTCAGCTCTATACGTCCATAAGTGTGATATTCTTATACATCGTCGTCTATTAAGTTAGTTGTGAGTTTCATCCGGTGTTTTCATGAACATCTGAATATTATCCAATCGGGCCTTCAACTAAGTGGGCCCTAAACAGTTGGAATTTCATTACTGTTTCTCCTGTTTGTAATGATATACAACGTAAAAGTCACAATATATGAGACTTAAAGCTTGCAAAAAAATCGAAACGGCAACCTATACGTATAGATCGCTCATATATAAATGCATTGTGTAGTTTTCTCACTGAAATAATCGTTTAGTTACAGTGTTAACTTAGAATACACCGCAGCGTGTAATATGCCATTGATAATTAATAAATTATATACTACCTGGTTTTCTATGATACATATTTTAAACAGGCTAATTTCGTAAGATATTTGGAGCTTAGGCATGTATGACATACATCATTTTTTCAAAAGTGCATCGAAATCAAAATGGTCACCATAGTATACAATAGACGTGGGTAAAATAATTCCCGTTGACACCAACGTGAAATTGCAAATTTCCCGTTCTAAATACGAAACTCTGAAGCTGAACGGGTATCTAAAGTAGGCTAATTAGCGCTTGTTTTGTATGCGAGTTATACACAAATTACATTGCACGCTCTCTATTATAACGAGTATTCGTCGTTCGAAACAGATCTGTTGATTAGACACCTGTAGTTTCTATACTATTAGCGATTACAATGGGAAAACATATAATTAACGATGAACTTATCTTTTATCCCACCCTTGGTTAATTTTATAATTAAAGTCAGTGTACCCTAATTAATGAGATACCTGAGGTTTTTTATCTCTACACGTCATTAAACAATTTATCATGCCATGGAAACAGTTTCTGTAAATGGATTCTTTCAACAACATATTTTTTGTTGTCACTCCGATTATCTTTATTTCAATTTTAATCCTTTTATATCAATTTGATTTCCCATTTTAGCACAGGTATTAATCATAGGCCTAAGTTTAGAATTGCAAGGAATGCTTCGACTATCAGCAATAGTTGAGTTATTCACAAACGCTTTAAATAAATGCAATCATTTTCAATGCAAATAACATGGCCTGCAACCTTAAATTACAAAATCCATTTTCCACAATCTTCGAAATGCACAAATAGCTAAATCTGATTCTTTCTTTGACTTCAATACAAAATTTACTGTGTAGTTGTCTAGATCTATTTTGTTTCGTCTTACTGTGTTCCAAGAAATTTGATGTACAAAGTATTAATGTAAATGCATTATGTGGTTGAGCCTAAAATAATGAGAGAACTGCCTGTGATCTGTGATGGCTGACACTAAAGTGAAGTGCATATCTGTATTGCAGACAAATTAAAGAGGGACTTAGTAATCAAAAACATATGTGACAACATGAATACTCACGCCATTTTAAAGAACTTTCAAACTAAAAAACACATAAAATGAGATTATAAGCGATGAGTTGTCTATGACGGCTCTAGCTCTATATTGTGCTATCACGCATTATCAGATCACCAAATAGAGGAGTTTCTAAATGATTTTGAAATCTCGCTAATTCTCGTTTTTTCATGAGATTTTAAGAGATTTGCACATTTTATCTCTAATGACTTACTTTTCTTTCTTTTTGATAGCATATTTCAATTCAGTGATATGTTTCCTACAATGATGGCTTTGATTTACACATTTATGTCATTTAAATCATTCTCCATGACATTTTAAAAAAACTTGGGCCAAATCTCCATTAATGTTATGCTAAAATTCTTTAAAACCATGGTTTAATCGTATGACAACCAACATTTTCATGTTTAATCACAATATGTTCATTGACAGGGTCATTTAATAGTATGCCATTCAAATTTCAGACAGATTTAACTAACACTCTTTGATAAATCATGAAATTAAGTCACTATTGCAAGCTTTTAGCATAGAACTCAATGGAAGGTTGGCCCAAGATGAACAAAGGTGACATCTATTATGTCAGCTTTATTCTGCTTTATTTAGCTATTTAGAAACTATACTATTGAAGAAATAAATCAATTTTTAACAAATTTTTGTTTTGTCAATTATTTTATATTTTCAATTTAAATGGCCATATATAATAGCAAATTAAGTGTCCCGAGAGTAGTACTCGAGTGTATGATTAGTATTGTTTATGGGATCTTTTGGCTTTTGGATATAAATATAAATATAGTAAATATTTTCTTTTTACAAGTTAAATTGTGTCATATTATAAGCGTTTGGATATATTTTATAATTTACTTAATTTTACTCATTTACTCAATTTTATTCAAAAATAAACTCTAAAATGACAGGGATCGGGGAAAAATTACACCCCTGCTTGAGCCGAGTATATTTGTAAACTTATTGTATTCGACTCCTTTGTTCCACAAGTGACAAAACAAGTGACAAAATCTTGATACGTCCAAGAAAGCTAAATGAGTTGCATTCCCCTTTCATTTATGGAGTCAAAAAATACCTTTCAAAAAACTGAAAATATTATATTCAATGCGTCTCTTTTCCCCTGAAACCACCTTGGAGATCGCCACCTTTATTTGCAATCTCAAAATACTTTTTGATAGACTTTTCAATAAGGGAGACATTCAATTTATACACATTTAAATTTATGGTAATACTTGTGAAGTCCACTCATCAGAAAAAGGCTCGGTATGAGTAAAATATCCAAACATGTTATAAAGCGCACCAGATATCGCATTCCCTCCATGTTTTAAAGATTTTTTTCAGGTTCATCAGAAACCAAACATTCAAACAAAACAGTATTAAAACTATTTAAAGAGTATCAGAATAATATGCCCTGCTTATTATCATTCAGAACAGAGTCTTTGCTAGTCGGATAAGCTAAAAACGAATTGCTTGATCCCCAGTGTGAAAAAAACAAATGTCATTGAGTGTCTTATACCATGTATCGAGTACCATTTCGACTTGTTTTCCCAAAATGTAAATGTATAGCTATTTATAGACTGGAACAACAAAAGTAAAGATCACTTAAGAGGAATATTTCTGATTCAAAAATTAAATATCTTAAACTTTTAAATTAAATTTATTTCTGCCAGTGCAAATCGAAATTTTTTCTACAAACGAAGATATTTTTGCTTATTTTCTACCAAAGTACTTGTAACAATAACCAATCATAGTTGAGAAACAATATTTAGCTAAAAGTTGCATCAATATATGTTCTATAGTTGTATTAAATATCAAGAAGTAAACCCTCAAAATGACAAAATTAGAGATAAATAAACATAACTTTTTGACTGACCCAATTAGTATTAAGTATGAGAATTACACGATAGATAATCTAAACTATTCCGTATACTAAATTAAATTCATACGTTATTCTGAACGAATTGAAAAAATTAAAATTAATGAAAAAATGTTTTTCAAATGACAAAATATTTTTTTTAAATGAAAGCCTACCTTAAAAGTTAGGTTTTATCGAGAGCTCTTCGTTAGATTTTTCTCCCGCTCCCAATCATGCAAATAGTGTTCGTTATGATTTGACATTGTCCAAGTTTCCCTTTTTATAGCACCGATGTAACACTCCTTTGCACAACCATTGTCTATAAATATAATCTGTTTGAGTGCACTTCCCAGGTTCTCGTAATTTACGGCATTGGACCCCTTTCTTACCTTTAGTAAGCAAACAACCGCAGTAAGGCGTGGGTGGCTACAGGGGGTGGGGATTTCCCAAAGATGACCTGTATTATTCTCCACGTTCGATGACCAATTTTATAAACAGGCCTCATTTGCCATTGAAATGGATCGCACAATGTTTGCTGTTGTTTTATGAGTATTCTCTACAAGTTTGGATCGAGTAACTTCAAAAGTATTACCTTAGTTTTGAAATGATGATGTTGAAGTGATGTTAAACTGAAATAAACGCCATTTCCACGATTTCAAATTTTACTTTACGCATGCGCAGCACTGAATGAGCGTGTGCTCATGATTGTTCACGTGATCGTTTATGATCACATCCTGCATTTTGAATGGACGTCAAATAATGGGGAATCCCGGAATATGAAGAATTGTGGGAGCTACTCACTTCTTCTTGGGTGGCTAAGTAAAATGATCTTGGCGTAGACGCCAACCTCCTTTTGGACACCGACCCTATGGATAATTTAAACCACTTCTACTTAGCTTACTCATATGTTTCCAAGAAATAAGAACTGATTGATCGACAATGATCGTTCGAGATAGCCGCATTGGTATTTTTTCAATTGTCGGCGTGACTCAAGTAAATGTTGTCTTTACATCTAAGGTACAGAACGCATCATCATGATGGTACTTAGTTTGAAACTTCAGTTCCGCTGAACTTTTAACTCACATCTTGTAATTCCGGTGGCCATTTTGACAGTTCTAGTCATCCCGATTCATACTATACTAATTCTGGGGCCATTTTGTTCTAGTAATTTGACCACGCGTAATACTGTAAAACACTTAATATCTGCTACATGCATTATTCGCGAGAGTGCCACCCCATGGTCAATTTGCTACACATTATATTCACGATATGCAAAAATTCCCAGAAGAAGCCCTCGCCGAATTGAAGGATTTTTAAAGAATTAAATGCAACCTTTACTTTTAAAAGTTAATTGCTTTGATAAAAAGTTAAACGAATCGTGTTTTTAGATATAGACTATTGCAGTTGATTTAAAAAATACGAAAGATCTTTGATCTCAGTTCGTTACATTAGACAATATTCCATCCAGCAAAAGGCCATAAAGAAGGGTTGACTCCCACAACTAATCCTTTCAAAGAATTTAGCAATTCTTTCAAAGAATGTTGGAAGTCAATCCTCTCTGACACAAAGTGAAATCTATCAATCTTTTGAAAATCTTAACTGCATCTTAACCTTTTTAGTATTCATTTCAATTTTGATGATGAACTTTAGCCTGTTAAATACCTCGAATAACGGATAATAAGTCTAAATCAAAAGACTATTACTACCCAGCAGTGTCAGATTTTTCAAATGAAGTCATCTGTATATTGATTTAATCACGTTGAATATTGCAGTTAATGTAGATGTGGCATAGTTTTTAAAAGAAATTGATGTGAATATTTTTTCTAAAATCTACTGAGGT